ACACTCAGAATTAGCCTATGGGTGATGCGTTGAAGTTCTAAGAATACCCCTCGCCACTGCACGTGATGTACATGGTATTTCGAAAACCGTTATATCATCTCACAATCACAACATTCAGCCCAGCCCTCCGCACATTCCGCCACCGATCAGCACTTTTAAAATATCTCACACGAGCGACGTGGATATGATATCTCGTGGGATTTGAACTCGGTATGCTGCAAACATCTGTTGCACATGGTATTCCATTGCTTGGGCCTGATCGTGTCCTGGTTGCGAGTCATCGAAAGGTAGCTGGTGACAGTGCCGACAAGGATCGAAGCAAGGACCACAATCTTCAAAAGGCTGTGGATGACGATTATCACGATACCAATGACGGTAGCTGGGATCCTGAGTACGGAAGTTTGCGCACCGATCGTCTCTGGCCAATTTCCGGCGATTCATCACTAGCAGAACAAGACTGAAAGTGGTAATGGCAAGTAAGATGCTAGCGACCGTGATGAAAAGGAAGAGTAGAGCAGTCAAGAACGCGTTGACAGCTGGTATGTTCTGTTTAGCCAAGAGACCCGAGAAGCCGAAGTGGTCGCCAGGTAGTGGAAGTCCAAGATTGATGAACCGCCCACGAAAGCTGAATGCCAGTCCAGTATCGCCAATTCCTTCTTTCTCAATGATGTTGTCGGATCCGCGTGTGACGAGGTTGGCGGTGCCCTGCTTGACAATACCTTCGACCGACGTGGCGCTGCGAGAAGCCCGTCGTTTGTAGATCATGTCGATATTGTATGTTGACGCGAGATTTGCAATCGTACTATCAGACGCTTTGGAAGAGCCGAAAAATTTGTCCGCAGCGTGCTGCATCCATCTCACATTAATCATGCCGCCGGTCCAGGCATAGTTGTTCCAGAATGCAATCAAGGCTGTAGGCCGATCAACGGCAAGAGCTCCACTATAGTAGACGTGATGCCATACAGCGAACACGACAAGCAAAGAGCAGCAGTGCGCGTAGTGAGTGCGTGTACTGGGTATCGTGTCGAAGTATGCGACGGTGTCGAGGGATGAAAGGAGTGCAAGTGTGGTGAAAGCTGCAAGAGTTGAGCCAACTTCGAGCTGGTGATCGAAGGTATTCCCGTTTGTGATCTGAGCAGCGAAGCAGCCGGTCTCAGTCTGAGTGCTGTTGGAAAAGATCCCGAGTATAATCTCGCCCTCAAAGTCAGGAACGGTAAGCGTGAGATCAGGTATGCCAGCAACGTCGAGCGGGCTGACTAGTATGAAACCTGCAGCTTCGATTGGAACCTCGGCTTGTAGTGGACAAGCACTTTCGCAGCACAGTGAGCATGGTTCAGCACATGCGAAAGACCCTCACCTACCGCCAGATGTTGGCATTGCAAGGATTGAAAGTCAGCTCGAGGGGAGGCTCGCCGTAAGTGTATACGCTTAAGAACATCGTGCTGTCATCTAATCAATTTCAAGGCCAAAATATCGCATGCCAGCTGACTACCTTCATTTTCACGTCTGGAACCAACTTTGGGCTGGTCGTCTCGTGGGACACAGCGTGTGTGGCAAACGCTGCTGCGCTTCGATGCAACAACATGCGTGGAATGAGAGATGTACGCTCGATGGGACTTGCCAGTGCCATGGGAGTGTGTCGATCCGAATGCTAGCCGGAGAGACGCTCAGGGCTTTCCTGAACGAGCGGAGGTCTTTGACTTCATGGTTGATGAAGGCGAGATCAGCGATGATGAGGCGTAGAGGCAAAGCCAGTACGGTATGGCGCGAAGCGCATGAATCCTCGACTTGCAGCCATACTACAATTCCAAACAATTTAAAAGGTAGGGTTGTGCTTGTATCGTGGAGCATATCACAAGGCACTGGTGACTCATGAGAAACAGCGCGTCAAAGTTCTTCACACTCGCGCGCCAACCTTCTTCACACTCGCGCGCAAGCGCCTGCACAGAACTACAGTGAGAAGCGCTGTGGACGAATACGACTCGATCGCAGCCTAGTGCAGCGACTAATGCAGCGAAGTTCGAACGGACTGCAGCAGTCAGCGTGACGGTGGTGTGCAGATGGTGTAAATCATCACTCATCGAGGCCGGTGTACTGTCTCCTCGCCGCGGTTGTCATTCGCGGTCGAATTGGCAGGTGCCTTCTGTGGCAAGACCAATGAGTTCTCTTTGGTTCGAGAAGTTTGCACTTCGATAAGGACTTAACCAGATGTCCTCGCGGCCGTGCTCGAATACCGAGCTGCAAAGTGCCATTATCGCTTGCACTCAATTGCCCAGCTTCGGAGGTGAGGTCCGAAAAATGCATGCATGGTAAGCAAGCTCTCACATGTTGCTGATACCTATCTTCTTGCTTGGACATGCACAAGTGTACTTCCGTCAGCCCGCCTTTGATTGCCACCTTTCTCAACGACGTCGTGGAAATTTCGATCTGCGTGTTCCAGACACCTGCAAGTCGTCACAACATCGGGCTAAGTTTCGAGCCCAAAGTGAGTCAACAATCTCCTTATGGATACGGGCCTGTCATGTTAAAGCTTGTTGGCTTTCTGTCAGGCCTAAGGGCAAGATCGTTGACCCTGAAGCGGGCCAACATTAGGTTCCCCGTAATGCCTAGGCCACCGTACCCGGTGGATGTTGGCTGGGTAGCGTGGAAGTGGTGGAAAGCGGCGGTTTTGCGCCTGCGACTCTAACGATGATCGCAAAGTGAATGTGCCTCATATCTGAATTGCAAGTGCGTACTGGATGTCGCCGGGAGACCTGCATGCTTCCTCGGGCATCGCCATGCACGCTTCAGGAGAGTTGCATGTACTGATAAGCCCCGGATACAGAGCACACCTTCAGCGGCAAATACATCGGCGACACGTTTGCCAGTTGCAGGATCCCGGAGCTGGCAGCGGGGACACCATGTGAAAATCCATTAGGTATTCGCGCCTGGGGTTCGTGCTCGGCATCCTGCGAAACGTCGAGATGTTTAATTTCCACAATGCAAAAGAACAGCGCGTTTGGCAAAGTTTTCGACAAATGAGAAGCGCGGTTGCAAGACCCGCAATCGTCTTTTGGCCGTAATCTCAGGCAGGGGTATGCAACTATGTTTGACGATCAGCCACTCGCTTCTCGCGTATGCCACTAGGCGCCCTTAGTCAGGAACCAGCACCTCTGATCCTTCCGGTTCTATCGATATCGCACTTGATCAGTGCTCACAAGAAACAAACAAGCGTCCGATCCAGACTTGAGCAGGCGGTAATAATGAAAGTCACTGCAGATCTCGTGGGTGACTGTGCCATGTCATCCAAACCTCAACAAGTCATCGGATTTCAACGCCCAGCCCCTGACAGTATTTGAACTCCGTCCCCAAGAGCGCGCGGCTCGGGATCGTAGCCCTGGGACTCGGCAAGCTGCACCTAGGCGGATCTAGGAAACTTTGTAAGCCCAACTAAACTAGAAGCTGAATGGCGTTCCCTCTTGGTGGCCCTCACCACGCCTAGGACTGCCTGTGGAGTGCTGAGACACTGCGCTTACTATAACTACATAATGCGCCCTCTCAGATAGGTGCTCCTTGTCGCTGTTTTGCACACCATTCGGCCTCCGGTACAGGAATACCATCCATTCATTCTTTCAACCACACTCCTTGATCTTGAGTCCGAGACTCGATAGCACTCTTTATCAACACCAAAAAAACGCTCTTTTGCCGGTCAATTCCTACCATCTGTGATTTCGATACCCCCATATTAACGACATGATGTTCACCAACCTTTTCACTGCTACGGCGGCTATGGCTGCCACTGTCTCTGCTTTCGACTGCAGCGGCAACTACTTCAGCTTCTTTAACCGCGCTGGACCTATGTCCTATCAGCGCCTTGATCCTGCTCTGTCCCCTGGAAAGCAGGGCCCTCACATGCACACCTTCGACGGTGGAAATGCGCTCAGTGCCTCATCCAACTTCGATAGCCAGGTTGGCTCATCTTGCACCACTGCCCGCATCAAGCCTGACAAGTCTCTCTACTGGCGCCCTACCCTCTACTGGAACGGCAACAACACTGGCTTCTACCGTGTCCCCGAGAATGCTGCCAAGATCTACTACAAGTTTGGCGATGGCAACTCGTGGGCCAACGTCACCGAGTTCCCTGAGGACTTCAACATGATGGCTGGCGACCCGTTCAAGCGCGCCGACGGCAGCAACTCGGCCGGTGTCCGCTGGGCCTGCCACCAGCCCGATGGTCGCTCCGACAACGTCTTCTCCAATGGCTTCCCTTCTGGCTTCCAGTCCTGCAACTCCGGCTTCGCCTCCGAGGTGACGTTCCCATCGTGCTGGAACGGCAAGGCGCTGAACCCCAGCAGCCCCAGCGCTCACATGGCCTACCCCACCAATGGCGGTGTCGGCATCGAGAACTGCCCTACTACCCACCGTGCTGCCCGTTTCCCAACCATCTTCATCGAGTTCTGGTACGACATCTCCTCGTTCAACGGCCAGTACAGCTCCAGCTCCAACCCCTGGGTTCTGTCCAACGGCGACCCTACCGGCTTCGGCATGCACGCCGACTTCCTCAACGGCTGGGAGAAGGGCGTGCTTGGTAAGGCTACTGCAGAGAGCGGCGGCTGCAATTGCGGGTGCGGCTGCGGCAACGACGAGATGAAGCAGTGCTTCGGAGCTGCCAATGTCAACGACGATGGCGACTCCAGCTTCAAGCAGTGCTCTGCTGGCACCAGCGGCTCCGCTGCCAAGGTTGACAAGCTCCCTGGCTGCAACCCCATCCAATCTGGCCCTGCTCGCGCTACCGTCGCCTCTGGTGCTGGCTGCGATGCCTCCGCTGCTCCTGTTGCCAGCGCCGCAAGCACCGCTACCTCTGCGGCTTCCTCGGTTGCTTCTGGCATTGCGTCTGCCATCGAGTCTGCCTACTCTGATGTCTTTTCCGCCACTGTTCCCGCTGGCGCATCGGTGACTGCATCTGCCGCTGCCTACGCCTATTCATCCCCCGCCCCTTACCCCTTTCCCAGCGGCAACTCAACGGTCGCACCCACTGCCACCGGCGTGAACTCTTCCCCCGCCGGTGTGAGCAGCAAGTCGCGCCTCGGGCACAACCACAGCAAGTTCCACTCATCCAAGACCACTGCCGTGCCCGCCGGCAACACCGGCCACCCTACTTCTGACGACAAGGACACCGAGGCTGAGGCCGCGAGCGCGAGCTGCACGTCCCAGGCCCCTGTCACCATCACTTACACGCCCACTGTCTACGTGACTGCCCAGTCGGTGTCTGCGGCCCTGAATAGCACCACCACGCTTACGCTGACTAGCACTGTCATTATGAAGCAGACGCTGCGGGCTGCTGCCAGCGGATACTAGGCGCCTTGCGTGTGGCGTCACCGGTGTTCGTTTCATGATCATAGACCTTGGTGGTGTGTGCAGATCATTCGTTACACTCGCTCGGAAACGTTTGGAGGATTAGAGGAGAGGAGAGATGCAGTTCCTGTACATACATTAAACACAAAACTTGACGTATGAAGACAGACTTGCGCTTGCCCGGGTGCTGATGTGTGTTCGTGCCGCGAGGACATTGCGATGATTCTGGCGAGTGTCTCGCCTGACGCCTACGACAGCGATGCCAGAGACTGCGCTAAGATCTCTGACATTTATGGTAAATCAGGTTGCGCAAGAATTGCGAAACAAACTTTGTTTGGTCCAGATAGCACGCATCTGACTTACAAATGACCACACAAACAACAGCACTATAGAGCACTTCGAATCCGAAGCTCCCACGCAGCACGTGAAGACAACATTACAATAGGAATGCCGGTTCATGCAGCGCCTCGGAGGGATGAGCCGAGCCGAGGCGGAGAAGCGACGAAGGATCGCACCTTGGGAGCTTAGGCTGAGGAGTGGGAACTTGAAGTTGGTCGGCGCGAGATGGATATATTCCTTCTTCGGCGGCATACCTCAGCAATGCGAGTTGGCGGACACGGATGCATGGCGTGTCTGTCGCATCGAGCCATGCACTGCTCCCGAATGGTGTAAGTCCGGGTTGTCATGCAAAACTCCTACAGCGGCGAGGCCGTACTCAAAGATGGCCCGTGTGAAATCTCCACAGTTGACTGATTGGAATTTGTGGAGGTTTTGACCAGCGAGTAAACGCGCATTGCTTTTGACGACGGCATTGGCAACTGCCGAGCTTGGTCGAGGGAGGTTGTTTCGAAAGAGCGGCTCGCAACTAGGAGAACCTGGAATTGGTCGAGAGAGCGTGACGGTCGCGTGACATATCCATAGTCCGATTGCTTGACAGACACGCGTAGCTCTGGATCATTCTTCATCACGTGTGCTTCGTAGTACAAAGTGTGACGTCTTTGAACTAGTGGCCAACGCGCTGGAGTACCAATAGTGGGCATCATGCTGTCTAACGATATGATTCTGGAGTGTTCCGTGATCCCGCAACCTGGTTACGATTGAAGCAGTGCAGAATCGGAGGCGCATGGAATGCATCCAGCTGAACCGTGGAGTTGGGTGTGCGACAACGCCGCGCGACGTCAGCTTCGAAACTTTAGCTCAGCCAGTACCAATACGGACCCTTGTGCATACAAGGCTTATGGAGCTTTCGATAGTTGGACAAATACTCCAAAAGTAAAGACACTTGGTATAAGGCTGGCGCTTTGCCATTTCGAGTGGCATGTGCTGATGCCTTGTCGACGATGCATTCTTAGGAGAGCTCCCGTGCGCCTCCCTTATGCAGTGCAACGGGATCTTGCTTATGCGTACCGTAGGACCAGATGATCAGGAATCGCAGGTGGATCGCGCGTGCTCGAAGCTGTGGGGCGAGTGCGGGTGGCGGTGGTGAATGGTTGTTCAGGGCACACGGGCCTAGCGTTAACTAGTTAATTTGTGCTCCACGGCACAGCAAACTTTAAGAAGATTGCCACTAGTAGGAAGAGTAACGATGAGGATCGATGATGTTGAGCGCCGGGGACAGCTCAGAGGAAAGACCGGTGTATTACCGCCCAGCTGCGCCGCATACGGGATTCTGATACGATTTATGCAGGATGTTGCACCAAATGAAGCAAGGAAGGCAAGTGGTTTCGCGCTGCAAACTCAAACGTCTGGAGTTCGCAAAAGAAAGCGAGACATTCGTAGAAAGCAAAGGCGTTGTTGCGCATCGGTCCGCGCTGGCAGCTTTTGGTGTTACTGGCGCGCCCAAGGATGGCCCTTGGACTTGCCGCACGTTAAGGGATCGGGCCGGGGTCGCAATGTGCGTTCGTGCAAAAACCGGCGAGGCGGCTGATCTACCTGGGTCGCAGCCGGATGCAGATGCAGAATTCCCCGTCACCTTCCTGGTTCGCCTGAGCAGTTGCCACATGCCGCACAAGCGAGAGCATGCAATGTCCTGGTGGCCCAAATGCCCGAGCAAGAGGACAGCTACTCTGTATTTGTGCTACCTGTCGTTCCAGAGCAGACGCTAGCTTAAAAGCAAGCTGGATCGTCTATTGAGCTGCCAGGAAAGTAGCGAAGCCGAAAAGGACTCCATGTCCGTGCTGAGGCGATCGAACAGGCGACATTACTTCAATGTCGAATCTGGAAGCTGTATCGACTCCGTATGCGAGCTCATGACCGGAGCGATATGACACGAGATCGGAGATGCAACGTCTTGCATAAGAAAAGTGGAAAAACAATGAAGTCGTAGGCTTGCCGTTCTTACCACCCATCATCCTACCAATAATAACCACTCGGACACAACGCACAAGCATTTCAGCCACCGCCGATTCCGAAAACCTCTGGCCCAAGCACTGCAAAGACCGTCATTGTCGCTCACATCAGCCCTCCAGAAAAGCAACCTTGCGCCAAGACTAGGCTGAAGCGGGGGGTCGACCGCTGTACCCTAAAATCTCTGGCTCCTCGAGCTTCTTGTAGTTCCAGAATCCCACGGTCTTCCCTCGAGCGGTGTTGCTGACGTGGGCTACTCATTCGACAATGAGTATTCGAATAAATGCAACCGTCAATGAGGCCCGGGCCGCCGCAGGGCACAAGAGAGAGCAGTGGAATCGATTTTATGTGAGTTGCAGAGCATGGTATAAACTTGAACGCGCGGCTGACGAGGAGAGCACTTGACAAAGGACGAAACGAGGCAGCTCGCAGACACACACCCAGATTGGACACGGTGGATCCTGATACCCTCGGATGAGAAGGAACGTCTGTTGGAGAGGGTCAATGGCCTATTGCAGGCTGAGGGCATACCGCCGGTCGAGATGATCATCCTTAAGTGGCGAGTCTCGCAACTGTTGAGGGACATTCAACGCAAGTACAGTACGTGCGAACGTCCCCGCTCTTGCGTGCATGCCATGGCGTGTCCACAGATAAATGTACCGCTTCTAGAACGTTCGCTAACGATTGGTGTTTAGCCGAAGGTAGTATGACGAAAGGAATGCAGGGCTCACTATCCGGGTCGCCGGTAAAAGTCGAGCCAGCGATTAAATTCGATCCACGGATAGAAGTCGAGCACCGGATAGAAGTCGAGCCACGGTCGTCGGGTAGCAGCGTGCAACAGTCGTCAAGCCCTCAACGTTGGGAGTATTCGCCAAGCGAGACCCGGCCATATGACCCAATCCGGGATGTGTAACAGTCACAACAGCACGTTGTCGGTGCGTGATATCGCAATTGGATCCGCCTGCATTCAAAACGAGACAGCGATTGGTCGGTTTTCATGGCGTTCGAAACAGATACCCTAGAGCGAGATTTGGCAGAGGCTACATCGAGTCATGCGGTGTGCGGGAGGGCAGTAAATCGGCTCATACGTCGAGGCCAACATTCTTAATCGTGCATATACCGGGAGGAAGAGAGTTGCCTCGTGAGCGACGGTTCGGCGACAGGAACACACGTTTTGACAAGGACTGAGAGAGGAAAGCCAATGTGTGCATCGAAGCGAGGGTCGCCCATTACGGAGAAGGCCCAGGGTCCGGCGTTCACAAATATATGGTACGTAGCTGGGTATGACCTCGGTCTCCACATACAACACTTGTGGGGTCGCGAGACTTGTACGCTGCACGGTTTATGGTTCAAAGTGGGTTGTGGTCTGCTGACCACTGTCTTCAACCTCTTTTTCAAGCATGCGGTACTTGTGGTGTATGATCTGTTTCCAGGACCCGGATATACGGCGTATGTTCGAGCGACATCCGTTGATGGTCTCATGACGGTCGGAAAGCTTGATGGTATCGCGAATGCCGAATTGCTGGAAGGATGTGGAGATGACAGTCGAGGCCGCCAGTGTGTCTCGCTTCGTGTCGCCATCGATGGCCGACCTTGTTGTATCAGGAGAAGCCAAGCACCTCCATGTTACCAACTGCAGATTTGTATGTTACCAACTGCAGATTTGTATACTTGCCTGGCTGCTTGGGGCTGCTGGGGCTTCATTGTTTGTGGTACTGGTGTCTCGGCTGCGGCTGGCGACTCCTAGGATTGAAGGCGTCGAAGTGCGTGGGAGAATACGGTGGTTGGACAAAGCTCAGTGGTATGAAATCCACCGTGAAGCTCGAGGGGGGATGGTGGACGGAGGCACGAAGATGGGAGAATAGTCTAAGTTGATGTTCGGCATTGTGCCTGCCCCAAGTCCAACAGTGGTACCCTAGCTGTTAGGCGGAAAGCTCATCCCCGTAAAGCAGCCACGCCTGGAGTCAGGCACCACTTCGACGCCTCTCATCCTCTTACTGCTGCAAACAACATCCTAGGGTTCATCTTACGCCTGTTACATGCAGAAATGGTTGCCTGTTACATGCAGAGATGGTTGCCTGTTACATGCAGAGATGGTTACCTGATTGCAGAGAGAAAGCTGTGACTCGGCACGGTTGTCAACAATCGATTAAGTGGGGCCCAGCGACGTCGAATTGACTTGATCGATTACCTGTTCGAGCCTAGCAGTTACCTGCATAGGTTTTAATTCCTACCTTGGTGGGTAAGCGCGTGAATGTGAGGTCGAAATTGACTTGATTTTGACAAGGCTGGCTGTGAGAAAGTGTTGACTAGGGTGAATGAGATGATCACGCCGCACTTAGTCATCATGAGCCGCTTTACAGCTGACCGCCGTCCTGCAGCACTGACGGCTTGACTTGTACAGTGCCTCAGATGCTTCGCCTTCACCAAAGCCGCGGCACGACCCGCTCACCGTCCATAGCATCAATAGCAAGCCTCACACCACATGGTCTACTACGCGGGGACGTTTGTTGCATCGCAGTTGGACGTTGACGTCCTGGTATCGTTGATATATCATGACCTGCCGCGCAGCTATCAGCTATCCAAGCCCGCTCCTTTTCTCCAGACCCGGGGTGCCAATCGCCCCAGAGCCGTTTTGTTCATAACTCATATCAAGTCCTCATGGCTGCGCATCTTTCTCTTTGTCGATTACGCAGCCATGCCGAACCCAGGCTCGATGCCCGCGCTCTTCAGCACCCGGGCTTTCCGCGTGTCGGTCGTCTTCTTGTCGGCTTTTTGCTGCGCGGCGAGGCCCCGCACTTCTTCTGCTGGCGCATATTTGACGCCCCGCGGTGTGTCTTCGCGGTCGAGGTCGACGGTTGCGCAGATGGTCACGTTCTCGCCGCGTATCGTCATCAGGCCGGGCAGCCTGACGTCGTGTATCAGCCAGGCGGGCTCTGTGGGCGAGGTGCCAAACGAGGGGTTGCGGGCGGCTATCCGCTCGTGGCACTCTGTGAGGACGAGGTTTGCTGTGGGCGGTTAGTGTGACGAGTGTCGAGAGGGGCTGGGTTGCTGGGCGCACCGAATTGGTCGTAGGAGCGCAGGATGCCAATGTATTCTTTCTCGTCGCGCAGGAGGACGTCAACTTTCTCTGTCGCTGTGTCAGCCGTGCGTCGCGCCTCGTGTCGGCCGGGTGTCGCACTGTCTACCATATCGAGCAGCATCGCCGAGGTGAGGAACGCTTGTGGTGGCAGATCGACAGGCAAGATGACCTGTGGCCCTGCTGGTCTTCCTGCGCCGAGGGCAGGAGGGCCTGGCGGCGGCCCGCTGGTGCTGTATACGCCCCCATAGCCTGTTCGTGCGCGTTAGTCCTGTGCCGCTGTGTGCGCCTGCAGGCATTGGGTCGTACCAGGGCCGGCGGGCGGTTGCCCTGGGGCTTCTGCGGCGTGCTCGGGCTGGGGCGAGTCGACTGAGCGCTGCAGCATCGCGTTGAAGCTCAGGGCCATGTTCGGAGGAGCACCGGCGGGGCCACCGTGGGGTTGGCTGGGGAAGGACATGGTGTGGCGACTGGCGGTCTTTGGCGGGGTGTGTGCGGTGGGTTGGGGGATGGTCTAGCGGGCTCGGAGGGTATGCGGACGTGTTGCCAGCATGGCGAGGCCTGCGCGCGTTCCTGTTTGCCTGTACTGCTGCTGCTCGCCGTGGTTGACGCAACTGACACTTAGCGCGACCCGCGAATGGCTTGGCAGGGCTCCTTCGCCGCCTCCGTCCAGCGCCCCCCTGCGTCTGTCTTGAATGCGATCACAGGTGGGAGCCGGATATGAGTTGGTCAATGTCATGCCTCTGTGCAGCCTCGCAACCATAATCCCGCACCGCAGCTATGGCTGTGTTCTTCGAGATATTCAGAAACAAATGGATCACGCCGCCACAGGAGACGACTGAGGACTACAGCGGCAGGGTCGTAATTGTCACAGGAGCCACATCTGGCATGGGACCAGAAGCCGTGTATAAGTTTGCAAAGCTGGGGGCTTCGAAAGTCATCATCGCCGCGCGTGACCTGAACAGGGGCGCGTCCACTAAGCACGAGCTTGGCAAAAGGCTCGGTCGTGATGATCAGCTGGAGGTGTGGGAGCTGGACATGATGTCCTACGACAGCGTCTGCGCGTTCGCAGGACGCGCGCACGAGCTTGAGCATCTCGACGTTGCCATTTTGAACGCGGGCACTCGCCGCTCGTCCTACCACACTAGCGAGCAGGGCTGGGAGGAGGGTCTGCAGGTCAACACGCTCTCCACCGTGCTTCTGGGTGTTTTGCTGCTGCCAAAGCTCAAGCACGCGAAGCGCTACACCGGCAAGACGCCGGTATTGGAGTTTGTGAATTCTGGTCTCCACCAAAGCGCACTTGTGCCGCCTGAGGTACGACAGCAATCCAACGTCCTCGAGCACTACAACAGGCGCGAGAACTTCAAGGAAGGCAACCAGTACAAGTTCAGCAAAGCGTTCCTGATGTATGCTACGAACAGGCTCGCCAGCGAGGTAACCTCTGCAGACGTCATCATCACGTCCATCTGCCCTGGTCTCGTCAGGAGCGACTTGGGGCGAGACCATTACTTCCCGGGCGTCTACGTGCTGGCTGCTGTGCCCGTCTTTCTGTTCATGAAGTCACCGTCGCAGGGAGCAGACGCCATTCTGAGTGCAACGACGCAAGGCGAAGCGGTGCATGGGAGGTTCTGCAAGGACGACAGGATCATGCCCGTGCCACGTGCAGTTGCAGGCAGTGAGATGCATGAGCTGGCCTCGACAATCTGGGACGAGATTGTAGAGTCGCTGACGCAGGACGTGCCAGCATTTGCAAAGCACCTCGACGCGGCGCTGTATTAGAAACAATGATCCTACACAACTTAGTACACGGTTACCTTGGCTGCGAGCCGCACGTGCAAGCCGAGTGACGGACCGCAGTAGCCGTGGTGTTCTGGAACGCGCACAGATCTAGTTTGCAGTTCGCAGTTCGCATGGCGGCAATGACGTGTGATGGCATTTCAGGCTTCAAAGTTGGCCGTGACGGCAATCCAACGTGACAGTGCCAACCGCGCATCCCCTCCTGTGTCTGCAATCCCATGAGATCGCCCTTTGGCCGCAAGCCGCCGTCCGCCCAAGCCGCCTCCCTCCTGCGGCTGATCTTCCCACACACTCGCGCACGCGCACGCGCACGCGTACGCGCCGCCGTCTCCAGGCTCCGGCCGTCGAGCCTCGTCCGCCGGGCCCTCGAACATGAGGCGCAGCTGAGGCGCAGGACCCCCGCAACGAGCACCGAAGACGGCCACGGCAGCGGCATGAGTAGCTATGCGAGCGGCGAGGCGGGCGGGCGGCGACGCAGGCTGGCCGGCTACCTCAAGGCAGCGAACGAGCTGCGACAGACGTACACGCAGCAGTATGCGCCGGGCTGGAGCAGCCGCGAGGCCCACTACGACTACGAGGACGACGCCCCGGGCAGCTTCCCCGACGCCGCCATTGTGCGCAGCGGCGACGAGGAGATGATCCTGTTCCCCAGCTACGCCCGCAGGCACATCAAGCGCACACCCGACGCCGCGTCGGGCGCCGTCCAGGAGGCCGCGGGCGACGGGCGCGACTCGACGACCGCGGGCGACGCCGACTTCTGGAAGCAGCAGTGGGACAGTCACGAGGACGATAACGCCGTCGTCGACGTCGACGTGCGCGGCTGGATCTACTCGCCGCACCGCGGCCAGATGAGCCGGAAGCAGCGGCTGTTCATCGGCCTGGCCCGCCAGCTCGTCGGCGTGTCGGCGCCGCCTGCTGCTGCTGCTGGGTCCGCCTCCAACTCGTCCGCGAATAGCCGCGACCCCAGCCCCAGCCACGTCGGCTTCCGCGAGCGGGCGCACATGCGCCAGTCCCAGCGCGACGAGGACCTGGCCGGCCGCGAGGCAGAGGCCATTCTGAGGAAGGGCGAGCGCGAGGCCGCCGCCGCTGCAAAGGGCGCCTACAGCGAGAGGCCGAGCCGCAGCAACGGCGACGACACGCAGCTGTACCGCGCCCAGAGCGGCGAGAGCGTGCGCACCGCCGGCAGCGCCCGGACCCACCAGCTCGCGCACAGCCAGTCCAAGGACTCTCTCCAGAGCGACGACGAGCACAGCACCCCGCTGCAGAGGAGAGCGTCGTGGAACCAGCCGGCGGACATGAGCCCCGCCGAGCTGGCAGAGGCGAACAGCCGTCTGATGGCCCGGTTGCGGCACTTCCTCGCAATGCCCATGGCCAACACGCCAATCAGCGTCTTCTTCTACAACGACAACATCTCCAAGCAGCGGACCATCTACACCAACGCTGCCGGCCACTTCAGCATGACGGCCGCGCTGGACTTTGTCCCTACGCACGTGCGCATCTTGGCCTCGGAGCAGCTGTCGGCCACGGAAGAGGTCATCATCACCGACTCCAAGGGCATCAGCGTCATCAGTGACATTGACGACACCATCAAGCACTCGGCCATCAGCAGCGGTGCGCGAGAGATTTTCCGCAACGTCTTCATACGTGATCTGAGCGACCTGACCATCGATGGGGTCAGGGAGTGGTACAACGGCATGTCCCAAATGGGCGTCAAATTCCACTACGTTTCCAACTCGCCGTGGCAGCTGTACCCTGTCATCTCAACCTACTTCAGCATGGCTGGCCTGCCACCCGGCTCCTTCCACCTCAAGCAGTACAGTGGCATGATGCAGGGCATCTTCGAACCTGTTGCGGAGAGGAAGAAGGTCACCCTGGACAAGATCTCTCGAGACTTTCCCGAGAGGCGGTTCATCCTCATTGGCGATAGCGGAGAGGCGGATCTGGAGGTGTACACGGATTTCGTCCTCGAAAACCCAGGACGTGTTGCCGCCGTCTTCATCCGGGACGTGACAACCACCGAGACTGGCGGATTCTTCGACCCCTCCGTCGGGTCCATGTCAGGCTCATCGTCACCCCGACGCGGCGGTGGCTCCAACGCCTCAGACGTCGCGAGCCCAGCGAGCGCAACGCGTGCGCTGTCCGAGGAGCACGACCCTGAGCTCAGAGCTGCGATTGCGGCTTCTCTACGCGCATTCGAGGAAGAGGACAAGAAGCGGCTCCATCCTCGATTGCCCGAGCACGACCAGGATCGCTTCAGCAACAGACCTGGTATGCCGGCGCGGCACGCAGTCCAGACGGCCAAGGCTGAGCCAGTAGCCAATTTGATTGACCTCTCTTCTTCAGACGATGAGGGGCCCGAGACGATCCCGTCAATGCGACGCGCCAACACAGATACCGAAGCCTTCAGCGGCCCAACACGGACGTCGACGGGCTCGAGCCTGGGCAAAGCGGCTCCTCCGCCACCGACGAAGCCTGCTGCACTGCGGATTTCATCAAACGACAGCCTATACGCGTCGCCCTCGCCGTCTACGTCGAAAGCACCGCCACCGCCAAAACCTCGCCGGCCGTCCACTACGATCCGCCTGGTGGGCCAGCCCAGTCCCCTCTCTCAACCCAGCAACGCACCTACCTCGCCACCATCAAATCGCTCTGCACCGCCATCAAACCACCCTGCACCGCCATCAAACCACCCTGCACCGCCATCAAACCGCCCTGCACCGCCATCAAACCGACCTGCACCGCCATCAAACCGCCCTGCACCACCGCAACCCAACTACAGCACCAAACCCCAGTACGACCACAGCAACCAGAGCTACGCCGGCATGGCCCGCGACAAGCTCTACTCCGTCTACAACAGCCTGCCAGCGTGGTCCTCCGACGACCAGCCCGCCTCAGACAACGCCAGCATTCGCTCAGGCTCAGACGGCGACAGCGCTCGCAAGACCGCTCCCCCACCGCCGCCGCCGCCCCGCCGCAACCCCGCGGGCGCAGCTGCATCCTACGTAGGCGGCAAAGCCTCCTCGGCATGGCAACACGCGCCCTCGCTCCCGCACCGCCCGCAGATCACCTCGACGCAGACCTCGGCCCCGTTCTCCACGACCGCGCAGCGCGAGAAGCTGAATCGCTCGAGCACAGGCAGCACGCTCGGTCTCAACGGCGGCGGCCAGGGCCAGACGGCCGACGGCCAGTATGTCAACAAGAGGGAGGCGCTGTGGCGGCAGCGGTGGGCGCGGGCGGAGCAGATCCTCTCCGAGCAGGGCGTTGTGCTGAGGAGTTGGAGGGTGGGTACTGATTTGGCGGCCGAGGCGGAGAAGATCGTCAAGGCGAACGAGAGGGAGAATCGCATTGGAAACAAGAACGGCGCGCGGGCGAGCGTCAATGAGCGCAGCGGGGGGGAGGGGAGTCTGAGGCGCAAACCGGGGACGTGATGATTGGGCTACGAATTCTTTCTTTTACTGCGCTTAGCGTGCATAGCGCGAGCATACAATGCACCTTTTCTCACTCGTCCGGAACGTGAGCAGCGCTCACAGCCCCTGGAGGCGTCGTATGCTCTTCCCAGTCCTGTTGGGTGCGGCTGTACGAAGTACGGTGAGGCAAAGCTTCGATGCAAAACCCTGCGCCATTTCTCTTCTGGCGCCTGTTCACCGGTGGGCTCGCGAGTCTTGTTCGCGTACTCATCGTTTGCGTCGACAGTGCATGGAACTCCTCAGGTCGAGCAATGATGAAGTGAGGTTCGGCGCTACTCTACAAACAAGATGTTGACAATCATCGCATTGTGTACACCGGCTGAAACCACTGCTTGAAGCTTTCGTGCCGAGCTTGGAGCGTGTCGCAGAAAACTAGCCTTCTATAAGCATCCTATTTGGAGGTATAAGGGTAGTCTACATTTTGTCACTTTTTAGCTGTGACAAGGTGTAATCGAGGATGCTAGCATTGACACTTCGACAAGCACTGCATTTGGGTCTCGTGCGTCCTCGGCGCGTGCGGGTTGATCGACGCAAGCGCAATCTGGGGAACTCTAGCGCAGGTCCCTTACTCCATCAAGGCAAACGAGAACTGTGCGCGATGATGTGTCGTGCAACGAGTGTAGTTGTGTCAATTCATTTACTGATCGCGCTATTGATGTGAAGGACCGTAGACTTCGAGGATGGCGCATGCCAGACCGCCGTGGTCTCGCCTCAGCTGAAACCAGAATTCGAGGTTTGAATCACGGCGTTTTCGATAAGGTTCGGGTGCACTATTGCAGTGTCGGCGTCAAAAAATGAGGAGGCTGGTACGAATTGCGCGCCAATAGAAGTGGATGATGTCATCCGGATCACATCAAAACAAACCTACGTGCTGGTACACCCTCCACGCGACGACACCCTGTACCTCGAGATTCAACCCTTGACTAGATCGCCAATCCTACTTTCGTCGCACACTCACAATTGCAACAATGCCTTCGTCCAAAGGAAAGCCAACAGATCCTAAGCTTCGCGAGAAGGTCAAGGAGGAGGTGAAGCAGAAGCCCAACAAGGACGGCAGCGGCAAGGGCCAGATGGCTGCATGGAAAGTACGCGATTGCGCGATGCACGCGACCACGATCGCATGATTTGTATTGACGCGCGCAGGCCGCCGAGATCTCCAAGGAGTATGAGAAGCAGGGAGGTGGCTACGAGAATGAAGCTGGCAGCAAGAACGAGCCTAAGAAGGGCGCACCAGAGGCCAAGTCTGACAGCAAGAAGAAGACCGAGGAGAAGAAGGCAGACAAGTCGGAGTCTAAAGACGAAGAGGAGGAGGACGATGTCGAGGAGGAGCAGGACGCTCCCGCAAGCGCACAGAAGCCTAAAGCCAACCAAGGAAAGAAGGCCGACAAGAAGGATGACGGCGAAGAGAAGGCCGATTCTAAGAAGAAGGCCGCACCAAAGAAGGCGGCTGCGCCAAAGAAGGAAAAGAAGGAGCCCCAGGAGGGCACCAGACGAAGCAGCCGAACCGCGGCAAAGAGGAACTCGCCCGTCAAGGAGGTCGACACCGACGCCGACCTAGACTCAGATGAGGCACCGAAGAAGAAGAAGTCCAAGAAGTCCAAGTCATAGATTTGCTGGATGTTTCCCTTTGCCGTTTTTAATAATCGTGGATCCGTTGGGTCATTTGGTAGCTCCGTCTTTGTGCACACACGGATTGGAACCCCAGTGTTAGTGTCCTGGAATGAGGGCTTGCATTTCATAGTTCTATATCTGATTCTTAATGATATTCTACATGTCATGACTCTCCATTCGCGCGCGCCTACTGTCTAGAGGCACGCTAGTGAATGTAAACAGCCCCGAGTCACATACTCATCACATCCTCACAACGCTCGTCCCCACAGCGGCTTCAATGTAAGGGACTGCGGACGCATCGCATACAGCGCGTCGACCGTCCTGCTACTCTCGCCGCTATTTGCCGCGTTGACGACGCATTCAAAAGTAACTGCTATTAAACACCTGTTATAAATCTTGGGACACCAGCGTGCCAAGCGCGCTCACAACACTTGGCCAGCATGTATCGCTGGTGGCCTGATACTATCCGCTTCATTTGTCACAAGTACGGCACGGAACCGAGATAGCTCCGGCAGGCTTGTGGAGCCGCGGCAGAGGTACTTCTTGCCGTACCATGTATCCGCATGGTCAGATAACAAAGCGAACAAAGAGATGGGCACTAGACTTTGCTCCTCGACGCCAAGAGCAGAGAGCAGGCTTCAGCGTTTTGAGGGCCGAGACAAGCTTGTCAACGGGACGAAGGTCCGGACCAACAACCCCGGATCCAGATTCGCTAGGGGCTGCGTTGATTGTACCACGCTCGTTATTGAAAGTGCAATCCAACCCGCCCTGCAACAAACCTGGACGAGTGCTCAAGACAGTCCTGGAAAGCTATCGTCTGGCATGAATGATCTCCATGATTAAGAGATGAGAAGGCCCGAATGATTGAAACACAATGATCGACAGGCGGCCATTACCCAGACAGCGCGCTTACGGGACGATGCAGCTCAGGCCACACGGAAGCTACCCATGCAGCCTACCCGATCGTGCATAGCGAGCCACCAGCTCGTTTCCTGACCCGCCTTTTGTGCGTCGTTGGAGCCTTCTCCCCTCGTAGCCAGCAAACCGCTGTTCAACGTGCAGAGCAACGCCCTATGGCCTGAGGCCTCCGAGCTTCTTGCTCTTTGCATTTGTTTGTCGCAACCACACGGATGAGTGACGCGGAGACGCCCAACTCGTGTTCTGAAGTAGTACGCGATCAGCCGCAGCCCATCTCCATGGCTACCAGCTCGCAGTACTACAGAAGCGCCAACCCTCACTCGCACTACCAGAACTTCCAGAATAACCACCACGACCAAGCATACGCCAACTTCATTGGAACATGGCAAGAGAGTAACCACACCACTTACACCGGCCCTTCATCGGTCCCGTTACTCCACTATCCCCAAGCCGGACTGAGCCCCGCCTTCCCCAGAGCGCATCAGCCTTCTCCAGCTCCACAAGCCTGGAGTACTGGTTATGCGCAACCAAATGCCCAAGAGTGGAGCACGCCTGTGAGCGACCGTGTGAATGAGCAAATATTCGCACCGGGCTTGGGTTCCTATGGCATCGCTGAAGGAGGCGCCTCTGTGCAACACTCGACCCCTAACGTAGCGCGCCCGTACCCACATCAGCACCATCAGCAGGCATCGGCTGCGGAGCACGAACAGCCCCTGATATCTTCCGAGAGTGGTCTCAGGGACACAGAACGCTTCACCGCGCTGCGCATCACCTCTGTGAGTGTGAAGATGTCGTCTCGTACGCTAAGCTTCGACTAATCTACCCCAGGAATCCCCTGCAACACCGGTAGACCCACCTTTCGCGAATCGCGTCCAAAGGCAACACTCGATCCCTCAGTCCTCGCATGCGGTATCGCAACCAAGCGTGGATCAGACCCACGCTGTGTTGCAAGCGTCGACAGCTTGGGGCAGCGCATCGACCCTGGCGCCGACCGAACACCAACACTATGTGGCCCATACCAGCAGTGCGCTGTCACCCGGTGTAGTCAGTGAGCCGGTCAGTCTTCCTAATGCACCATGGCCGACTGAACGTACGCCTGGTATTGTATCTGCGCATATAGGCTATGGCCATATTCAAACTCAACAACAACAATGGCCTCTAGCACAGGCTGTCCCGGTACAGAGGATCTACGAGATTCAAGACGCACAAGTCGAACAACAGACCGACCCATCCGTCTACACTCCGGAAACCCGACGACCAAGTGCCAAGAAGAAGGCAGCAAAGGTCCCGTCATCTTACGTTGAGAGGCAAGAGAAGATGAAGGTCTCCAAACGTAAAGGACCCTTACAAGAAAAGCAACGAGAAAAAACACATACAATGCGCAAGACAAAGCGGATATGTGTTCGCTGCAGATTCTATAAATCAGGATGTGACGAGGGAGACCCGTGTCAGAAGTGCACCAAGATCGAAGGGCATGCTCGCTCTTTCCGCGAGCCCTGCTACAGAGAACATCTCGAGGACACCAGTGTCATCCGTCGTTGCAATGGTCGCGAGCAACAAGACGAAGCTGAGTTCCTGGGGTACGACTGGAAACCTGGTAGCCAGCTCTGGGAGATGGACATCTTGTGGAACCTACCAGGTTACGGTCGTATACCGAACGCTCAACCCATGCGTGTTGCTTTCCGCCCATACAGTCCAAGGCGAGGCTCGCTAGATACAGCGACGTCATTGTGGTCAACTAAAGAGGGTGACGTGTGTGCAGTGGAGCAGCCGGCGTACGCAGTCTACGACACCGCGAACCTAGTCTCTGCTTTCGAGCGCTACTTCTCGAGCCTCCAGCCTGCGATCGAGGCGTGGATCTTTGACCGCATTCAGAACGATGAAGTAGCAACTTACACATACCGAGAAGTCTTCCGAATGCGAAGTGTGCATGGATCACGGGCTCTTGACTTGGCTATGCGGCTGCAGTGTCTGTCAGTTGTGTCTCAGGGGTACGGTACTGTCTGGTCAAACAATATCCCGGGAATACAGGAGTATGACTATCGCCACATTGGGCGAAGTGACTACGAAGCATACGATCGGAACTCGCGCGATCGACCCTTGCCTGGCGCCATCACCCACCAGATGGATGTCGCTGCGGTCAAGTACTTGCGCAAGTTGGAGAAGCTATTTATGAAGGAGCTGGCGTCTCTGATTTTCAAGCCGAAGATCAAGCCATGGTATGAGCTCTTTCTCACCTTTTACATCATCTTCTGGAATCTGGAGTACATCAATAAGGGCGCCAGAGGATACATGAGGGCAAAGAACGGTACAGTGAGTACTATCTTCCGTTTTTGCACAGCAATTTCTAAAGTTGATAGGTCATCGAACACGAAGTCAACAACGTCGTCAGCAATCAGATTAAGAAATGGGAGTTCGCGTTTCCGGTCTTGCTGTACCACTGGCGATGTACGTTACGCGGCTACTCGCCATTCAAGCTCGCACGTGACAACCCCGAAGAGCTACGAGAGCGCGGGCACATCGATGCAGAAGGCCACGCATACGTTTCTGAAATGGCAAAGATCTTTGACAGACTTGGTCCAGGTAGGTTCTTCGACTCCACAGAGTACCCCTCCTGACTTCTGCAGATCGATTCCAGCCACCGCTCACTGAGTTCTCTGCTACACACCATTCATTCGTAAGTGAGTGGATTACAAAGCTGTTCAAAGAAGCTGGGGCTTGATGACGTTTCGGGTCGCGCTGTAAGATCACATGTCAGCGAGGGAAGATTGCCTTCGAGTCCAATTTCTATATTGTGCGAGACTGTCAGAAGACCCGTTTCATTTCAGTATGTCAAGAAACGAAATTATGTACGATGGAGAACCGCGTGATTAACTGTAAATGCAGCAAGGTCCCATGTGCGAACGAATGACAGAAGTGAGGTTTCCCTCCAAAATGCACACACCATACTCCTCGCTATCCCATGAAACGTGGTAAATGCTTCAGCCTTGGATGCGCTGCCCAAAGTGCCGCAAAATCCCTTCCTATTCCGCAGAAATGCATTCAGCCATGGCTCTCGCGGCCACTGATAGCGCGCCACGGATCCATGTCGATGATGGGCAGTTGTTGGGACCTGCCGGGCGTGAAGGGGTCGTCAAAGTTGTTTCGGAATCGGGACGGCTTCTCCCAGGCGTTCCCGGGATCCCGAAGGAACATGCGCAGCAAATGTCGAGTGCTCGCCTTCCCATTGGTTCCCTGGTATGCCTCGCGAGCATGCATGATGCTCAAGTTGTTGATGAACTGTATGTCGCCCTGCTTGCGATCGAGCTTTGTGCTCAATCGCGTCGCCAAGTTCTGAATAACATGCATGCTGTACATCTGTTTGTCTGAAACTTTCGGCATACTTGTGTCCCGCTGGATGCGTGGGCTTCCGAGGAGCGGCGCTTTGACAAGCTGGCATATGGGCTTGCCTCTCGAGAAGAACAGGGTCGGACCAAGTTCAAGGTGTGGTGCTTGGTTCCTGAAAGTCGGTCAGTCTCAGATTCAAGCCTGCTCATGACGTGTCGTGCTTACTTTTGCTTCAGCTCGAAGGGCCAGTCCGCCTCGGCCATGGTTTCCAGCACACCAGGTTCAGTCCTCAGCAGCTCGTTGTATATTTTCCAGAAGCTAGCGACGTACTGACCACCTCCAGTGCCCGACCCACCATCGTTCCTGACGTGCATAGCAAGGATATCTCCGGAGAATCGATCGCTGTGGAAATCCATTGCAGCTGTAATCTTGGAACCGGCAAGCCCGATATCCTTCGCCCACGCCGGCACTACCTCCTTCGTGGCATCGCGGACATGGCTGAGCGTCTGGTTGGCGTACGAGTCTGTTGCACGCTCTCTTGCAACGTATGAGCAGACGCCGGCGAAGGCGACCACAGCTTCTTCGTCGTTGAATCGCGCTGCCTCCAGGCCGCGCAACACTACCACGCCCGGACCGTGGTGAAGCTCCTTGCTGACACCGGAAAGCTTGCGCGTCAGCTCTGCCGCCAGAGGGAACGTGCGCTGAGATATCTCGCTGCGCGGGAGCCTTTGAAGCTTGAAGCCAACCACAGCAGCGCGGATGTTGTCGACCTCGGACCTTGAGAGCTCGACAATGTACTGCGCAGGGTCGAGCTCAGCGCCTTCCCAGGCCATGGGACTAGAAAGAGCAGGAGCGAGTTTGTCGGGGATAGAGTAGGTGGAAGAGCTGCTCTGCAGACTCTCTGTTGAGGACCTCGGACTCAGCGTATGCGCTGACATGATTGTTAGTGCGAAAAAAAAGAGATGGACGTTGCGATTGACGATGCTCGAGTCCAGCTGTTCTGTCGAGGGTGAAGAGGAAAGGCTGTCGGAACTGCTGTGGTGGTGGTGAGTGGAAGTGTCGATTCGGGCTGGTATATAAGTTCATGCTCATTCACTGCTCCAGGCTGATAAACGAGTGACGGAATGTGTGAAAGGAGGCCTTCAGTGATCAGCCAGACTAGAGCTGACAGAGCCGCAGATATCACTCGGCCCTTGTCACCTGTCGCAGCCTGGTGTCGAAGCACCACTCAACAAACGAATCGCACTCACTGGATGCAGCTTCCCCTCGTATTCTAGGCCAAGTCTTATTTTCCGCCTTACGTCGTCACCTGATACACACTGCATGCTAATGCCGGCCGGTCAGCGTGGTTTACACTCCCCATCCTGCCTCACGTCTTGGCCCAGGAAATGTCATGCATGCTAGAGCAAAGAACACCGTCGAAGCTTTGTCACACGTGCGGAACTTGTCCTCCCCTTCATCGCTAGACTGTCCGCGAGGCTTGTGACCAGCGCATACCCGCAACCTAGCATCTCCATCCTTCAGCTGGGCTAGGATGGTCGTGTGGGGCCTTGATCTGCCGTGTGCACGCTAGGCGTCATGTGGGGACTAGAGCGGCTCTTTTCGCGAGATTTGCGAAACCGAAGCTGTTGAGATTGCAATATTGAGCGACTTCAAAGCTCGCGTCAGATGCTCTACTGGCGCCGGTGGGTCTGGTGGTTGCAGGGGTTCCTTTGTTCTGACTCCTTGCTGCATCAGATCGTCCGTGTTGAAGATCCGGGCCATGCGTCAGCCCTACGGTGAAAGAAGAGCTTCAGCCTTCCATTCCTCGTGTTGGATGCGGTGATCAGACGTAGTCACACTTGGGCTTAGCCTTGCATATGACATGCATTTGTAGTTTCAGCCTTTGAGGCTGCGCCGCTTCGAAGGATTCTTTGTGATCGAAGTCGCCTTGGAAGTTGGTCAGCATGGTCAACGCGTGGACAGGCGGTGAGCGTCGTTTTATCCACAGCTTGGTCTTACTAAAGATGTTGATGCTGGAATCGTGCGGCACATTTCTCATGTGGAGTATGCTCGTGGCAATGACCTTCTCACAGCGAGCAGCTACCGTATTGGCTGAGGCCTAAGAACCCGGGCTACGGTGATGTACTTTCACTTCAATCTCGGTCTGGCCATAGTTCACCGGTATGCACGCGATAAGGTAGGGGTGATAAGTATAGTAATTGTGACCGCGATCGAAATCACCATGCACATATTAGTTCTCACCAGTTGATCGCGAGCATATACAACCGCATTTAGCTAACAATTGTCAGGGTCTTGCTTCAAGTTACACACAATTGGTCCGGCCGTGGCCATCAGGTGGCCGAGGCTTTAGCTCGCCAGCTTCTTTGTCCGCCATTGGTGAGAGCGAACAATTGTTAGTGCCTAGCGGGCTGAACACCAATGGGATGCTGCAATTTCGATCGAACAGCGTTCCACAGTGAAGGATTCGTTGGGCCAGCCCTGCCGTATGGCTCAAGCGCTGGGTGTCCGCATGTAGGACAACATGCCTGTGACATGCTCCTGTTATCAGGTTTGGACTGAGCGGGCTAAGACGCTGATTCGTCGGGCGCCATAGGCGGCTCGTAGCCTTGTGGCAAGGCTAGCGGTTTACACTGTTTGTAGGATTCCACGTTGGCAGTGAGCAGTAAATCCATGACGACGCCTTGTTGTAGAGCATGCGGGTGAGCGGATCGTCCAAATTGGCATTTTCAAAGCTGCGGGTCGCTCGATGAGGCATCCTGGTAAGGTCACGGCTCATGATCCAGCCTCAACATGGTAGCTGCTGGCGCGTTCTCAGGAAGGATTCGTCCAGATCTAGCGAACCACATGGGACACCTGAATCACACCTTAGAGTTAGTGGTATTGCATGAAGCCGCGCTATCACGGAGCGAAGATCATGCAGGTGAGAGCTCTACTTGCTTTGCCAGTGTAATGTGGCTTTTACCGTACCATTCCTCGACGCAAGAGAAGATTCCTGCGACCACTCGGTGTCCAAAGTGGTCGTTTCAAGGGTCCCAGCAAGAGCCAGAGTGATTTGCATTCAGGTTTGTGCTTGTAGCCAGGTCATTTTGTTGGCTGATCATTCTGATCTCTGATCAAGAACCTGCAACGTCGTCACCCCACTTTGGCGGGTCTATAAGCGGTAACAAACTGCAGCATTGCAGTTTGGGCCGATCCTGTCTACTCAGACCGTTTGAACCGGAGTTCCCCTCGGACTGCTGATTCTTCGGACTCGGCTTCAAATCACCGTGTGTGCCACGCTCAGCTGTTCCCCTTGTCACGAGAGCCACTTAATTCATCCGACATCGTTGATTACTCACCGGACGCTTGTACCCTCGTTGTGGGGCAGGCATTACATGCGAATATAACGCCGCGCGATCTTGGCGCGTGTCAGGTTGGATCTCGCAAGCCCACTGAGGGTATGAGAGCTCCCTTTTTGAGCCTCAACTAGTGGTGCAGTGGTGTTGTTTGCGGCTTGGTGAGGTATTCTTCCAGAAGATTCATCCAGGAACAGCATCGCAAAAGCTGTCTCATTAGAGGGCTACGGCATGTTACGAATCGTTTACGGCGCAGTTACCGAAGCCTGTCCCTCGCGTAATGTGATTGGATGGGATAGAGAGAACAGTTCTGTGACTGCGGCGTAGTCGGGTGTGTAAACGTCTATGGAGGATCGGCCAAGACGAACTCTATTGACGAAGGATGCAGGAAGGCCACGTGAACAGCAAGCCTCGATCGATAACATACAATAGGTAGGTCCAAGCGTGGTGGAGTAGCGGACGGGGATGGCGAGATGCTCTAACGCCCTTTCTATCTGACAAGAGTAGGAACTCGTGCCGGATCTGCCGGTTTGCAGCCTGGTTCTCTTGACTGCTTCAAGCATATCGTTGGTGCAGAACGAGATGCCCTGTGCCAGTCTTTCTACTACGAGTGGCCAACCTATCCTCCTTCCGAGGCACTGAGATGCTTCTGGAATTGACTTGAACAAGGATGATGACGATTCCGGTGATGGAGCAAAAGTCGCTATGTAATCAGCAACCTACATTCGGCTAGGCAACAGACAAGAACCGGTACGACTGGAAAAAGATTCGGAACGGGAACTTGCATGCAAAGCGTAGCCAAAACCAGGTTTGTTCTAAGCATGCCGTTTGTCATCAGTATGTAAGCGTAAGCGAGACTGCGAGCCAGGGTGTGAACATTGCTTTTGACATGACTGGGGCCCTCAGCACGAGTGAACTCCGCGGTTCCTCGGAAGGTGTAAGGATAGGGGAGCAGGTAATACCGAGCGAGTGTGCATAGCGAGAAGGTGAATTTCGGGCGTCCCAGGCACAAAGGGTATTTTGGTACTTCCTCGCTTCCGCTTTCCCACTTGTGGACTAGACTGGCTCTGCCGTTCGAGCGCCCAATCGCCGAAGTCCGGACGCTGCTTCCATTAATTATTGACGTGCGGCATCATGCCTCCTGTGTCAGCTTTAAATTTACGTCACGGCATTAACAATATGCAAGTATGGTATGGTATTGCCTTCTCCGCCTTGAAGTCGTAAGTGTGACAGGCACTCTCTCAATCCTGCGACAGCGCATATCGAACTGTACCATCGTCACATTCGCGGCGGCACGCCTGAGCTTCTGAATTAGGATGGTGTACGCCACCTCGATACATAGCATGCGAAGTCTTCTCACGTACGGATTAGACGGGCGCACCGCTCGAGCATGACCAAAATCGATTCGCAGCCTCATATTGAACTTCACCATGTGTTCACCTGCTGCAGGGTCTGAGTTCTATCGTGGAGCTCAAGGTCAACGGTTCTGGCTATTTGGGATACATCTCTCACCTTCACCCTAACCGGTAACGGAATGCGAGGGCTTAATTTTCTGTATGACGTTAAGAGGCGCGCCTTAGTTACACCACACCTAGATAGCTTCCTGTCGAGATTGACATCGGAAACTGAGACGGTAGGAGGAAGGAGCAGCTCGAAATACCATTTGCTTCTTGCAGCAGCCACCACCAGCTATATTGTCCTGTACCTTGTGCGTAGTATCCCACGTCTCCAGTGGCAAAGTGAGGCACCTTCACACATCTACGACACCAAGAATTTGCTCAGACGGCTCCTCCAGAAGCAGCGGGCAAGTGTTCAGACCGACACCATGGTCATCGAATGTAAGCTTGCCACTGTCAGCATTAGCTACAATCCACCGTCAATTCAACAGACCACCATCCTGAGCTCGATCAAAGAAGGTTTAGGGCGCTAGGACGATGCTACTGTTCGCTTCAGTATAAAGAGGGACCTGTAAGATTGTCAGCATAGGTGAGAGGGAAAGAGGGGAAGTGCAGAAGAGACGTACCGGTGCATCTTCACTTCGTTTGAAGTGATGCATGCCTAGATTGAACCACACCACCAAGTCCTCATCCTCGATGTTCTCGGCATCGAAATACTTACTAAAATCTGTAGGGGCCCACTAGCATTCTGGACACTATTTGCAAGCACTTCGGCGTCGTGTTGGCGTAACACAGCGAGACGCATCTTTGCAAATACAGAGCTCTCGAGCAACCATGGCGACTTCAGTGTGGTTGGGTGGATATCGGACCTTCCAGAAGCGATGCAATAGCCTTGTGGTTCGCCCCAAACGTTGGGTTCATTGAGATTCAACAAAACATACATCGCCTGGTTGTTGGTTACCCAATTGAACGGCTGCTCGGTTTGCCTGATCGACCCATACATCTCCATCCGTTGAAGACACCAAGCTCAGGAGACCAGGGCTGCGACTGCTCAACACCCTTGAGCTTGGAGACTTGAGGTAGGCTACCCGTCCCAAGTATGTCGAAGTCGGCTTTGAACGTGACGATATGATCGTGAAACGAGCCTTAAGTTGCTTGTTGGATGCGAGCGCCCCATTTACCTTATATGGGATAGTCGAAGGGGCTTTGGAGGTAACCAGATGCCTGTACGCTGACTTCAAGCGAGCCGTACAAGTGAAAACCGTAGTCGAATATGGAGTTATAGTTGCCAACCGTCGCGATCATACGAACGATCAGCTGGGCTCCTTTGACAGTGCCGGGCTTCTTGAAGCCGTAGTCGATACCGGCTCCATAGCGATGGCGTGATGAGGGGAAGTTCATGTCGGCTTCGAATATGCAGATAGCGTTGGTGTTGATCGTGTTACCATTGCCATCATGATATGCTCTGCACGAATTAAATCAGCCTTAGGCGTTTCAATGCGTCAACTGTCTCGCCTGAGAATGTTCTTTGCTCGGATCGGCGAGAGTACAATTTCAGAATTGGAAGACCTTGAAAGTAATCACAGATTCCAAAAGGTAGAGCTCCTTGGAGAATCATATCCTTGGACGAGTGTGCCCATCTCAGCACACGACGGTAGCATGTGTCATGGTAAATAGTGTTGGCGGCCTTCGGCTGATCACCACTATACTGAGCAGTGGCTTTCTGCATAGAGCGTTCGTAAATGATCCGTTCACCCCTGAGACGGATGTCGTAGAACTTAACACCCGAGTTCCGGATAAAGACGACGTAGAAGGACCGTCCCATGTACTCGATGTATTGGTTCAGCGATTTCGAGCGTAGCTGGGGCAAGCCTCTCCCCAAGATCACTCTTGCCAAGCTCTGACTTGCAGTCGACCAGCGCCCAGTCAGCCTCAAGCGTTTGGTCGTACTCGATTCTCCGGCATCAAAAGCCATGCATAGGGTCCCGATCGCGGGGGTAAAACTTTTCGCCCGTAACGAAGCCCAGTGAGTACAGAGAAGCATCAGTGCCGGTGCAGTCAATCAGGAGAAAAAGGTCCAAAGGCGTCATACGGCTTTCAGGCCCAGAGATACAGAACATGATGTTGTGGAAAGCTTACGTTCCATTACAGCTGTTAGGAGTGTCCGACATCGCTGTCGAGTTGGCTGCAAAAGTCGGTGACTGCCTCCACGCTTGCTTAAGGAATTGCGTCTTTCATCACCAGCTCCAAAAGAGACGCTATTCTGGAACAAATCAGCCTTATATCAGAGATGATGAATGCGATCAATGGACCCGTGGCTGTGCTTCGTGGCTCGTTAAAGTACAAAGAGTTGTATGATACAGAGCAGCCACTGCCGCCATTACACAAGTAATCGAGTTTCTGAATAGTTATTTCTTCATCAACTGGAAGGGGTCCGATCACATACTCTTACGAGTCAAGGACCCCTTTACCGCCCTCGAAGATGATCGCATGGGCACACTGATGAGGTGCTGTTGTGTTACCGTCAAGGTAAGGCAAGACATCCGTCTTGTTCAGAGGCAGAGTATTATTCCAGAAACTGTTGTAGCCATCAGTATCCCTGATGGGATGATCTTCTTCAGATCTTAAGAAGCAGCTTACATGTAGTTGTCAGAGGGTACTGCATCATCCGGATGAGTAAGATTCAAACCAGTTGCAGGATTATAGAGGAGATTCTACACTGTCAGGTTGTCCTCTGCTGGCGTCTAAGAAAATGTATTGAACTTTGGTACGGTCATGATAATAGTAGAATCTATGAGACAATATATAGAAGTATTGTAGCCTCGTCTATCCAGAACCTCATGCAAAAGATTTCGTTCATAATCAAGTGGTGGTAACGAATGCCAGGCGGGTTCTCTGTTAAAACCTGCTAGAAAAAGATGTTCCTAAGACCCTACATATGCTGTTAATCAGAGCTCAGCAAGATACTCTCGGATGTGCTTGTCAGACATGTACAACAGGAACTTTTGCAGTTCACTTGTCAGACATGCCTACGGCGAGCTCAAGCACGGCCCAATGATGCGAGAAACTGCTGCCCGCTGAGAAACATGACACCCCTGACTTCCTGCTGTCACGGAGGAAGGCCCTGCTCTTCTGGGATACCTACTACCTGCTTCGAACGGGTAGAAGGGATTCTTTTTGATCCTTTGTCGCAATACCTGCGATATGAACGGTTGAATGTTCCGATACTCAAGACGTCAACACAGAACGCGAATCATTGCTCCCTACAACAACTCAAACACTTCTTGCTTATAACCTATGTTCTGGAACAGGCGACAAGAAACCGAAGTTCGATGAAAATAGAGGACTGTACATTCCTATGAGTTCAAGAAGGGAAGATACCACGTCCGGCCCATGCGGCTTAACGTCACCAGCCCTTCATGTTTCATTCAACCCAAGCAAAGGGCCATCCCAAGCCCCCTCCGTATACTGTAAGAACTAGGTATTACTGTACACCCAACATGCGGTCTTGTATACCCGGAGACAAACAGACTACGAACGGAGCGAGGCCGCTAGCGGTCAGCGCACTGTAGCTGCGGCATCGATGATGCAATACCTTGACCATTGGTCGACGAACATCAGCTAGAATTGACAAATACCTTGTAGAACAACATTGCCCGACTGTACTTCCGCTCAAACACTCAAATCCCGACGCATCTTCTCAGCAGCAGGAACGCACAGGGATCACGACTCAGCAACAATGGCACCAAAAGGACTCGCGATTCTCATCGGTGCTGGGCCCAATACGGTACGCACTCCCACTACTAACGCAGCACACTCCACAAGCCACCGCTGATACTCCCACAGGGCACAGGAATCGCGCGTATTCTCTCCTCCCCAGCTCACGGCAACCTCGCCGTCGCGCTCCTCGCGCGCCGCCCCGAATCCCTCCAGTCGGTGATTAGCACCGTGCGTCAATTCTCCCCGGACGCGGTCCTCGAGGCCTTCCCGTCCGACACGTCAAAAGCGTCCCTGGAGAAAGCCTTCCAGGAGATCAAGGCGCACAAGAGCTTTTCCGGGCTGAAAGCCGAGGTCGCAATCTACAGCGTGAAGCACAGCTCCAAGAAGCCGTTCCTTGAAGAGACGCGCGAGGAGTTTGAGGACAGTTTGGAGACGTACGTCGGTGGCGCGTTTACGTTTGCGCAGGAGAGTGTTAAGCGCTTCTACGCTGATCACGGGGAGAAGGCACTCGCAGACGGCGGGGAGAAAAAGGGTGTATGTAGCAGTCCCTGCCTGATTAGGCCGATTATGAGTACAATGCTAATAATCATCGTCGCAGACCCTGATCTTCACAGGTACGCTCGGCGCGCTACGTTGCAGTGCGCAGTTTGCTGCATACGGAGCAGGTCGCGCTTCAGTCCGACAGCTGGCGCAGACACTCGCGAGGGAGCTCAGCGAGAAGGGCGTGCACGTTGTGCACACAATCGCCAACGGCTCCATCGAGGATAAGGATGGCGAGGACCAGAAGATTGGGAAGAAGATGAGTGCCGATGCTGTGGGTGAAACGTATCTGTGGCTGCATAACCAAAAGCCGTGTTTGTGGACGCATGAGCTGGATATGCGGCCGGCGGCGGAGAAGTTCTGAGACGATGGCGCCCTGCTCGAGTTTTGAGACCGATACAATAAGACTGCTGGACCTTGGTAGCTTTGTCCTGGTGGGCTGCGTGTTCTTGCTGTGAAGTATTAATGCCTCCCTGGAGAGGTCCTGTACAAGACTTGCGCGAGTCCCTGGTGTAGCCAGAGCTTCTCACACGCAAAAGTCTTCTCCGAGACTCATCGTAGACGACTTCGTAATGCGAGGTGTGTCTTTAGCAGGTGCCTTTGGTTTCATCCGCGGCGCTGCTGACAACGCACTCCTGGTCCTGAACGGCGATCCAGGAGGTGCCGTTGATTTCATCTGCGGCAGCTCTCTCTCAGCGGCCAGCATCTTCTTGGTAGTGGCTCCCTTTGCTGATACAGCTTGTGGTCGCTGATTCTGCGGTCTGTGACTCTGCGGTCTTTTCGTCGTGGAGCCTCCGCTCCTCTCCTCTCCCTTGAGCTCCAGCGCTTCATCCACAGCGCTCTGCACAAGCGCCTCCACAACCCCCCTGACCTCCTCTTTCACCTTCTCGTACTTTGCAGGCACAAGCAGCGGCACGCCATGCATCCTCAAGCTCCCCGTCACATCAACACGTCTTCCCGACTTGAGGACCCTCTGCACATAGCTATCCTGCACTTCCCCCGCATCCACCATCTTGCCCTTGTCATCGTATCCTCTCTCCCTCAGCTCATCAACAAAGGCCTGCGTCAGCCGCCGCCGCGCCCAGTGCCGCACACATGACGATTTGCTGAGGTCTGTTCCGTTGGTGACGTGCCACCAGAGGCCTTCCTTTTTCTGCTCGTTCCGGAGACGGCGCTGGGCGATGTGCAGAGGGTGCGAGGCGTTGACCGCGATGTGGTTGGGCAGGAAGGAGGTGTATGTTGGCGAATAGCTGATTTTGAAGCACGAGGGCTTGAGGCGCGAGAGCCGGTGGGTGAGGGATTTCATGCCGCCATCAATCAAGTGATCTCGAATCGAGTAATCGCACGATCTCAATAGGTATTGATACTTCGGGCGGTGAGCTTCGGGTGCTGGATGCGCGATGACGCAGTCTGGGCTTGTCGCAGGCAATTGATGAGCCGGGCGCTAGCGATCCATTGGGCAAGCGCGGTTTGGGCGCACAAGGCGACCGTGAATGACCACTCGCCCCACGGCGTATAATAACAACCTGCCCAACCCCACGGCTCAGACAACCAACACCGACTCTTTCGCACGCACACCCGAACAGTCGCCAATATGCCCAAGAACAAGGGAAAGGTAAGAGAACAGTCGCAGTGAGAGTGGAGAGAGGGGCTGCCCCGCGGTTTGCACATGTTCGCGATGACGCCCAAAAGTCTCTGGCGGGCGGCGCCGCTGCAGGGCGCTCACCCACCCCGCTCGCACTCACGAACAGCCCTCTGAACCCCGCTGTCATATGCTGATCCACCACAGGGAGGCAAGAACAGGAGACGTGGAAAGAACGAGAACGACAACGAGAAGCGTGAACTCGTCTTCAAGGAGGAGGGGCAGGAATACGCCCAGGTCGTCAAAATGCTGGGAAACGGTCGCCTGGAAGCGCAGTGCTTCGACGGCGCGCGCCGCCTCGCGCATATCCGCGGCAAGCTGCGGAAGAAGGTGTGGATCAACCAGGGCGACATCATCCTGCTCAGTCTACGAGACTACCAGGACGAGAAGGGCGACGTCATCATGAAGTACTCCGGTACGTTGCACACAGCCTGTGCTAAGGGTTTTTGTACTGACGTGCTGCAGCCGACGAGGCCCGCTCGTTAAAAGCTTACGGCGAGCTCCCCGAGAATGCAAAGATCAACGAGACCGACACGTACGGCGATCAGGGCGATGAAGGCATCGGCTTCGAGTTTGACGAGGACCGCGACTCGGACAGCGAAGACGAGGCCGACGGCTCGGGCAAGAAGGAGATCGACATCGACGATATCTAGACGACATGCGTCGGCATGTGGACACGTTGGAGGCTTCGTGATGACGACGACGGTGGTAGACGGACGACGGTTCCGCCATGCTGTCTTGGCTGCTGTGTAGTGCAGGGCTGAGCTGCTCAAATGCTGCTTCTTGCGAGCGGGCGGATGGATGGTGGAAAAGTGCCTAATACACCTACGGGGATAGTGCATTCAATACATGCATTACACCCTCTATCTTTTCTTCGCCTCGCTCGTTTCCACGTCCTCCACCAGCTCGACTTCAGTTAATTGAAAGTCGGCAGCTGCACATCCTCGTACACACTCCTGTTGAAGAAACGATACACTCGTCTTCCAACATCCGTTCCAATCAGCCAACAAATCTCCCTCTCCAGCATGTTCGCCAGCTCCTCGAGGTTCTCAACCCGCAGCATGAGTGTTGTCACGATACTCTCATTCACGCCTGGTAACGTCCTCAGCATATCCTGCGTCGTCTGATTGAAGCTCCTCAGATCATCACCGCCCGTGCTCGGATCCAAGCCCAAACTGACCGCTTTGAGCGGATCAGGCTCATCCTGCTGTTTCTTCAGCTCGGCAAATATCTCAGCCGTCTGGTACGGACTGCTGCTCCAGATGATCCTCAGCTTCGGAAACGCGAGGGTGAGCATGACGAGCTTGCCCTGCAGATCCGGGGTCGCCGCGAGCCCGCTCGCATTGTTGGAGGTGAAGTCCGCAAAGGGCTCGAGGGTGAAGGATTTGTTTGCGTCGAACTCGATCAGCAGCATCGGGTGCTTGTAGTGCTCCGTCATGGACTCGACTTGGTTGTATAGCCGCCCGTTGGCGAAGGAGCCGATCAGGTCGCGCACGGATTTGCGCTCGATGCAGATCTGCGGCGACAGCACGTAGTCGCCGACCGTCAGCATGCACGGGACGATGACCATGGCGCGGCCGTGCAGCAGAGAGGGGAGCGAGGAGCGGAACTCGCGCACGTCCACAATCACCCTGGGCGGCTCTGTTGTTGCGCTTAGACGCCCGCCGCCTGCTATCCTGGTATTGATGGTTCGCAGGAACGACTCCTCCGGGGCGAGGTTGGCGTTGGTGTTCAGGGTGAGAGCCATGTTTGCGCGTTCTTTGATGAGGTGCGTGAAGGCGTCTTTCTCGCGGCGCACGGCGGAAAGATAGCGTTGCTCTTCGACACTGCCGCCGTAGTACATGAAGAACACTTTGACGGTGCGGTCGGTGTGGGATGAGCGGTAGACTTCGATGCGCCGGATAAAAGCGGCGTCTGGCTCGTACATGACTACGTAGCGTGGCTTGGTTTCTTCGAGGATGTGTTCGTCGAGATCGCCGGAGTAGGGGTGGATGATGACCGTCGAGTCCATGGAGAAGAGCTCGTAGTAGTCTTCCATGTTGTCGAGGGGATCATAGCCGACATCGCCTGGCTTTTGGGCAGCTTCTAGTTCGGTAGGCTGCAGCTCAGCCATGAGGTTCGCAATGTGGGCATCCTTGTCGCCAGCTGTGCGTACAGCACCGAAATCATTTCGAGTCGAAGTCACAGTGTTTCCGCCTCCTCTAATGCGCCGCCGCTTGTTAGGCGGAGGTTTACCTGAGGTTCTGCCACTTTGGACTTTTTGGTCGGTGCTGCCGTTGATGGCTTTCTGATTCTCCTGAAAGAGAGTAGAGCTGACCTTGCTGAAGTCGCGCTTCCAGGACAAATAGTTGCGAAGCTTTCGCCTCATCATGAACCTGCCGGAAGGCTCCCCATCTTCTTCGTCCTCGTTCGTGCTCTCCTCAGACCTGACATACATGGTCTGAAGGTATTCTCTCAGCTGTGAGCAGGTGCCGTGGTCACCACACATGATCAAGATAGATCCGTTCGAGCTGTCCTGAGGTGTGGGATTGAAGTAAGCATCCTGTTCGATTTCCTGGAGTATCTCTGCGAGCTGTGTCCACTTCGGGAACTCCTCGAGAACAGGCTCGAGCGATTCGGGGGCGATGTTGGCGTCCCTCGCAAGCTCTGCATTGGTGACTTTGCCCGTGTACACCCTCCGCTTCGCAGTGCTGAAGATAGTATCCGCCGCGTCGAGGAAGAGCCAGGGCGACTGATTCTGTTTCGTCGACCCCGGCGGTGGCTGTGAAGCTGCCAGGACGGTGTCAAGATACTTGTTGAAGTTCACAGCATCGTAAGTGAGCAAGGCATGCAGAATTGTCCGAAGCAGCGACAGATCGCGAACGACTTGCCGTGTCTTGAACGTCGTGCGATGCCAGACCGGGTCGAGCTGGCGCCTGATAATCAGGTCGAAGTTCTTGTGTAATGCGCTGTCCAGCGTCCAGTCTTCGACCTCGAGTCCCGGATTTGCTTTCTTCAACTCGCTGATGCTGGCCTCAACACACTCGAGCACCGCGTTCTGTATGTCCTGCATGGCGTCTGTCATCGGCACCTCCAGCTCGATGACTTCGGCCTTCTTCCGTCCCTCGAGCGAGTTGGCGACCGAGACGTGAAACCGCGGGTACAGAGCTGGCTTTTGCAGGAAGAGGTTCTTCATCATGTTCGTGAGCGGCGAGTAGCCCATGGTGAACGGCTCCGGCGTGTCCGAGAAAGCCTTCAGGAAGCCTGCCTTGTTCTTCTGCCGGTATATCCTGAGGATGAACGCCTCAAGTGATGTTGCAACCACCTTCTCAGCATGCAGCACAACCACGCCCGTCACCGTCTCGGGATTCAGCAGGCCGGACAGAAAGTCTACAATGAGAATCCGCGACGTGACGCTGAAGATTCCGCCCTGCGCATACATCTTCTCACGTGTACCCACGCTCATCAAGTCTGTATTCACCAAGCTCAGCCCCCTGCACTTCGGAGCCTGGCTAACTGCCGCGTGCTCCGCGAGCGCCTCGCCAATCCACACATTCTCGCGCTCGTCGGCGCCGACGAGCAGAATGAGGTTGTTTCCGACGGCATCGTATGAGTGAAGCAGGTTTGTGACTATGCGCAGAAGGCCGAGGCCGCGCGCGAGGAGGACGAGCTCATCCTCTTCGCGCAGCTCTTTGAAGATGTCTTGCTGGAATTCCTGTGATGACGTCAGTCATGTTCGGTCTGTAGAACGGATGATGGCATACAAGGGGCAACGAGAGCTTCACGGGGGCTTGCGCATCGCTGGGCATTGGATGCAGCTGGGACGGCGATCGTGGGGTGTGGGGAGGAGGTGCGGGAGTTGGAGCGCGTCGAGGCAGTAATACGCTTGCTCGCGTTGTCACGAGTCTACATAGCTTCCTGAGGGCCTCCAGCGTCGAACATCACAAACACAGACTGTTCAGAACTCGATGCTCGAGTTTCCACAGAAATCGCCTATCTTGCATCGTTGCTCAAATCAAGAAAACTTTGTACAGGCCTCAAGCTCAAGATCAGCTCGCGTTCGTAGTATAACGTTAAATCTTTATCAAATGCCTCTTTTCAGGCGAAGCGTGGATTTTGTTCATCCTCGTACTCATACATATGCAAATATACACGGGAAGAAACGCCAACGACAGCAAGATCAAGCCCATGCTTATTGCGAAGCGTTCCTGATCTCCTGTTGCAGTTTTCTGCTATCTGCAGCATATGCATCGCGCTCATCCCTCAATCGCTGCTGCTCTGCTGCCGACTGCTTTGCATCGTGTTCCTTCTGTGCAATCCAGACTGCGCGCATTAGCATTCGGACCTTGTGTCCACGTCACCAGTTTCAGCACTTACTAGGCTTGTCTGACTTGGACAGGTCCTTCAATTGATGCACGAACCCGTCGAAGTCCTTCTGGCGCTGTTCCCGGCTTGCAAGCGCCTTCTTCTGGAGCTCAGGGCTGTAGCGCTGGGAGGCGTTAGACAGGTCGTTTGCATGTGGCGACCTACTTACCTTGAATATCTCTTCCTCGGACGGCGTCACCCACATGACCAGCGCAGGCCCGCCGATGCAGAGGACTGCGCCGCTATGACATGTTAGTGAGCGCACTGGGATGTAAGAGGAGGAGCCTGGACGTACGCCGAGATGGCCTTGATGTATGTCCCCATTCCAGGCATGATGACGGTTGTTGCAAGGTTCTGCAGGTTCAAACAGGTTGACGGTGTGTATGAGATTCAAGAAATCAGAAAAGAGGCACAAGATCAGGGTTGTGTTGTCAGTCGTCGTTGTTGCTCTCACGCCTTCGAGAACTCGATGATCGATATCATCAGTCCAAAAGGGTTAGTCGTGGCGCAGCACCGCCACGATTATCCAATCTATTCAATGCGTTGCCGTTGGAGCAGGCCCCACACAGCTGCATGAGACCACGAGCGTTATGGATCCAAGCGGATCAGCAGTCGATGGTCTCAAGGCACTTCGCACGATCATTGGGTGCATCTGAGATGATGTCCGTGTTCGCAGCGGCCATGTGGCCGTCATCGTGTAAAGTGTGCGTGTGGTGGAAAGCTTGATGGGCGCGGCTGAAACTAGGAGGTCAGTTGCACAACGATCGTATATCTCTCTCGGGCCTCTACATTCCTCACCTATATTCTCCTCGCCGCAGCACCCTGCCTGCACTAAGGTTCCACGGATCTTGGTTTAATTGAAGACCCACGTAGCGAGATTATTGAGTGCCTGACCACTTGCCTTGAACTTCTGAAGGCATGGACGCATCCACCTCTCGTCTCAAAGCATAGCCGTGGCACCAGTGGCGCCTGAAACCACGCTCAGAGCACAGCATTGAGGCCATCTGCACGCTGTCCGCTGGCAGCAAACGATCAGTTTTTAACTTTGAAGCAATAATACAGCGGAACCCTCCCATCTCCCGTCCACAACGCTCTTTAATTTCAGGTCCTTGCCAAGTACCGCGACAACCTTGCAGCCACTTCCGACGCGCCGGCCCAGAGCTTCTCACTCTTCTGTTTCGGGGTCAAGGGCAGTCGCGTCCGAGCTCTGATATTAAAGGCTGCAGGTCCCCGCGGCCAAGGGGCGCGATCAGCAGCACTACTCCACGATACGCCCGGTGCGTGTGGCTTTGCTGAGCCCGATATACGAAGTACGATAACGCACCCCGCGTCGCCATGGCATACCAGCCGCAGTATGACGGCCGCCCGCAGCCGCGCCAGCAACAGCAACAGCCACAACAGCAACAGCAACAGCAACAGCAATATTACGACCAGCAGCACGCGCCGCAGAGACAGCAGCAGTATGCAGGCCACAACAACCAGTACGACCAGCAGTATTACGACTACGGCTATGATCAGCACGGATACGAGCATGGCTACTACGACGACCCGCAGGCCGGATATGCTCATGCACAGCAGCAGCAGCAGCAGTATAGCGACGGGGGCGGCGCATACGGGCGACAGCCTCCACAGGCGCAAGGGCGCAGACCACCGCCACAGCAGGCGCAGTATGGGCAGGGCCCGGGCTACGACAACCGCCAACAGCAGCGACTGCCGCCGGGCAACGGGCAGGATCCCAGGCGGCCGGCGGGCAGAGGGAATGCACCACCGCCGCTTCAATCGCAAGAGCGCGGTGGTCTGAGACCGCTAGGTGAGCTGGCGCGTAGTGGCCGGTGCAGTACAGTGTGCTGACCACAGAATGCAGGCATGGACCGCTCGATGCTGCAGCAGACGTCGCCAACAGCGATGCCCCAGGACAACCCGTTTCCCTCATTCCCCACCAAAGATGCCAAGCAGGCACCGCCGAAAGAGACCCTGGACCAGGCCATGTCGCAGATGGACATCAACGGCAGAATGTCGGGCGAGCGGCAAAGAAGGCCTTCGGCTCGCGGCATGCACCCAGATAGCAGAGGACCTGGAAGGTCAGTACCGAATGGCAGAGCAGACTCAGGGCAATTCGAGGGCAACGCGCAAGGACAGCGCCGCCCACCACCGAACCGCATGCCTCCAGGGCAAAGACCGCCTCCCATGGAGCTGGATAGCAACAGGGGACCGCCTCCTCCACGCCAACAAGGCCCGAGATCGCCCTCGCAGCAGACGTTTGGCCAGGGCATGCAGCGTGCGGTCACAATGCCGCAGAACATCGACACATACCAGCAGCAATGGGCAGATCCTGGCGCCCTGGATAGCTACCACGGCCCCGAATCACCTGCGTACATTCCTCCTAGGCCGTCAACTGCAGGAAGCAACAGACAGAACGGACCACCGAGACAGCCGCAGCATCCCCCTCTGCCGCGAATGCAGACTCAGCAGCAGCAATATGCTGCGCCGAGCCAGCAGCTACCGTCTCCAGATGGCCACACGTCGACATTGGACACCTTCTACGATGACTACTATCAAACCGGCGGCGACCGTAAGAGTATAGCTTCGACGATAGACATGCCCAACTTTGATGCAATGCCAGAGCCCAGCCGTGGACACAGGCGAGGCGACTCAATAGACAACCACCTCTCACCAACCAGCTTTGACGGACCGAGACAGCACCAGCAAATCGGACCAATGGAGGATGCTCCTCCACCGAGCAACTTCCAGCAGCATTCATTACGAAGCAGATCGCAGCCTGATCTGAATGCTCAATACAACGGCAACTACGAGATGGCTGCAGACGCCCCTCCCATGCCGGCACCTGCAAGGGCTAACACTGGCTTTGCGGGCCCCAATGGTCTACCACCTGGGCCGCGAGGACGAGGGCTGCCTCCACGTGGCATGACCGCGGATGGTATGCAAAGAGGACCGCCCAATCAGGGGTTCGACACACGCTTTGGAATGGGTCCACCACCTGTTCAAAGAGGGTATTCGGGTGACACCGTCTATTCTGAGCCAGGGCTGAATACCATGAGGAATATCTCTTCGCCGTTGCCCGGGCCTCCAATGGTCAGACCTGGTACAGCAGCACCTGCACCTGGTCGTGCACCTAGCGATCCACTTGGCCGACGTCCAGGCACGGCCCAGCCACAGATGAACCCGGATGCATTGCCTGCACACCCAGTCCCAGTCCGAGCTGGCCTTGTGCAGCAGCAGCAGCAGCAACGGCAGCCAACAAACACTCAGAGACCGCCCCCTGTTAGACAGTACAATGGCGAGCAGTCCCGCAACAGTTTGGAGAGCCAGCACTCTATCACGCAACAGTCTGCAGGCGAACGACGCAGCTCTGTGTTACATCCTGTCACATATGACGAACTCAATCGCTTGAGGAAGATATGGAAGGATTACCCCAACGACGATGCTACTGGGCTACGTCTGGCAAAGAAGCTAGTAGAGGCTGCAAGCGTACTGGCTGACGAGAACGGGACAGCAGATAAGCGAGCTCGCGACAAGAACAAGGAGAAGTTTATCCTTGAGGCTCACAAGATTGTAAAGAAGTTAGCTCAACACCAATATGGCGAAGCAATGTTCTACCTGGCGGACTGCTATGGGCAAGGGCAGCTTGGGTTACAGGCTGACACTAAAGAAGCCTTCACGCTTTACCAAGGGGCTGCCAAAGCTGGCCACGCTGCAAGTGCGTATCGGACAGCTGTCTGCTGCGAGATGGGCCACGAGGAAGGCGGTGGTACGAAGCGTGATCCACTGAAGGCAGTGCAATGGTACCGCCGCGCCGCAGCCCTCGGCGACACCCCAGCGCTCTACAAGATGGGCATGATCCTCCTCAAAGGCCTGCTAGGCCAGCAAAAGAACCAAGGCGAGGCCATCAACATGCTCCAACGAGCCGCCAATCAAGCCGACCCTGACAATCCCCACGCCCTCCACGAGCTCGCCCTCATCTACGAACAACCCGCCAAAGGGAATGAACGCGTCATACCCGATGAGGCCTACGCTCTGCAATTATTCATGCAGGCCGCCGATCTGGGCTACAAGTTCTCGCAATTTCGCCTCGGCCAGGCGTACGAGTACGGATTGCTAGGCTGCCCCATCGAGCCCCGGAAGAGCATCGGCTGGTACACGAAAGCTGCGTCACAAGAAGAGCATCAGAGTGAACTTGCCCTCTCGGGATGGTACCTCACGGGGATTGAGGGCGTGCTGCAGCAGAGCGATACCGAGGCTTATCTGTGGGCGAGGAAGGCGGCGTGTGCCGAGCCTCCGCTGCCCAAGGCGCTGTTTGCGATGGGGTATTTTACGGAGGTGGGCATAGGGTGCCCGAAGAGTCTGGAAGAGGCGAAGAGGTGGTATGGACGAGCGGCCGGTAAGTCACATTGATCACGCAGATTAGGGGAGAGAGACTGACATGTTGCAGCATACAAATTCCCCAAAGCGCAGGAACGTCTTGAGGAGCTGAAGCGCGGCGGCTCAAAGGCCCAGATGAAGCGCGAGCGTCTTAGTAGGAGCAACCAGAAGCAGCAGGAGGAGAATTGCAGCGTCATGTAGGGTGTCAGATGTTGGGATATCATTCTATACCCGGTGCATATTTGCATTGCGCTCTCTGCGCAGGAGCATGGAGGTGTCGCATTGACTGTGGTGCTTTCACAAGGCAGCATGGAACGGAGTAATCGAGTACTTTACCGTTCAGGCGTCTCGCAGACTCATATCACTCGAGGCCGTCACTTTCGCCACTACCGCCCCGGAAATGAGTCAACTACCTCCTCCACCACCAGCGCCAATTAGCTCCACTTCCATCAACGCAGCAGGCCCGTTACGTAGCTGAAGCTCTTCGACCACCTAGGGCTCTTCAACAAGCTGAGATCCTTCGACAAGCTCAGGCTCCACTTGCTGACAGTCGACGCGCAGGTCTCCAAACAGTCTATATTCAAGCCAGACTGAATGGACACCACAGTACTTGATATATCCGAAAGAGCGTTGATGTCCATACTGTAGTTCTACACACATAGCTAAAAGGACTGTACATTCCATCAGCAAGCCTAAGCAGTAGTGAGCTGAATAACGGCGCAGTTGATACTAGAAGTTGGATGGTCAAACTCCACGTCGCCGACGTAAGGGGAGAATGGTGTGGATCGATCATGCTTAATTCGAAGCATTAGGACCAGTCGGTAACCCATCGAAAACAAGAATCCGTTGCCATCTTCGAGGCAAAGGGATTCTCTATGACCGAGTTTGAGTTCTGGAATTACTGCATTTCCAAGGAGCGAGATCAGCTGGAGTGAGACCTCTTCTATGTAGGGAACTGCTTGGCTCGGGAAAGGTGTTCGAGGAGGCGTTCATGCGAACGGAAAAATGAGAGAAGACGATGTTAGGTTGTTTCAATTGGCAAGGCTCAAGGAAGACACTCTGACGCTGCAACTGAAGATTGTCCTTTGGCGACATTGACAGGGTATTGGTTGTTAAACGGACTAGCGCTTCCCGTCGCGCTGGGATCAGCCGCACCTGTGCATGAGTATATATAAGCGACACGTCAGGCAATCAGGCATTGCCAGCCTCCTGATCCAGCCTTACTAGCTTCCTCTCCACAAAACACTCTTCTCCACAGAATGCGACTCCTCAGCACCAATACCAAAACTCTACGTCTTCATGAGTTCCCCACCGATATTCCGGAATACGTCATCCTCTCGCACACCTGGCTCGACGCGGGCGAAGTTCAGTTCGAAGACATTGAGAAACCTGAAGTTCATAACTTACCTGGATACTCGAAGCTACTAGCTGCGTGTAGACAAGCTATGAATGATGGATTCGAATGGATCTGGATCGATACATGTTGCATCAACAAGAACAGCAGCGCAGAATTGTCGGAAGCAATCAACTCTATGTACAGCTGGTACTGGCAGGCTGAAATATGCTATGCCTACCTGGTCGATGTTCCTGCAAATGAAGATCACACAACTCCGAAGAGCAGCTTTGCCAAGAGCAGATGGTGGACAAGAGGATGGACTCTACAAGAGTTACTGGCGCCAGCCATCCTCGAATTCTATGACAGCAAGTGGAATCGAATCGGAACTAAGTCGAGCCTCATCAAAAGTATAACGGCGGTCACCAACATCGAGGAACGACATTTGCTCAACCGAGAAACGATACATGAGTCCACTATTGCCGCAATCTTCAGCTGGGCCTCTACCAGAAAGACCACTCGAGTCGAGGATATTGCGTATTGTCTACTTGGGCTCGTACGAGTCAATATCCCTCTGCTCTATGGTGAAGGGTCAAGAGCGTTTTACAGACTCCAACTGGAGCTGCTAAACCAGACAGCTGAGCACACGATATTCGCTTGGGATCCGGTTGATGGGGATGACTTTGAAGAGATGGGTATCCTGGCTCCAACACCAAGGAATTTCCGGCACACGGCCAACATCAAAATAGCGTCTCTTCCACGATCAGTAGCAGTGAATAGTTCCTATACTACTCATGAGATGACCAATCGAGGCCTGCGCATATCCCTACCTCGCCTTCCATACCAGCAGAGCGACGGCGACTTTATAGCCATCTTGAACTGCCGCCGGGGGAAAGGAGAATTTGTGGGGATCAAGCTGAAATACATCTCCAGAGAGCAGTACTGTAGGGTGCCTGGCTCGAGAACAATCTTACTCACCTCTAATGAAGTGTTTGGTAATTATCCCTACACGATTTACATTCCAGCAGAGAGCCGCTTGCGGACCGGCATTTTGAAGTCGGGATCGAAATGCACATTACGCATCGGCGCAATCAATATTACGGGGTTTCGTAGCTGCTATATTGGTGGTGTGTCTCTCTATAGCAAGAATGAGGCCAGCCTGCTCAATCTCGAACCAGAGCGTATCCCGAAAGAGCTGGTCTTAAATGAGGACCAGTATGTCAACATACGTTTCGTTGCCGATAGAAGATCGTTCGCAGTCGTCATCGGCCAACACCGGCGCATGACCTGGTTCCGACTCATCACAGCGATTTCCAGACTCGAGCTGAACGATACATTAAAGGCGTTGGTTGAAAAGACACAGGGAGCAAAGGGTGAACGACCAGAGTACATCCAGGATCAAATCTCCTGGCGTCTGGCTCCTAACATCAATGTCGAATTGTCAGGCAAGAAGGCGAAGCTTGTGAAACCTACAAGAGACATGTCGGAGGGAGAAGTGACTCCGCATGAAGAGCCGGAGGCGGAGCTGCGTTGGACAGTGACGATCGACATTCGAGAGGAGAAGTGGGAAACATCGACTGATGTAATTAAAAATATCCCCGAGGGCTTGCAAGGTGATGATAGACCGTGCGTTATAATGTGATTGATGAAAAAGGACCATAGATGAAGAGTGTTGTAATAGGGGGGCTCGCTTGTACTTATTCAAGTGCGCACGCGCTCCAGCTGGATTCGAAGTGTTAGTTGAAGACATCGCGGAACACAATGCTTATGCTTAATAATATGAGAAGGCTCTTTGGTGATCGATGATGGCACAGCAATTACACAATCAGCTGGGGTGGTCGAAGCTGAGAAAGGTCCGTGCATTGCGGCAGTCCTCCGCTTCCTGACAAAGAGGGTCTCAAATCAACGACCGTTTTCGACAACACGCCAAGAAAAGGCTGCGTCGGATCCCCACTTATACAACACAATGGCGCGATAGATGGTGTGCTCGATGCAATTCGTTCAACATGCGCGGTTTGAGTACGACTGGACCTTACCCGCCCTGGTTCGTACCACCTTGCAAGATCGCGCAATCGTAAGCCAAGCTGACATCAGGCAACTGCTGATATAATAGAGCGGAATGTAGAGTGGAGGCTATGTAGTTCTCCGGAGTTCAAGATACATATAAGGAGTAGTACCTAGAGCAAGTACAAGATATCATCAACACATTGTCACCCTCACTAAATAATCAGCTCACTACTCTTTCCATCACCATCTCACATTTTCAACTATGTCCTACAAGAACGTCATCATCATCGGAGCAGGGGGTAACCTTGGACCCTCTGTCCTAAAAGCTTTTCTCAGCTCCTCATTCAGCACCAGTGTCCTCACCCGTGAGGGCTCCACTTCCACATTCCCCTCTGGCGTCAACGTCATCCGCGCCGATTACGACAACCATGAGAGCCTGAAGAAAGCCTTTCAAGGCCAAGACGCCGTCATCTCCCTCGTCGGTGGTACCGCCCTCGGCGACCAACAGAAGCTCATTGATGCCTCCATCGCCGCGAGCGTCAAGCGCTTCTTCCCCTCAGAATTCGGCTCTAACACACCGAACCCACGCACCCGCGAAGTGGTCCCCTTATTCGAGGCCAAGACAGGCGCCGTCGCGTACCTCAAGTCAAAAGAGAACGCGATCAGCTGGACATCTGTGATAACCGGGCCGTTCTTCGACTGGGGCCTGAAGGTCGGCTTTTTGGGATTCAACCTCCAGGAACACACGTTCACTATTGTTGACAGCGGCGATGCGACGTTTTCTACGACAAATCTGCTGTACGTCGGTAAAGCGCTTGTCGCTGCGCTGGAGAAGGCTGGCCAGACGGAGAATCAGTATGTGTATGTGAGCGAGTTCCAGATCAGCCAGAATGAGCTCCTCAAGGCTGCGGAGGAGATTTCCGGTAAGAAGTTCACTGTCGACAGAGTCAGCGCTGAGGATCACATTGCGTTGGGCAACAAGTTGTTGAGCGAGGGGAACCATGCGGGTGTTGGGCCGCTCATCCAGTCGATTACGTTTGGTGACGAGGGGTTGGGCGATTTGAGCAAGAATGGGTTGTGGAATGAGAAGCTGGGCCTTGAGGCGGAGAGCATTGAGGACTCAATTAGGGCTGGGTTCGCTGGCAAATTGTTGCATGAGGTGTAGACAGGCAAGCAGCGGTTTTCATAGGCGTCTAAATGGGTATCTACAAGTTCTCGTATTGTCTGCGCTGTGCTTTGGCATGTGCATGCTTTCGTGGTCTACTTTTCCGTGCCCATTAGGCTGTCTGGTACCCCACCTGAACTCCTTCAGCCAGCAAGTCGCTTACTTCAAGAAAGTGTTCACCGGCAGACGGTACACATCGATGGTCCAGTACGGCCTCCTTGTACCCTCCCACTCCTTACTTCCGTGCAGACCCGAGGGGACCTTGATGTCCTCCCAAGTGGTATCGAAACCAGCTTCATACAAATCGATCTCAGACACCTTAGTGTAGACATCGTAGCAGATCTGTCGGTCAGCGCCGAGACCGTTGTACCACCCGAACTTGCCATCCTTGGCAAGCAGCTGGATGACGTACTCGGCGAAGAACTCCTTGAGCGCCGCGTAGTCCTCTGCGAATGTGTCGTAGTAAATAGCATCCAGAACAACGCCCTGCTCGACGAGCCTGGGCAGTACGTCTTGCCAGCGGCCCTCGTGGATGTGCACATTGGGCTTGTCGTACCATCCGGTCTCCCTCAGGCGCTGGTGCACTTGCGGGTGGGCCTCGATAATGTGATGCTCTGAGGGGTCGTGGGTAAGGATAGCTGTGTCGACGATACCCATTCCGTGGCCAACGTTCATGGTCCGCAGACCCTTCTTGGGGATGAGGGTTTCCGCGTGTCTCTGCATGATCTCGGTTTCCCAGTCCATCATGACGGCGTTGTCGCTCTCATCGAGGAGGATTCCGGGCTTGTAGCGCAGCTGCGATCGGATGTAGGCCTTGTTGTCCAGAGATACGTCGTCGAGGACCTTCTCCTCGACGGCTTCGGTGACGGCTTGAGCTTCATCTTCAGAGACCTTCTGCTTCTTGGGCGCGGGCTGCTCCTCTGTGATCTCCTCATCCTCCTCATCATCCACCTCAATGGCAGAAGTTCCAAGACCAAGAGCCTGCATCTTGGCGAATAACAACTCAGCGCGAACACCAGCTTCAACCATCAAGTCGTAGATTTTCTCCTGGCCGAGACGAAGAGCGATGCATCCCGGCGTCTCGTCCTCCTTGTTCAGATCGTTCCAGATAGCTCCGTTTTCAAGTAGGATGTTGATGGTCTCAATGGCAGCATCGCCAGCCTGCTTTCCTTCTTCAGCTTTGCCGCAAGCTGCAATAGCAGCGTGGAGTGGCGATGTTGCGACTGTTGCTGTGGGGTCCTGGACATTAGCTGAGCCCTCCTTAAGCGTAACCTTTAGCGCCGGGACATCATGACGCTCTGCAGCCGAGATGATACGCTTCGCGAGAAGAACCTCCTGTTCGGTTGCATGCTCTGCCATTTTGAAATGTTGTTTGAGATTCTTGTTCCTTACGACGCCTGCGGGGACATTTTTTTGCTGCTGCAAGGATCACTTATCGATAGCCGAGACTAGTGTCTCACCCCTCTTGCCTGTTGTAGTTAAGACAACTTATGATAGTCAGGTATGGTGTAAACGAGTGAGTGATGTAGTTGATGCTCGCTAGCTAGGATGTAATTTTGATACCAATAATGCCTCCTTACTGTTTCTGCCGCTCAGGTGGCCGTCTTCGTTCTCTACATTTGAGCTGCGGAACGAGCCAGGAGCCCGGCAAGTCAATCGGGCAGATCGCGCCTGATTATATATTTGATGTCTTTGTTCCAATCTGCTTCGTGGTCCCTTATGCCTTACTTACGGGTTATTCTCCCTGTTTGGCTGCTCTTGCGATGATATTCTGGGCTTCTCGGCAGTGGACTTCCGTTTCTGCGATGCAGGCTCCGGTGTGGGCTTTGAAGTAGTGCTTGATGGTCTGGTGGAGACAGGTCTCGTTTTGAAAGCCGACAGTAGACTTGCCCGCTCCTGTTCCGTATCACTTGTCAGATCGATGGGCTCACCATGCTGTCCACATGTAGACTGCAGTGTACTTGTGCTGCCTTTCTGTGTCGAACGCGGTTGACCTGGAAGGGGCTCTCTTAGAGTGACCATCGCTTGAGGCTGCTGGGTACCTCCATCTTGCCACATGCTATGACTCGAGGAGAACGGACCTGGCCCGGCCTGCATGGGCGCTACTGGCGCTCGTGGCGGCTCTCCTGCAGACTGTGGATGGTATTCAGGTAAGCCGCTGGGTAAAATTGTAATAGCAGATCTATGCGCGGATTGATAGCCGTTGGTTTTGTTCATATGCTGTCTTCGCACTTCTGCAGGAGGAGGCGGAAGTCCTGAGTCTGGGTTCGTTCGCATTTCCGCCGTTCCAGTGGATCGACCAGTCGTGTGGTTGATTGAGCCCGACAATGCATTAACATCATCGAGTAATCCACTCGGGACGCTGTTCTCAGTACGTCTTCGTTTCGGGGACCGCAAATCCGGCATAGGAGCTGCAACCGGCTCTTGCTCCACAGCGGCAGGAGTCTCGATAAGCATCTCGTCGACCGGTGCTTCCGCTCGCCGTTTGGTTCGGGCTGTGAACCTCCCCTTTTTAGGGGCTGCAGCCGCAGCACTGATTGCTGCTACAGTCGAGCTGGCTGCTGCTCCTTCACTGGAAACGTTCTTCTTGGTTGGCTGATTTGTTCGTCGGCTGAGAGTGCTCCCATCAATGGCTCCTCGGATGGTCTCCAAGTTCTCAATATACTCCCAGAACCATTTCCATACAGTTGCGTTGAGTCGAAGATCGACAAAGTTCTCACGCACAGCTGTACGCATAGCTTGGATATCGCCAAGTAGCAGCCTGTTGTTACGAGTCTCGGAGTGCATCGAGATGAGAACAGATACTGCGACCATCTCAACAGGAGCGAATGTCTGTACACCCCGTAGGTACTTATTGGCGTTCGTGAACGTGTCAGGATCGGCCTCGATGAGGTCCTTGAATGTATTCCAGACGCTCGCAAGGTGTGACTTGAGGGCATCGTCCACAGCGCCCTTGTTACTTAGAAGCTTCGGTAGATGGGTGTGATTGGTCTTTAGTACTGGTACGCCGTTCGCAGCTGTTGGGTGCATGCACTCAACAATCTGACTGAAACAGGATAACGTGAGCTGGAAGTCCTTGGACCTGGCTCTGTCCTTCATCAACGAGTATACGGCTGGGAAGTCCACGACGTACAGCCTAGCGAGTTCTTGCCACGGCCCCGTCGATGCGCGCATCTTTTCTGCAAGGTTCAACTGCATCCCCATCTGAACTCTGGCAAAAAGATCCTCTTCTTGCTCTGGCGATAAGTTGTCGTATTCGAATGCCACAAATTCTTTCAGGAAGAACTGCTTTTGCTGTTGCTCCGATATGACTCGCTTGCGCTTGCTACCTTCTGGTTCGCAAAACCACCTGTAAACATCAGCACAAGAATCAAGGGTGTCTTTTACTGCCCTTACCACTTCTCTCCTCGGTGATCGTGACATGGGATCATGCCCTTGATGAACGCAAGCACAGATGACAGACGTTGCTTGCCATCAACGCATACGTATATTTCCTGAGGAGCTGAAACATCCTGCTGCGGCCGCGGCTTCTTGTTCAGTAGAATGGGAGGGATGTAGAAATTCTCTAGTTGCTGTTGTCAGTCCAGGATGTAGCGGTTGGCCGTGCAATCCACTCACCCATGAGCGAATTGATCAGACTCGTCATGCGATCAGCTACGTCGCTTAGTCAGCGAATAAGTTCCAAGTTGCGCCTGTTCAGCTACCCACCTGTCCAGACAACGTCTCTCTGATACTCAGGGTCAACGTCGATGTCTCCGGCTTGCAGCCTCTCTGTGCAAATTAGCCTGCGTCCAGAATAGAAAACGTCACTTACTTACTCATCAAATCGGCCAGGCTGCGTATGAGAATCTCAGGCTCTTGCAGCTGCGGCCGCGACCTGTAGACACCATCGTCGCCTTCGCTATCGTTGTCGTTGTCATCGTCGTCGTCGTTGTAGTTGTCCTCTTTCTTAACAACTTGTCGTGTTGCGGCTGCAGCATCATTGTAGTTGGGCCTGCTTTTAGTACCTGGAGGTCTGGCGTTGGGCTGGTTGCCGTTGACCTGGTTAGACTCCATGACCAGACCTGGCATGCTGTTGTGGCTAGAAGCTAGGTGCATGGTCTTGCAAAATCACCCCTCACTAGCGTATATTTTAGGCTTTCTAGCTTTTTAGGGCCAGAACTGCCTAGGCAATTACCAAGTAAGCAGAGAACAGCTAAACACTGCTATTTGATGTTTTGTAGGACTAATAAATCCCTTAAGTTATAATCCTTTGTAAAATTCAGCAAGCTATCCAGGTGAGTTAGAGAAGCTAGAAGTGAGGTGTTGTGGGAAAGGGGCACCCCTCATGTAGGCAGCTGGAAACAAAGGAGGCAACAGCGATAACACGCAGCTCGCGGTCACACAGCATGTGACAGTGAGAGACACGATTGCAGGCGGTGTGACACGTGCGCAATAGACATCCCGTTTCACATCATTAACTCCTCTCTATGGAAATCTGCCATGCCATCCCTGACCACTTTGCGCAGCTGTGCAGCTGCACGGCCCATCTCACCACCAGCCTTGAGAGCTTGCTCGAGGCCTACGATGACAGCCGCTTCAGCCCTATCATTGAATAGTCTCTGTCGATCCTCGCGATCCTCGAACATTTCTGCATCTTCGTCTCTCGTCGCACTGAACAGGTTCAGCTGCGCGTAAACACTCGACCTTTCGGACAGCATGTGGTGTTGAGTTTGCCACAGCGGGAAGCTGGTGTTGTTCGTAACCGTCGCGACTGCTTGATACAGCCCAGCTCTTAGAAAAGCTGTGAGAGCGTCCATCTGCTTCACCTGCAGCTTTGCGTCATTCTTGCCGTAGGATTTCGCTTGAGACCACTTGCCCTCGCCTTCTGTTTTCCAGATAAGCAAGCTCAAGAAGCACTTCAGCATCTTCACCCATCCACCAGCGCAACTCACAACTTCATCGCCTGCAACGCTAATCAGCCATTGAAGGGCCTCTAGTGCAAATGTCCGAATCTCAGCAGACAGATGCGTCATTCCGGCTCTCGTGTGGAGCAGAAGCTGGTCTGCATGCGTGGCGACTTCGTTCTCTGGAAGAACTTTCAAGAGCTTGAGGAGCTGCTGCCGAACAGCGTTTGACGGGTCCAGAATGAGTCGCTGTACTGCAGGAATGATAACCGATGCTGGCTGAGGGAGTGAAGTTCCAGGAGCAACGCCTGTGATGGCGGACGTGAGGAAAGCTAACGATTCCTGTCGCTGCTTGTCCGCCTTGTGGTCCAAGAGGCCCAGATGGTGGGCACACTGCGCTTCTAATGTTGGTGCATTCGCAGAAAGCGCCTGCTGCTTCAAGGAGATCGCTGCGACTTTGTGAGCTTTTTGATACACGTGTAACTTGGTGTTCGTCTTACATTTCGCTTTGAAGCTTGTGCTTGTGGAGTTTGCGGCCTTGGGCGCAGCCTTTCCAACCCTCAATTTGGGTTTCTACGCACTGTTGGAATCATGCATCGTTCACGTTCGTGTGCAACATACCTGAAAATCCTTCTTCTTGTCCTTCTTTTTTTTCGAGCTGGCCGTCATCTTGCTCTTCAGCCGCAGTCAAGGTAATTCGTCCGATATGTTCTTGTGATTAGAGTGATCGTCGGACGCATGAATGCTGGTTTCGATGTTACATGAGTTACCTCATCTGCAGCCGTTCTTGTGCCGGCTGCGATGCTGCGCAGAAAATTGAAGACCCACAGAGTGCGCTAGCGTAGGGGAAGTTAAGCGCCCGCTGGCTTTTGACAGGGGTCCTCGCCGCACGCCGGCGGCCGCGGCTTTGTGCGCGCAGATGTCATGGAAACCAGCTACAACAAATATACCTGAACAGCGCTTCGTTTCGTCCTATTGCGATATTGCTGCAAGATATGGCTCAGCGTTCAGTAAGTACCTTGCCGTCATCGGGACGGAGATTACTGACCCTTCTAGACAGAAGAAACCCTCTCGCTGCTCACTCGATTGAGTCAAAAGCCTGGCGTGCAAAGCACACTGATCTTATCACGCGACACAGGAGCCATTGTACGCACTTCTGGCCTCATCTCGACCAGCTCATCGGCGAATACAAACGGAACGCTGCCCAGATCGAGTGAAGAAACCCTGGTTGACAACTACACGAATGGACGGACGGAAAGCGGGATACAAAGTGCTGAAGAGGTAGCGAGTGCAGTGTGGAAGTTCTTCGGGGCTGCAGGGAGTCTCATTGATGGGCTCGACAAAGACGACGACCTTCGCTTGCTGCGACTACGGACCAAGAAGAACGAGCTGGTGATTGTGCCGGGTAAGGTCTTCACAGGGAGAAACAAAGCTCCACTAACTGATAGACAGATCCTCATTACATCCTAGTTCTGATCCACGATACGCCGCCCGCCTAGACCGTTCGGATTTCCACGCATGGTCACAGCATCAGTCATTTAAGCGTTATGATACCCCAGCTCTTCAGGAGTCGCAATAAACAATCTACCAGTGCGCTTCACTGACCTCGACCTCATTGACGTTCACGCCATCCTTGAGCCATCGATCTAAACATATCTTAGCCAAGAGGCTCATGTGTGCAGACGACTAAGTTAAAGGCTGCATGTACTCGGGAGTACTCGCCATCTCCATTGATCTCGATGTCATTACCGTTCATTTGACGCTTGCACATCTTGCCGTCATCCGCAAACGTCCAGTCTTCGAGACCGTAGCACCGCTCCCACCTTATGCTATCATGAGCATCTTGGTATTCACGCCTGATTTCATGAGTTGTGAGACCTCATCGGGGAGGTACTCGAACACACCAAAACTGGACGGCAATCTTGTCATCTATGAAGGCGAATAGCTCTTCCGCAGTCGGTAGCTTTTCTCTATCTCCCACTTCTGGGCCAGGAATTGTTCGATTGCCATAGTACCTGCTAGAAAGACCGATTGATTACGCCAGATGCTGTTCACAATATATGCTTGGGCAATCGTCTTCAGGTCTGTCATCACTTTGTCAAGCCTCGATCACGAGCTCAAAAGTAAGCGGTGCTTACTGGCCATTCCACAGGTCTTGAGCCTTCTTGACTTTGGCATTCGCCAATTCCCTGGTGAATGGTGGGGCAAGCGACGTAGTTGCTTTGAACTGAGATTCAGTCTTCGTGGTGGTTGACAAGAGGGCTTCGATGAAGATGGAGGTTCGTGGACTGCAGAGTTCTATCGTCTAACGTGGTCTCCGTGACGGCACCATAAGATTCACTGCATGGACATATCGCTAAGCATGCCGATCATGCCGGCCGGATGCCTTATCGTACAATGAAAGTCTGCAAACCTATCCTGATTAACTAAATTTGTACAATTCACATCGGGCTTAGGACAGTCGGCTCTCATCCACTGGAGACTTGTGCAAGGACGCTGCACTACGAAGTATTCAGCGATCTAATGCTAAGCTCGAGATTCTGTAGCGGACGACTCAGGACGGATACCGAGGTTCATGCATATCACATATGGACACGACTCACTACATTCGCATCGAGACAGCGACAGCTTACAAAACACGAAGCAATCCGACAAGCATGTCTGATAGGACAGAAGTATTTGTCAAACAGCCCTGCCACGCAGGTATCCATACAGCTGTTCCTTGCCGAGTCGCTCGTCATTTTGCCCCACCATACACCATGCCTGTGCCGGCGAAGCTCCGAGCTACAGCCTAAGCAGCTGCCCCTCCAATTTTTGGAGCTCTTTCAAACCACATCTTCTTTACAACTCTTCAATTCATACCAAATTCACACATCAATTGTAATGGCTCCTCTCAAGGTCGGTGACTCTCTGCCCGAGGGCGTCAAGTTCGAGTAAGTACCCGTCTCCACCAGCCCATGCAGGGTGCTCGCTCGCCTCGAGCATTCCCCTGCAATTGCAGTTCAGTGCAGAACATTGCATCCCCCAATTTCTCATGCTTTGCATACTGAAAAAGCACAGGTGGGCGCCCATTACCGACGCCGACCCGACTGCCTGCGGCCGTCCCCAGGAGTACGACGCCTCCAAAGAATGGGCTGGCAAGAAGGTCGTCCTGGTCTCTGTCCCCGGCGCCTTCACACCCGGCTGCCAGGCGCACCACCTGCCCCCGTACATCCAGAAGCTGTCTGAACTGAAGGGCAAGGGCGTCGACGTCGTTGCTGTCATCGCGTCGAACGACTCGTGGGTGATGAATGCGTGGGGCAAGGTCAACGGCGTCAAGGGCGACGACATCCTCTTCCTCAGCGACACCAAGACATTTTTCTCCAAGAACTACGGCTGGGCTGCTGGCATGGGCGACAGGAACGGTCGCTGGGCTATGGTCTTCGACAACGGCAAGGTTACCTATGCGGAGAACGAGAGCAACCCCGGCCAGGTCACCGTTTCTGGTGCCGAGGAGGTCCTTGCTAAGTTGTAGAGAGCTTGTGGAAGGCGTTCGGATGTGTTAGATGCATAGACTTGGCCTCACAAAGGAACGACTCAGATATGATATGATATCATGAAAGAAAACCACACACTGCTCTGTTGAGTAGGTATCCTGGTCTCGAAGAATGATTTTGTGAGATGCAAGCTGTTGAAAGTTTGACCTTTATCTGAAATTGTGAAGTTCACAGTAGATACGCATGTATTCTGCTGTTGTAACGAGTGTTTCAGAACAGCGCTTGTACTTAAGCCTTTTCGGTCCAATTGCGTCTGTCCTGTCGCAGATCTGATATCAGACCGCTCGTGAATTAAGTGAGGTTGTCCTTTGACTTTGGCTGACGAATGAAGCAACGTACTAGTCGTTTGGAAGTGCATTGGACGTGGAGACGAGGATTAGGATGCAGTACTTGTTCATGTGAGGTATGATTGTTAATTGGCATCAGTCGGCCTTTGAATGGTGCTGTCTATGATGTGGTCTTGCTGTTTGCCTGCCATTCAAGGGTCTGCGATCGACCCTGAATCTTGCAGGGGCTTTCGTTTTGATTCGTGGCCCTCTTCGTCTCAACTCCCCAGTATACACTGCTCGCTAAATGACGCTTAATCGAAGGGCGTAAGGAAAGACTCGGCGACGAAACGTGCTCTTGCGTTCAACTGTAATGTGTTAGCGTCTATGGTCCATATGCTCGAAGCTGTGCCACTCACAAAGAGCTTCATCTCCGAAATCTCCTTGTCGACCTCCTCCATAAATTGGATGATGAAGTCCACCAGTTTGTGCTTCAACATCTCCTCCGTATGGAAGTTGGTGACCAGGAACGAGATGTCATATCCCTTGATTGGTTTCCTCCTTAGAATGACGAAGCTTTCTGCTCTTTGCTGCAAGAACCGTGTGAACTTGTGGACCAGGATGTGCTCGATCTCGTCTGCCTGCTTGATCTTAATGCTTATGCGCACACTGTTGATGCTGGGCTCGATCAGGACGCGCTCGTTTTCGTTGCGCGAGACGGTGAGGGGGTTCAAGATGACTTCCGGCGACGATGCGGCCTCGATCTCAGGCACATTGTGTCTTTCCGAAGCTTGCGAGGCGAAGTTGGAGAGCGAGATGGCGGCCGTGAGGGACGTGCGCACGCACTGCAGGTACGGGCGGAGGGATTGCGACTGCGACTGTCAGTATGGGGTGCGGAAATGATGCGGAGAATGCGCTGGACCATCTTACCATTGTATGGTGGGCTTATGGTCAGCCCTGGCGCGGTGGTTTGAGCTACAGTCGGGACTATGACATGCCAGCACGGAGAGTTGCGGTGCCTACGGCGGGGCTCGGTGAAGCTGGGGAGGCAGGGATGTGGCGCTTGGCAGTGCCTTCCTCATGCTTCGGCGGTCTACCATACTTTTGCCCCGCAACCTCTTTAGAAACACAACCACCGCCACTCACTGTTCTCAGATACACCTTTTACGTAGTATCATAGCAGTTCAATATGGTGTCAATACCAGGTAAGCAGCGGACATACGCTCGTTTCAGGCGCCACAGCTAACGTCGGTGTTTGTAGTGATTGTCAAGCACCAGGGCAAGAAGCACGAAGTCGAGGTCGACACCACCTCCAACGGCGAGACGTTCAAGTACCAGCTCTTCTCCATCACTGGTGTCGAGCCCGAGCGCCAGAAGATTATCGTCAAGGGCGGCCAGCTTAAGGATGACGCCGACATGTCGAAGCTGGGGCTTAAGTCCGGGCAAACAATCATGATGATGGGCACACCCTCCGGCGACAACACGAATGTCATCGAGAAGCCCAAGGAGAAGATCAAGTTCTTGGAAGACATGGACGAGGCAGAGGCAGCTCAACTGGAAGGCGCCACCCCGGCTGGTCTGCAGAACCTAGGCAACACATGTTACATGAACTCGACACTCCAGGTGCTGAGGTCTGTGCCTGAGCTGCAGGAGGAGCTTCTAAGATACTCCAACAGGTAAGTTCGCTTTCCCTTCAAGAGCTTCCCAATTGCTGACAGACCGTAGCGCCGCCGGTTCGTCCAGCTCGGCGAACGCGCTCAGCCAGCTCGGTCTTGGTGGCCTCGGTGCCTCTATGGATCTCACAGGATCCCTCCGCGACCTCTTCAAACAGATGGGCGAGACCCAGCATGGCTTTCCTCCACTCATGTTCCTCAACGCCCTTCGAGCCGCCTTCCCACAATTCGCCCAGAAAGCAAAGGACGGACACGGTTACGCTCAGCAGGACGCAGAGGAGGCTTGGTCACAGATCGTCGCACAGCTGCGACAAAAGCTGCAGATCAAAAACGAGTCGGAGGCGGAGAAGGAGGCACAGGTCTCTTGGATTGACAAGTTCATGGCTGGCAAGTTCGAGACAGTCATGGAGTGCGACGAGCCTGCAGCAAAGGAGATGGGCGAAGAGCCTGTCACCGGCGAGGACACCTTCTTCAAGCTCAATTGTCACATCAACGTCGAGACGAACCACCTGCGAGACGGTCTGGCCGCTGGCCTGAAGGAGCAGATCGAGAAGAATTCTGAAGTTCTGGGCCGCAACGCTGTTTACACAAAGACGTCGAAGATCTCGAGACTTCCCGTCCACCTGCCGGTCCACTTTGTACGATTCGACTGGCGTCGTGATACCAACAAGAAGGCAAAGATTATGCGAAAGGTCACGTTCCCGGACGAGCTGGATGCGATAGAGTTCTGCACAGATACACTAAAGAAGCAACTGATTCCCGTGCGCGATAAGATCCGCGATGTACGCAAGGAGGAGCTAGATGTTGAGCGCGCCCGCAAGCGCCAGAAGCGCATGAAGGCTGGCGAAGAGAACGACAGCGACCCGCTCGCACAGAAGGAGCCTCTGCAGAAGAAGAAGGAAGCTGCTGACAAGAAAGAAGATGCGAGTAAGCCTTCTGAGCCTGCAGTGGAGATCGAGTACAAGACAGACGCTCAGATCGAGGCTGAGCGCGCCGCATCAATTCTGGCTGCGAAGAAGGAGGTCATTGCCCTTGTCAGCCCAGAGCTTGCCGCAGATGATGGTGCCAACCAGACGGGTCTTTACGAGCTCCGTGGTGTCATCACACATCAAGGTGCTAGCGCTGACAGCGGTCACTACACTTCGTTCGTGAAGAAGCAGGGCGCAAAGGACCCCGTCACTGGCAAGAGGAAGGCCGAGGACGGCAAGTGGTGGTGGTTCAACGACGACAAAGTTTCTGAGGTCGAAGCTGAGAGGATCCAGACTCTGGCTGGTGGAGGTAAGTATCGCGGTTCTGCGATTTTGGCCATCTGCTGACACATACACAGGTCAGAGCCATTCAGCTCTCATCCTCCTATACCGTGCAGTGCCTCTGCCTACTGTCGATGAGGACGTGGAGATGTCTTAGGGGACATTTAGGGGACGTATTTGATGTCCGACCCGGACTTCTTACGCTTGAAGCAGTTGATAGAAGGCGTGATTAAGTTCGGACAAGAGCTTGTTCAAGAGGCAAAGAACAAGGGTAATTGAGCACCCGTCCCTTAGGGTGCAGGGCAGCCGGCGTTGCACAAGAGGTTAGATAAACGCATAGCAGGGCATGTGTTACGACACGATGAATTCATGGCTTCCAGCGTTGGCGCACGTTTGCATTCTATGCACGGCAACCGGCTTTCATCTTCACTTCACGACGCATCGGCGCGTCAATCCTCGTGGCCGCCAAGGCCTGGTCCACTTTCCACCCACGCACCAACTCCCCTCCACATCGTCACCAGCTCGTTTCTTCCCTTCGTATGCGCACTCTGTTCCCTTTGTGTTGTTTTATTACATCTCTCTCGCATCTGTTCATGTTTTAGTGCCACCATGTTTTACAGTCACGAAGGTTAGCCGCAAGACTTGACCTCCAGAAACCTGCAAAGCTAACCGCAAAGTCTTAACAAGCCGCAAGTATGGCGTGGCCACAGTCTGGTATGTTTCGTCTGCTCGCTCGCTCAGAGTGCGGGAGCTCACATGCCACAGGCTCGTTGCAACACTTGGCTCCAAGTCCAGCCTAAAGAGGATCACACGCAAGCAAATGCTCGATGTTGATGTTGCAAAAGCTTGTAAGACCATCGTCGACCCTGCAGCGCCCATGGCCCTGCGTCTGCAAGGCAATTTGTTGTATGTCAGCTTCCGTTGCCCCATTTGAACGAGACTGACGCAGGTGCAGGTACGGTGTATCTCGTGTATACCTGCAGCAGTGCGGCTATGTCCTCACGGATGCACAGTCCGCGCATAATAAGATGATGCTCATGCTGCGCTCGGTGAAGAACCACGCACTCGACCCAGATGCTGGCAAGGCTAGGTGAGCCCTCAAACTTCGTGACGTGTGCAAGTTTAATTTGTCAAGGCCCGAGCAGCTCATCTTGCAAGACGATCCATATTTCCTCCCCGATTTCGCCCTCCCTCCAGCAGAGTTCCTCGCAGACCTCGGTCTCGACCTCCCACGCTCCGGGGAGTCTCAATCTCTGACACCCTTTGGCTCACAGCAGTCCTCGCAGTCTCCACACGTCGGCGGTTACGGGCTCGTCCTTCCCAGCTCCTCCCCAGATCGATCAGTAGGGGTCGGTCTTGAGGGCGACAATGGTGGCCACGATAACGATGGCTTCGTCGATATCGACAACCTACTTAATCTCGAAGAGCCAGAGTTCATCTTCGGTGAGGACGGCAACATCATTGAGTTTACGCCCGCTCAGCATGCGCCGGAGACGCCTGCGGCTGCTGTGGCCGCTGGAGGAGCGCCGATGCAAAGCGATGCTGGGGCTAGTGCTAGGGTGAGACGAGAACACGAAGAGGGACAGCTGGGTCGCGCAGAGGTGAGTTTTGCTGCAATCTCTCACCCAACTTCTACGTCGTCTTTACTTGCTCGACCTACACCCGTTCTCCCCACACCTTGCCTTTTGCTCACCATGCCCATACACCAAGCCTCACTTGGAGTGCGTGAGAATTTTCAGTTCCACTATAAGTGTGCTACATCTTATCAGCACAGCCCGCTCTCGTTCCTGCTTTGGTCATCTTTGCCCTCTCATTTCTTGTCCTCCCACATGCAGCCTTCGCCCATTAGCGCCCTATAATGTCTTTACCGAAGGTTACTCACATCCTCAAGGCTCTTGGTGGCGACCGAATGAACATTGATTTGCCGATCTACGGTGACGACTTGCCAGAAGTCGAGGCGATGTCATCCGCCGTGGAGCAACCCAGCGAACATTCGGAGCAGGTCATTGAATCGGCCTCATCAGTCGCTGCTCCAATGCACCGGAAGAAGAAGACGGCCAAAACTCTGCCAAAGGATAGGAGACTCGAATTAAGCAACACGGAGCTCCTGGCCTGGAACACCAACTACCTCAAGAACATGAAGCAGGCGGCTCGATCGGGGGTCCAGAAGCGCATGCGACAACAAGCGAAGAAGAATGCCGAGCATTATGTTTGGGGGGCTGGTATCGGTGGTCTCGGGCGCGACTATTTCGCTGCTCGAGGCCCTCTCGCCGGCTTTATGGGGGATAATTTGTTCGAGCTATTCACCGGTACAAGCAGGAACCCCAATGCTGCATCCAAGCGCGACCGCGATAGTGGTATTGACGAAGCCACCCAGGAAGAGTCACGTCGTAAGCGTCAGAAGACCGCGGAACCTGAGGAAGAGATCGGTCGCGGTCAAGACGATGAAGGTTTTTTCATGCCCGGTGGTGATGAAGAGGTCGAGCTTCCACGGGAGGCAGTCTCTGCGCTCGATGACCAGCAGATCTTCTCTGCTATGCCATGGAACATCAGCGCTTCCAAGCGTGGCTCTTCCGCGATTCCACTCAGCGGCCGCGTCACCATGATGAGCGAGCAAGGCAGGCAGGGCAGCCGAGCAGGAAGTCGTATGGTCTCTGCGTCGCCCCTTCTTCGCCGCAGTACTGGTCGGTTCGAAGCCTTGCAGAGCCTGGACAGCGATGCCCATGGTGGAGACGAGTTTGCTTTCGCAGCACCTACGTCCGATCCCGTTGAAGCTGAGGAGGGCCCCACACAAGCATCGCTGCGTGTGCGCGAAGCTCTGTCCGCCGAGGGAGAGAATTTCTTCTCATTTGTTGCTGAAGCCATCACGAGCAAGGTCGATGTTGCGGTCGCGGATCCGCTCGAAATGCCCGCCGAGGATCAGTTTGGGGCTATCGAAGTTGATCAGGTCACCTTCGAAGAGCTGCTTCCACCTCGCGAGACTAGCAAGATGATCGCTTGTCAAGGCTTCTTGATGCTCCTGTCCCTAGGCATGAAGGGTATGCTTGACGTTCAGCAGCCTACTGCATTCGAAGACATCACGCTGAAGCTCACCGAGAAGGCGAAGGCGAGGCAGATCAGCAATGTGGTTGACAACGATGACTTGGAGCAACTTGCCTACGAGGATATGGAGGAAGGACCTGCAGAGGAAGCTGCATCAGTAACCGAGGCGGGCGACGACGAGGAAGTGCTGGAATCGGACAGCCACTTCCAGGAGCAGATTACTGCCGGCCACGATGCTGCTGGTGATAACGATGATCACGATTCACTTTACAACAGCCACTGAACGATCTAACGACATATAAGTGCGACGATAATATGGCAATGGGGAGATTTCGGACACTGGGAGGCTTCTATCTATCAGCATTTTGCGTCTGCGCAGCTTTCGCTGGCTGGCGCATACTACACCATCTGTAGCACACTCTGTATTCCACATACTGATTAGAAGTGTGAATGCTTGTAACTCCATAATGAGATTGTAAGCACGCAGATCTTTCGTAACTACTTACTTTCACTTCACTCTGAGTCCGTAAACAAGCGAGCTTGGCACTTATAGGCTACCCCTATATGCCACCTACCTTCCTTACGCTTGATTTTGGTGCGTGCAGTGGGACATGCTTACCTGAAGTTTTGTTCGAAGTCCTTGTTAATTCTTATTTTTCTGTTATGGGGCCCGTTGAAGACGCTTGTCTCGAACGCGGTCTTAGACTATGCGTCAATGAATGGTGGCTGGTGGTACGATGAATGTTAATGTCCATGAATATGTGTTGATTCATGCCGCTTTTCGCTACCATTGTATGCACATGATTGATCTCCAGATGAACTCCAACATTCATGAGACAGCGATATTTCCTTAATCCCTTCACTATATCGATCGATTACGCTCTCTTTGCTCGAGAAGCTACTGGCCAGGGCGTTGCGACTTCGCAAAAGGTCGAGGGCAACTATGTTGTCGGCGATGTGAGGTTGTATGACGAGGTGGAGGAAGGAGACCTCGAGAGGAAGAGCAAACAGATGATGGAGCGGATTGACAATTTTGTGTGGAAATACTCCTCTCAACCTAGGGACAAGTCGGCTGCATTCTTCGAGTTTCTGGAGGATAGAAAGGATCCCATGAACCTCAGGGGTACAAATTTTGAATGTGAACAGGTTCAGATATGTTTAAGATGTGTCCACAGCGAGGAGTATCGTTCCAGGAGACAGGTGTGGTGGACGACAGACAGGATCGATTTAATAGCACGAGATTATCCTCCGGGGTCTAGAGGGGACGATTAGTGGCGTCTACTACTATCTGTGTCATAGCCATAGGTTCGGGGGCAGAGAATGGTAGTGGAGAGATGCCACTTTATAGATATCGCGCTGACAGTTTTTTTGAGCCTCGATCCTAGTACCTATGATATTCCAGGCCAGTGGCTTTAAGCATCCTTGCACCACGACCTGGGTTTTGGCATTGGACAGAGGGACGCTTCTTGCCAACGGTACGCACGTGTGTCCTCTCAACCCGTTCCCGCAGCTGCCAACCTTTACACTCTCCTTTCAGTTCTACCATCTAATGCCGCTGTATACTCGATGGAAACTGCGCTGAGTTGCTTGCTAGCTAGGAGGCGACCATATATACATGCCCTGAGACGTGCTAGTCCAAGGTAGTCAACAGATGTGACGATCAAGGCCTATAGGACCGAATTGCACCGCAACATTCTTTCTCTCTTGATCGCATCATGCTCCAGGAAACTCGTTGCCCAAGTCCCAATTCATCGAATCTGTGTCTACGGAACGCCACCCTGTACTTTTAGGCCCTGATTCGAACTCCAGTATCACCTCGTGATGTGTGTACGGGTACTCGCTGTACGGGTGTAGATGAAAGAGAGCGTCTTGACCGGTAGGAAGAGGTTGGTGGTTGACTGTGTGCCGACGGTGCGTTGCACACTGGGCCATGGATAGCTCAGGGTGCTTAGTCCGAGTGCTTGGAAAGGGAAGTATATCTCGCGAATGCGAACGCATGCCATAACATGCATCGTTGAGGCGGTGTGGTTTTCGTGCAAGGAGACCAGTTAGGTGTTGTAAGTTATGAGTAGTGAGAAGGAGAAAGCTAAGGAAGGACGAAAGGAAAAGAAGGGCTAGGTTGATGACTAAAGTGAAAGGAAGTGAAAGTCAAGAAGCAGCATAACTATCGATGTTATTTTTTTTTAGAAAACGTGTGCCTGGTCGCTCGTTGAATTCATGCACTCGCGCAACGTGTACAGCAGTAAATTCTGTCACCCACGTCGTTATTCTTCCGCCTCCACAGCCTACCTGAAAACGAACGGCAAGTTATCGAGCGCGCAAGGCGTCGCGATTGAGCCAGCGATATGCAGGAAGCTCCTTGAAGTCGAACCTAAGAATTGCACAAGGCAGTCGCGCATTCTCCATCTTCAGAAGGCAGAACAAGTGGCCAGGTTTAGAGCCCATCAAACGACTTTCACCCCAAACCGGCTATACCTTTACGGACATCTACCACGACACGTGCAACTTGCGTTGTTTGAAAGCGCGAATCTACGTGCACCAGTGTAACGACAAATGGCAGACAAAGGTGCGGCGCACCAGATATCTGGTATCGACAGGCCGCGTCGAGGTATGTGTCATGGGCTGCTTTCTTCAGGTAGCAGAAGATACTGAAGGAGCAACGCTTTAATCTGGTTCAGATGGGACGAGGGGAGACTTCGGTTACTTTCTCAGGGGGAGACTAGTAATGGGGAGAGGCCACGGTTTTCCCTTTAAGCTGTTAATAGGACGCACTTCGAAGAGACAACCCGCGGGTGCTCTGATGGTTCCGCATCTGATCCTTACAAATTCTACCTGCACGAGCTCTCGATACTCAACCTTATCCGTTCGCATGGTGAGTACAAAGGACCCCAACATAGAGCTAATGTTATGGTGTTAGTCCTGCGAGGCTGTCCTTGACGTCAGTCCGGATCCACTTCGACCGAAGAGCACGGTTGCGACACGTTGGAAACACCAAATGTTGCGCGACTTTGGCATGCTGGCCACAACGATAGACTTGTATCCCACTCCTTCCCTTGGATCTTCACCTCACACTTCATAGAAATTTGTCCGCAATCTGTAGAAGTTTTTCCTCCCAAAGTGTTTGCATACCCCGCCATCTATACGATCTGTGCAAGCCACCCACGCCATGTCTATGGTATCACAAACGCTGCAGGGCGCGGTGCTCAGCATCACGTCCAACGTCCTCGCGCAGGGACTGTCAGCATACAAGGATAGCGTACGCGATATCTTCCCTTGCTTATGAGGACCCGCTTGCTGACCCGTATCTGCACAGACACCCTTTTCTCTCAACATCAGCCAAGTCCTGAAGTTCGCCATATTCAGCATCGTCAGCAACCCACCGAACATCGTCTGGCAAGGTCTTCTCGAAGACTTGTTCCCTACAAATGTCGCTTCGACCGCCCACGACCCAGACGTCAAGACCGTCAAGCCTGCCAAGACCGAGAAGAGCACGAAGAACATCCTGATCAAATTCCTGCTTGATCAGACAGTCGGCGCTGTGGTCAACACGCTCATGTTCCTGGTCTTTATGGGCTATGTGAATGCCTCGCAGCAGGGTACACTAAGCACTCGGAGCACATGGGACATTATCAGGACGGACTGCGAGCAGAAGCTGTGGCCAATGATCAAGGACGGGTATAAGTTCTGGCCTGCGATCAGCTTGATCAGCTTCGTCTGGATACCTGTCGACAAGAGAGTGGTCTTTGGTTGCTCGGTCGGTGTGGTGTGGGGTATCTACCTCAGCCTCATGGCTGGCGCATAATATAGGACGGATACACATAGGGCCTGATGATGCCGAGGGCAATCAAGAACTGGTTTACGTGAAGGTGGATCGGCGGGCAGAAGTGAGCTGATATGCAAGTTCGGCCAGACCGACGGACGCAAGCAGCAGTCAATGACTTGGTGTCTACGACGGCAAGAGACTTCACAGTAGTAGTTACGAAAGACGGTCAAGCGGGCTTCGACTGACAGCTTGGCCCACCTGGACTCCGTAGCTGCAGCCTGCGCGCCTGCAAGAGCTGTCAACGTAGCGGCGAGAGTCTTGGAACCTTGGTTTACACCCCTACAAGCTTCTTCCGCTCCGTACTCCCTTCCGGTCAATCTTCACTGTGTTGAGCACCCATGCTGGAGCTGATATTGATAGTTACGCACAAGCGGTAGACACAAAGGCCACGTTGAAGGGAGCCAGCCCTTCGGTACCGACTTAGCAGAGCAGGAAAAGTCCTGGGAGTGGCGAAAGTGGCTGACTGAACAGGCGGTGCACCAGCAAACGCGGTCAAGAGCGTGGTCAAGGTGCACGATAAGCACTGCATGCTTGTCTCATCTAGTTTAATCCATCACGTCTTCGCTCGTAGACGCCATTTGGGTGCTAGAGGCATCGTGATGAACATGCACAAGCGATAGTGCGGCCGACAGCTCAAGTCTTCCGCCAGCTCCTTGGCGGGAATGATCAGTCCACCGATACTCGGTACCGTGCGGATCTCTTTGCTGGCATTCCAGAGTTCTCATATTCGATAAAGATTGACCCCAACAAGTGCTGGTCTGATAGCAAGGCTGGCAAGGACCAGCGCAAGCCAGTTCTCGCTACAGAGGATTTATCTTCGGCTCGCACGCGCCAACATTTGGTGTACGAGTATCGACCAAAACAAGAGTGGAAGACAAGGGGAGGATATTGCTCCGTCCGCTTTGCACAAGATCTTTGTGCGACCTTCTCAAAAGGGTGCAAGCCTGGTGCAAGGCTGTGGCGAGGCTTCTACTGTACGCTCGAAGTTCGCATCGCTTACCCCCTTCGAGTTTGCTCATCGCTTGGCCGTATCCAAGAGCTGCGATCTTGCCTCGATAATCATCAGATTCTCACGTATGGTGCAAACTGGACAAACCTCATGTTTGGATTATTGTGGCTTGCGCTAATAGGACCACCAGTTCCACAACTCAAGGTGCCACCAGATTGCGCGTCGTATACCTCAGCACTTGAGATGCAGCCACGCGCTACATGAAGAGTATCGCGCTCACAAGCTGGATTACCACAGGACTGGCTTCTCGGCAGCTCCTCATCGCGATCGTTTTGTCGTAACCAACGAGCTAATCACGGTGTTAAGATAACAGCCAATGTTGCTATGTATAGGGCCCGCATCAGCCGTCTCATGCTACACAAACCGTACGCTAAGGCATGCAGAGATGCAGGGTTTGAAGTTCCAAATTCTTGCTGATGCGGCGACATGCAGGCAGTGCGGCCTGGTAGTATTGAAACCTTCTCGTTCCAAATAGTCATAGTTCCCGCTAACTATCAAGTACGCTAATTCGGGCGGCGCCGCAGTAGTGCAGGGCCTAACAAAGGCTAAAACAGTGTGAGTGTCAGAACCCCTAGCGTGTGGCTAGTGACCCTACGCGATTAAGCCGCTCAGGGGGATGAATGCAGTCCACTATCGCCATTGATTTGCAGACCAGTCGAGACGATGTCACGGCTTGTCGATAGGGTTGTGACAAACATCAGGCCGATTAACAAGCGCCGTTTTGACGAGATCCGCTGAGAACGGCCAAGCTCAATGCCCTTGATGAAGGGAGGCTGAGTACCCACTGAATAGGTGCCGTACCTGGCCTTACTCCTTGAACTTGCTTGCCTAGCACAATTTGGTGTCGCGCGTCAAAGTGTTGGTGACGCTAGGACACGTCGAGTCTGCCACAACCAGACCTGGTAGTACCCTAGAACATGGCGATGGAGCTCGAGCTCACCAAACCAAGTCTGGCTCGGAAGGAACTTTCGCTACCTCTTACAGCTCCGGGAGTTGCAATGATCTAGCCGCGCCTACTAAAAACAGACGCAGCTAAAAGCAGAGTTCATAACTACCAACAAGGCACTCTCGTTCATTCCTCTTGATCATCATCACCCACCACTTCCCTGCCTTAGCACCGTCACTCGTTTCCTAGGGTGTGCTCTGAGCCGACTTCCATTATCACCTCGCGATAAGCCTTGTTGCACTCTGCATCAGAGCATTAATACCATTTGACCATTGGCATAGGCCAACCACTTCGGCATATGGCTTCTTTCCACAACGAGAAGTATGGCAATGAGGTCGACAATGACCGCATTGAGCCCCACAACCCTTTCGCTACACCAGGAGCGGCAACACCCAACACACTCACTCCCCGAGGATCCCATCAGAACTCGCGATCAGCAAGTAGGGATGGCTCAAGCACTGGCTTCCGTGGCGGAAATGACTTCAACTACTTTCGCTCACGACGAGTCAAGAAGGGCGAAGTTGAGAAGCCTTGGCTAGACAGAAAAGACCCTCGCGAGAAGTGGGTTACTATCATTCCCATTGCCGGTCTTGTCCTCGGTCTCATTGTTACTGGCATTTTGATCTGGGACGGTATTCGCAGCGTCGCGGTCCATAAGTACTGCGAGATCTACACAGACGACTTCAGCTCGTGGAACGACAAGGTCTGGACCAAGGAGTCCGAAGTTGGTGGTTACGGGTAAGTTGCGTCGAGCACCAGATTAGATGAAGTTACTGACAACAGTCACAGTAATGGCCAGTTCGAGCAGACCACCACCACCGACGAGAACGTTTTTATCAAGGATGGCGTCCTTGTCATCAAGCCCACACTCCAGGATGAGAGCTTGATCAACAACGACAACATCATCAACCTTGGAGATGGCTGCACTGGAACTAAGTGGTCCGACTGCATGGTTGCCACCAACACCACCAACGGTACAATCGTCAATCCTGTCAAGTCTGGTCGCATCAACACCAAGCTCGGTGCCTCCATCAAGTACGGTCGCATTGAGGTACAGGCCAAGCTCCCTGAAGGTGACTGGCTCTGGCCTGCCATCTGGATGTTGCCCAAGGACAATGTCTATGGTGACTGGCCCCGCTCTGGCGAGATTGACATCATGGAGTCTCGCGGTAACAACTACACCTACGCTCAGGGTGGCAACAACATCGCCTCCAGCACCCTCCACTTCGGTCCCAATGCTGCCAACGATGGTTGGTGGCGCAACAACGTCAAGCGCCAGGCTCTCCACACTACCTACGCCGCTGGCTACAACACTTTCGGTGTCGAGGTTTGTGAATCCATCAATACTTTGTGCCACCTATGCTAACCTGGATCCAGTGGTCTGAGAAGTACATCTTCACCTACATCAACACTCGCCTCCTTCAAGTCATGTACACTCACTTTGACGAGCCCTTTTTCGAGTATGGTCGCTTTCCCCTTGCCGACAGCAACGGTACCCGTCTGGACGATCCTTGGGCTTCTACTGGCTCCAACACCTCGCCCTTCGACCAGGACTTCTATCTCATCATTAACGTTGCTGTCGGTGGAACCAATGGATGGTTCGAGGATGGCAAGTCTAGCAAGCCGTGGCTCGATGGCTCTAAGACAGCCAAGAAGGACTTCTGGCAGGCCAAGGACCAGTGGTACCCTTCCTGGGAGAAGAGTGGTCAGATGGAGGTTAAGAGTGTAAAAATGTGGCAGCAGTCTGGTTACAATGGTTGCAATGCGTAGTTGCAGCTGTAGTCAGAAATACGGAAAGTGTTGATGTTGAGCGGCGTTTTGGTGCTCGGGTGGCTTGAACGGCGATCGGCAGGTCAGCCGCTATGAATATACCACCAGAGACACAATAATTTCTATTCATTATCATGAGGATTCTCACATTAAGCTATCGAGAAACTTGGTATCGTGAAAAGATCTGCTCTAACTTGGCACTCCCGCCCGGAGACGAGAAAGATGTGTGCAAGGAGTGGGCAGAGGGGCCGTGCGGGACAGGGTTAGTTGGACCCTTGTACCTGCATGACAATCACTCCTCTAGTAGCGCCGCTGAATCAAAGCGGGCTTGACTCCGGCCTCGAAGGGCCTTATCGCCCAATCGTGTCGACGTCACCATGATAGATGCGCGGATCCTGCCGCGGCACAAGTCAGACGCTGCAGTGTTGGAACCTTCCTCGGCCTGGCCGTCCTCCATCCTGCAGCCACCAGATTACAGCAATTGTCTCAACACCCTTGGTACAAACAACAATACTTATCGCAGAACATGATCTGCCACCGGAGATACGGGGATACCGTTACGGTGATACAATGAGAACGTTCTCATGCAGCTTTATCGGTTAGGTCTCTGCAGGGCCCACCCTCTTCTACAGATTCCAACCCCTGCTGAATAGATCCGACTCCACGGTGATCTCTCGAGGACCACGGTGCGCCTAAGAGAAGTTTGGAAAAACCACGAGGCCTAGCGCTGCCATCTTAGTCCGGCCCGTGGCGCCGCGTCGTTCTGGCCTCAAACGAGTGTCCCAGCACTGTTTTGGGCTCATCGCTGCTCTTGGTACGCACCGCCACAGGTAGGGGGGTTCGACAAGGATGTTGACTTTAGCCTCGAGGCTAATTGACGCCGACCTAGCACCAACACTATCGTAACAAAGACACGCTCGCCCTTGTATCTTGGTGTTCCGGACTATCGAGTGATCCACCGCGCTGAACTGATTCTTGGAGTGCCGCTCTGACCCCGGCGTTTCCTCATTCTCGGTCTTCAGGGTTCATTGTGTGCCACGGTAGAGGTACTCACTACAGGCAGGACGTTGCGGTGGAACGCCGAATAGCGAAAGACTCAGGTACTCGGGCTTAATTTGCACTCAAATTCTGGGTCGCATGAGTGCTAGACATGCTGTGGATATTTGACAACTGCCACATTCGTGCGAGGCGGATGCAGGACCCTTGGAACTGTGTGGCCCTGGGCCAGGCGGAATTGCCCTGTTGGGGCCGAGGGACGCTATCGGCTCCAGGCAGGCATAGAGTTGTAGTCGGCCAACACATCCTGCAGACCAGCAGTACCAGCACGTCAAACTTGACATCATGCATATCTCGTAGTCAACGAACATCTTAGCAGTGCTAGGCTGAGGCCGTCACTTCTTAGGTACCGTTGGCGATGCCACTGCGACAGTCATCCACGTTGTGCTCCGGTTGCTGTCGTTGGCAGAGAGCCACAGTTACCATCGTACTACGGAGGCGCACAGGCTGTCAAACATTTGGAAAACGAAGAAGCAAGGATCCAGATCCAGGAATCGATCAGATCTTGACAGCCTTGCGGATGCCTCTATCCACTACAGACGCCTCGCTACCCTTGGCAGGCGGGAGATAAACATTTCGGAACGCAAAGTGTGCTCGAAATAGTCCGCTCCGCTACAATTGGCTGAAACGCGCCAGGAACAAGCATAGTTTAGGCAATATTCACGGGCGAAGCTGACTAGGACCACTGGGCGCTAACCTCACCGAAGTGGGTCGGTGTTTGTCTACTGCGACCACCTCCTGACAATTGCGACACGGCCGTCGCTTACCAATTTTGTGCTCTTTTGGCAGCGCATTTCATTACACGACGTGGCGTTCTCTGTGGCAGGTGCGACTAATTCCGGTGTTGATTGGCTTTCATCCACGTCGGCGGCCTACTGTCGGGGAGCCCTTCTGGAAGCCAAGCATGACTCGGTCTATCGAGTTACGTCCGGCGAAATGTGAGCGTCTTTTCAAATTCGGCTTGAGAAGTGTCGAGATGGCCAGACTTAATGGGTGCAGCTGAATACTTCGGCACATGGATGCCTCCTTGGTCAATGTGCCGTATTATACATGGACTAGAGCCACCATCCTTTCCTGCATAGGCCAGGTTCGTCCAGTGTTTAGGCCTGCACATTGACAATCCTTACCGGGATCCTCCACATGGCCAGCTTCTCAATGTGGCCACAGCTTCTAGGCTTGCTTTGGTGTATCAGTTCTGCTAGCCTACGATAAAGCATCCGCCAGGCTAGTTGCTACTGACAGAGCTTTGGCCCGTATTAGACCGGCGAGTTCGATCTTCGCTTGCGAATTTGGTGAAAGCTGAGTCTAGTCTCTTGCAAACCTCAATCGTTAGTCCGGCATCAAGCACTGTTGAGCTATCTTTCATCGGCGGTCCCAGTGGTCTAGTCCGGGCGCCACGCTGAGATTCATAGCAAACATCGTCAAACTCGGTTCTCCTCTTACCTATTCTAATTCTGTTGAACCTTAAACCAGTGTAGTTGCCGTCTTTGACGTCTTGTTTTGGATTTCCTCATATGCCAGAGTCCTGCAGCTGATCCCTTTCGTCTGCAACACACTCGCTCACTCTCCGTCGATCATTGACGAGTGGTACCAAGCGCCACGCATCGTCACCATACACATTCACTCACATACACATTCGCTGCCCTTTACGATACCCACTCTCATTCATACTCGACATCATCGACATCAGCAATCATGAGCGGGGGTCCATTCCAGACGCCGGCGCTCAGCACCAAGTCGTCGATGGATGACGTCTCAGCACAGCCCAGCGGTGCGCAAACTCCAAAGAGTAGAGCTGTCTCAATGAAGCTTGGTCGTCACAAGTCGTCGTACATCATGGATTCGCTTCCTCCCCCATCACCATCATGGACACCCGCGCCTTCAATTGGCCCTTTGAGCGGCACCACCACAGCGCGTACATCGCGACGTAACTCTTTCACGTCAATGCACTCCGTCACAAGCCATGGAGGAATTATGGAGGAAATCAAGCATGAGGCTATGGTCAATTTTCTTTTCCAACAACAATGCAGTGAGTGTTTTGGTACTCGTAGCGCCAGCGCGTCACTAACGGCCAACTACAGAAAAGCTCTGGATCTCGAACAACGAAGATGGCATCGAGGGTGTTCTTGTCAGAAAATCACGAGGCAACTATGCCGCCTGCCCACCTTCTCTCGTTGAGTCTGCGCTTGGCTACTACGCCTCGCTCATCAACCTTCCGGTTGTCATCACGGTCAACTCGCGCGTTATCCAGACATTTGTACAGTACACACCAAACGCCACCGACGTTCCTCTCGGCAAGGGTCTTCACATCCAGATTCTTCCCTCAATCGATGACCTGCCTAAGGCACGCAAGAACCAGGGCGCTGCTTTCCTTGCACAGGAGCAGCTTCTCCTTGTCTGGGATGACGACCCAAACGCTATTTTCGGTCGCGCGACACACATTGAAGATGAGCTTATGAAGCTTGTCTGGAGAGCCGGCGAGAGTGAAGAGGAAGATGAGGAAGCCACCAACGAGAAGAAGGGCCCTGCAGTGGTCGAGACTGAGATTGATGAAGAGACTGGCGAGTACAAGCCTGAGAACCGTCCCACCAACATCATGAACGGTGCCCTCGTCGGATGTACTCTCGTCCTCATCACCATCATGTTGGGTCTCGGATTCAAGCAGATCGCTGTTCAGGTCATGGTTGACCAGAACTACATCCGCTGCGCTTTCCTGCTCCTCATCCCCGTCCAGATCTTCTTCACCCTCTTCTTCGCCCAGGTTGTCGTCGGTTGTATCGCGCAGATGATTGGTCCTATCCGACAGATGAAGAGCAACTCCCGCTACTACTCTGCGCTCCTGCCCCGTCGCATTACCGGCAAGCTCCCCCACATCACTGTTCAGTGCCCTGTCTATAAGGAGGGTCTTCACTCTGTAATTGCACCCACCGTCAAGTCGCTGAAGGCTGCCATGGCCACCTACGAGCTTCAGGGTGGATCCGCCAACATCTTCATCAACGATGATGGTCTTCAGATTATCGACGAGGAGGAGCGTCAAGCACGTATCGAGTTCTACCAGGACCACAGCATCGGCTGGACTGCCCGTCCTAAGCACGGCGAGGATGGTTTCGTCCGTAAGGGAAAGTTCAAGAAGGCCTCCAACATGAACTTCGGTCTCATGCTGAGCAACAACGTCGAGGAGAAGCTCGCTGTGATTCAGCGCGACGAGTCTTGGACCCAGGATGATGAGGCCAAGGAGTACGATCGCTGCCTGAAAGAGGTCGTTGAGGAGCACGGCCGGGCCTGGGCTGATGGCAATATTCGTGTCGGTGACTATATCATTCTTATCGACTCCGACACCCGTGTGCCCGTCGACTGTTTCCTCGATGCTGCCTCTGAGATGGAGCAGTCCCCCGAAGTCGGTATTATGCAATTCTCGTCCGGTGTCATGCAGGTCGTCCACGACTACTTTGAGAACGGGTAAGTTCATCTTCACTCTCCATCAATGTGTAAGCAACTAACAAATCTCAGTATCACTTTCTTCACCAACATGGTCTATACTGCTATTCGTTACACTGTCGCCAACGGCGACGTCGCTCCTTTCGTCGGACACAACGCTATTCTTCGCTGGGCTGCCGTTCAGCAGGTTTCGTACTTCGATGAGGATGGCTACGAAAAGTTCTGGTCTGAGTCTCACGTTTCCGAGGACTTCGACATGTCCCTGCGTCTCCAAGTCAACGGCTACATCATCCGTCTCGCAGCCTGGGCCGGCGAGGGTTTCAAGGAGGGTGTGTCTCTGACTGTCTACGACGAGCTTGCTCGGTGGGAGAAATACGCCTACGGTTGCAACGAGCTTCTGTTCCACCCTATGCGCTTCTGGATCACCCGGGGACCCTTCACCCCTCTGTTCCGCAGCTTCTTGTTTTCCAACATCCGTTTCACATCGAAGGTTACCATTATCTCCTACATTGGTACTTACTACGCCATTGGTGCCGCCTGGATCATGACACTGGCCAACTACTTCGCCGTCGGTTGGTTCAACGGCTACCTTGACAAGTACTACCTCGACTCCTGGAAGGTCTGGTTCTCCATTGTCATCGTCTTCACTGGTCTCGGTAACTTGTCCCTCGCCATCATGCGATACCGCGTCGGCGACAAGGGTTTCTTCGCCTCACTCTTCGAGAACATCAAGTGGATCCTCATGATGGCTACTTTCCTCGGCGGCCTCTCCCTGCACGTCTCCTCCGCTCTTCTTGCTCACATGTTTGAGTACAACATGCAGTGGGGTGCCACCTCCAAGGAAGCCGAGTTCTCCAACTTCTTCATTGAAGTTCCCAGGGTTTTCAAGAGTTTCAAGTACTCGATTGCCTTCGGTGTCATCGGCATCGCTGGCATGATTGTCCTCGCTGTTGGTCCCTTCATTCCCTACGGCTGGCAGATCACCGATTTCGTCGCCATCCTGCCCATGGCAATGGTTTGCGGATCGCATTTGCTCCTTCCCATCGCGCTGAACCCCGCGCTCATGACTTTTACCTTCTAAGCAGCAAATGTCTTGCGAATATTGGCGTCCTATCGAGCCGGCGAGCTCATCTGTTTGCCCAATCTGGCTTCGCGTTTTGCCAGGTGTATACTATGCATCGACGTGGCGCTTAGGATGCGTAAACACGCATACACGCTCTCTTCAATGATGAGTACATAGAAGAGACTCTAATGTATAAAGTTCAAACACATACACTTGCTTCTTGCTGTGCTCTGATGACTGTGAGCTGAGGAGTGGGATGGCATAGCTAATGCCCGCTTCGGGAAGGTGGTATCTTCAACGTGGGGTCGGCTTGCCGCATTGAGTAACCCCACAGGACATCTACGCAACCGACCATCGGATCAGTTAATTGTAAGAGATTAGCAACGGCCTCCGGAGTCATCACTACAGATCGGGACACACATATAAACTATTGAATATTAGCTACGCAGAGAACCATTTGACCACCTGGCAGTCTTCCAGGAGCCTCCACGACCGCCGCAATCATGCCTTACAACCCCAAGGTTGGAGACCTAATCTCCTCCCTCGACACACCTTCGATGATAGTGGACCTGGACTTGATGGAGCAGAACATTAAAGAATTGATGTCCCAGCTGCTGCCAACTGGGATCTCCATCCGCCCGCACAGCAAGACCACCAAATCCGCAATTCTGGCGCAGAAGCTCATTGCTGCGGGCGCAAAAGGCGCCTGTGTGGCCAAACTCAGCGAGGCCGAAGTCATGTGCTCCAAGGGACTGACTGATCTGCTGATTACATGCGAAATCATTGGGCCGGCGAAAGTCGCCCGGCTGGTGGAGTTGTGGACACAAAATCGGGAGATCAGGATTGTGGTCGATAGCGAAGAAGGCGCAAGGGCTATTGGTTCTGCAATTGAGAAGGCGGGCGTTGAAGGGCAGATTTTGACGCTGGTTGATCTGGATGTTGGGCTGCATAGGACGGGGGTCCAGCCTGGTGAGCCGGCACTCCGGCTGGCAAGGACGGTGAGCGAGTTGAGGCATCTGAAGTTGATTGGCGTACAGGGTTATGAGGGGCATTTGCAACACATGCATGGAATGGAGGAGAGGAAGAGGCTGTGTCTTGAGAGTATGAGGATTCTGGTGGATACGGCGGAGGTATTCAGGAGGGATGGACATCAGATTGATGTGGTGACTACGGGCGGGACTGGTACTGCGGAGTTCTGTGTTACGGTACCTGGAGTGACGGAGGTCCAGCCTGGAAGTTTCTTGTTTATGGACACTGACTACAGGAATGCAGTGGGAACAAAGTACTCGAATAGCTTGACAATATTGGCGACCGTCATCAGCAAGCAGGGGCCAAAGAGCATCACGATCGATGCTGGGCTCAAGTCGCTCACAACAGACAGTGGTCTGGCTGAGTGCAAAATGCCAGGGTACACGTATGGCGTTCTGGGCGACGAGCATGGGTCGCTGTCGTGGACCGATGGTGCAGACTTGAAGATTGGGGATCAAGTGGAGATGATACCAAGTCACATCGATCCCACTATTAATCTTCACGACTGCTACTACGCGCATCGAAATGGGACTATAGAAGAGATCTGGCCAGTTGATGCGAGAGGGAAGGTTCAGTAGATTGAAGTTAGACCAGGAAGACTCTCCATGAGATCTTCAACAGCCAACTCTGTGGGCGGATCCTTGCCGCATAAAGAGCGCGCTGCTCATTGCGCTCTTGTCATCTTGGTGGTGTCGTAGTGATGCTAAACATCGTATGCTCGTGGTTTGAAGCCTACGCATGAGAGCTGACATGTGGCCTCCAACATTGAGCCAGAGTCTGATGATCATCCATGCCTTGCCTGGAGCCTTCTTTTGAGCTGTATCAAGGTCGAGGAGCTAGGGAGGATAAGCACACTCGCGGTGATACAAACAGCAATCTACTCACCATGTTCTGGACCAGCTGTTGTAATCCATAGTCATGCCAACTGCATTCGATCTGCATATCGGAATTGCCAGGATCGTACTACTCTGCTTTGCGGCACAGATCATCAAACTTTGCCCAAGCATCCCGCACCATGATGCACTTGAATTCTACACACAGCCCAGAGTTAGCTCCGAAGATGGCATTGGCACCATCATCAAACTATCGGGGCTCGTATATCTGCTTCTTGACAGCATGTCTACTCGTACGCTCCTTGCCCTCATAGTGCGTCTTGAAAACTTGTTCACTATACACGTTAAAGATTGGACGGTGGATACAAATGTATTCGTAGATACCCGATTCAGAGATGCTCTCCCGATCACAATGCGGCTACTTACGCGTAGACCTCCACTGCACTCATGACAGGATGTCAAGGACATCACTTTGCCGTTGGCGTCTGCCGGCTTACCGTCCTCTGTCTCTTGGAGGCTCATCATCAGAGCTCGAATGTTCAGACGATGTTTCTACAGGCGAGTCGCCTGCTACAGAAATATCCGACCCCGAACCGGAAGACATACCCAAGTCCCGAAACGATGGATCTTCGCGGTCTTCGCCAACTTTGACTTCTGCAGGTGTGCCTCGAGCTACGCCGCAGGTTCTTTGGCGCTTTCAGAGAGGCATCTTGAAGTGAGGAGAAAGTGCCAGAATATTGAAATCGTCTGGTACTAGTCGAGAATTCACAGTTACTGCTCTGGATCGTTGCGAGCCGATACATCACACATTTGGGGTGTGACATCAGCGCGTTCGTCATTTGGCCGCGCTTAAAACGCGGATCACACGCGTCACATGAGTCGAACAACAAAGGATTGCCAACATCGAAAGGGGAACCAGTACCTGTTCTGAGCTGCGAGACGCTGCTGAGGCGTCAGGGCACAACGGAGGGTCAGGCGGCGAGCTTTAAGGTCCTGCACACTATAAGGAAGGTGCATTGCGCTCGTGATGGCGATCGTGAATCATATTCCATAGCTCCGCGAATGTCCGAGATGGAATTTTGCGCACATAAGCGATGCACGACGCATGTTCCCGAGCGTGGCATGGGCAAGCGGCCTTCGGCGATGGGAAACGTGGAGGATTGCAAGTTTGTTGTTTGCATTGGCAGGGGAAAGCGCTTACTGGTCTGTGCCTTCCGGTCTCTCTCGGGCTGCATGCCAGCCTCTTCTCCACTCCTTCAACACCACATTCCAAAGACACAATCGTGGCATGTCTCATACGTAGCCTATGAGTGCATCGGCAACGGCACACTCCGGTGCTGCCAATGTCCCAACAGCCTTTTTTGTCTCTCACAAAGTTGCCAGCTTGAGACCGACATAACGATACGTTGATCAGGAGTCAGCCATGGTGACAGGTGGCCATGGAGTTGTGCGGCGAAAGGCGATGCCACAATTGTTACACAGACCCAGTACTACGGCCCACCCGCATGCTTATGGCTTCTCGCGTCTCCATCCTGCTGTATCTGGCTGAATTGAGACACGAAATGCTTTTTACGGCTGAGCCGGTCTTGACCGTGGAACAAGACTGGCGCGTGGATGGAGTTCACCAACACTGTGTGCTGGGGCTCTTCCATGTGAGTGTTCCTTCGGAGTGGGATGAACATCCATGTCACCATTCTAGGCATATCAAGACTAGCTCTGCCCTCACTTGAGAGCAAGCGGTGGAATCTCGAGACCTCACCAGATGACGCAGATATTGAGAGACGCTTGCATGCTTCGGCACGATCCGAGCTCTACGACAACGGACTGCACCCTCGCTAATGTATTCCACTACAAGTGGAGCCAATTACAGAGCCACCGGTTCCGTAATGTTCGGCCATTCTGCTCTCGGTGAACAGTCGTTCGCAGTCGGACCCTTTACTGCTTGACTTGCCTCTATACGAGCCGTGCTGTCCTTGCATGCAAATCCACGCGTCCCGAGATCGGTCGTGGAACGCCAACAAAACATCCAGCTTCCATGGCTCAGCGTTTCGGCTCGGAGCAAAACACATATGCAAGGATGTAGTACGACAGCCAGCTGGGATTTTCACCGCTCTCGAGGCAAAGAGAACAGCTCGTTCATATTCAACATACTGAGCGACCCGAATTGCTGTGTCCCGGAAACCATCCCTTGCCTCTGTGAACCAATCCATGGTACTGGGAAGGCCGTATGGTACCAGGGGCGTTTATCAGACCCTTCTCCGCAATTCCTGTTACCTCCGATTCCACGGACGGTTCGATAATTTGTTAGAGTACAAGCCCTCTCCACGGTCTCGTTTGTTCCAAGCCCTGCGAGGTTCCCTTATTATCAGTCTTTCCAGCCTCCGTTCACTTAATTCTTACATTTACAATCTGCTAGAAACATGCCTTTGCAGAAACTACCCCCCAGCGGGCCTCAGTCAGTGAGCACCTCAACCGGCCAGCGTCCTCAGCTACAAGACCGACGCCGAACCCTACAGACAATCAGCGAGCTTTCGACGAATGATGGAGGCCTGCCGGACTTTGTATCCTCGATTGGCATTGGACACATCAGGCGCCTAGGACATGACACCACTCCTGGTGTCGGTCGAACTACGCCCAAACCCGTCAAACGACAGAGTCTCCCTCAGCACCATTCGAGTCTTAATATTCACGTTCCACGACCGTCGATCACTGTCACGCCCGCATATGGACACGAAGTTCGAAATTCGCGGTTGTCACAGGGCAGGAGGCCCATGCCAATAACGACTGATCAAGTCGAGGGTTGGAACGCGAAGAGGGAACGAGCAAGAATGCAACACGAGGTGGCAATTATAGAAGCAAGGGTACGGCAAAGCATGTCAGATCAAGGGGCCGAAATTGCAACTTCGCCAGTTCGGCCGGGTGCAAGCTCACGTCCGACGTCTATAAAACACGCTCACAGCATGCAAACACTGCTGGAAAAGCGCAATTCCGGCAGCGAGCGGCACACGAGCCTAGTAAGCACCATCAATAACGCTAGCCAGTTCGACACGCGACCCGAAGCTTCCGAGCGTGCAAGCACAGACTCAAGCTCGTATCAATCTCGTGATAGCGCCATCAACCGATCGAGATCAGGTTCTTCCAGCACATCGTACGCTTCGCAGGATGCGCCTCCATTGCCTCATGGCTCAACTGCAGCCATGAAAGGGTATTGTGCAGAACTCATCTTGCAAAATCAAAACCTCGTCTCTTTTGGGGAATCTGCCAGATCAAAGAACTTGAATCCTAATAGATCGAGTCGCACGCACTCGTTGACCAGCGATGGATTAAAGCATACGAGCGTGCCACACCATCGCTACATGACAGCTCCGGATCTGCGTCACCCTTTGACACAACAGTCACGGCTGATCAGCGCCCAAAGAGCGCGAAATCAAGCTTTGGCAGCGCTTACAGCCGCGAACAATCATATGCGACCAACCCGAGAGAACCCATATTCATCGTCTCAATACAGCTCGCCGCACCAGGATCGCCATGCAAGTCTGACGTCTCACCCACCAGATGTCTCTGCGCACCGGAAGTCTGCTTCGCCACACCGCAACTCACTGCGCTATCAAGCCCAACTTGAAACGCAGCGACGGATTACGTCACCATCACCAGCCCGCTTTTCTCACAACAAAGACCGCGGCTCCCTTCATCGGCACTCAGATGTGACGCGCAAAGTCAGCTTCGAGACCCGCACTGTGCCTAAGCGGGAGAGTCTCACGCAGTGGAAGAAGGAACGAGAAGAAGCAAAACCCTATTCGCACATGGACCACAAAGCAAGGATCCAGGAGCGTGTCAGGCGTGCGAATGAGCTTGAACAAGAGAGGGAGAAGGAGCTGGTCTCGATGGGAAAGCGCCAAGCCAAGTCTGAGAGCAGAAGCTGCTTTGGAGGCTTGTTTGCTGTGCTGAGAGGCAAAAGCACGTGAGGCAATACTCCATGAACCAGCGATATTTTCGAGGCGTTATCAGCTATACGCCGCATTCTTTTTGCTTTTTGTGGCAACGGTGGACTTGTGGATTCAAGCTGCCGATATCAGTCTATGGAATGCATCACGTAAGGGGTAAATATCTTGGGACACATACCGCTGTCTGTTAATAAGTAATGTCGCATTGAGAGAAGGTAACAATCCTTATTCACAACTTCCAAACTTCCGTCCGCAGATGCGGGTGTTGATCGTGAAGCTGCCGAAAAGCAGCACGTTGTTCTCCGTCATATCCTTCGCACCAATAAGATACACTCTCAACAATAGTTAACGGTATCGCAAACATGAGTTGTGCCATGTCTCTCTGCAAGCATGTCAACACATGCTCATTTTCCATCCGCTTCCATATGGTGTCGCGTACGCGTATGAACAGCCTTGTCTACCCGCTTCGAATGCTCAGCTACGGTCGTGTTCACATATTATGCCTATAGTGAAGTTCCATCAGGTCCGTGGACTAGCGACAACTTGCAACTTCTCAACATGGAAACGTTGAGAGTGCGATACAAGTGGCGTTTTCCAGATCGCCGGTTTATCTCGACTTCCAGCGTAGCTACCAGGTTTGGCTGGGCATCGCATCAGCAAGCAACGCAAGATGGAGATATAGCGTACCACCTCCTTTAACTGGTTGATGTCATAATGCCTATGCTATAAGAAGAAGGTACCGATGCGTTCCACAGGACCTGGACATTCGGTTTGAAAATTGAGCTCAGCGAGGATTTCTCAGAGGATGAGTTAGATTGGAAGATGGCCATGACCACCGAGGGACGGGTGGGCAACTTCGGCACAGCCTCTGAGCCTCAAAAAGCAAGCTCACCGCTCTTTGTACATATGAGTTGGCCCTTGACGACCAGTTGGACGATGCACTCTAGTGATGAGATGATGAAGACCAATATCGAGATATCTGTTTGTAAATGCGCCTGCATAGTGTATAGCTGGCCTGTCACAAACATAGGCTTTGAGCTATCTGCGATTAGATTCTCTCATATTCAAGATCTGTGCTTCCAGACTAACTGTACTATTCGAGTCAACACCAATAGCAGCGGAGCTCTTAAACGATACATCAACTTGTATAAGCTTTACCTGAATGTCCATCGACATAAACCAAGGAAAGGCCATCGAAGCCCGTCTCGACTCTCTTGGCTGTGCGTGTCTAGTCACATCAGATTAGCTAACGCGGTGGTTTGAACGGATGACAGGAAGGACTCACCTGTATCATCTGCATGGTCACTTTGTGCGCAGCTCCGCTGAATGCAATCGGGTCGCTGGTCAATTGCATCCACCCGCCTACAGCGGTCGGTTCCACTTTCGCGCAGAGGGCTCCATCAATGCACATCTTGAATGGCTTGGGCGTGTCGCCGCCTTGTTTCATTTGTGTCCAAGCGGGACAGCGCACAATGGTACCCGCGGGCACTGGAAATTGTCTGCTCGAGCGCACGTGAGCCACTTACATAGTCTCCGACGCTCTGGTTTGCGAATACGATGAAGAATTGGCCGTTGTCGCCACCATGGCCTCCAGCGAACTTTAATCCGTGGGATTCTTGTCCTGTGTACCACCTAGGCTCGATGTCGCCATATTTTTTGTCGATTTGTGGATTTACGAGCTACTTTGCTGGAGGGATAACGCAGGTGGGAGTCGGCGTGGAGGACGAAGTCGTGACAGTCGAAAAAGACAAAGAATTAATCGTTACGATGGAGGTAGACAGCGAGGATGCTGATGCAGCGGGAGTTGAAACAATCGTCGACACCACGTCTGCTGTAGAGGAAGTCAACGGAAGCCGAGTATCCAAATAGGCGCCTATGATGGTTCGTAAGTGTCATTCCCAGCCACAGAACCGCATCAAACATGCCGTCGACGTTCTCATTTTCAGTTCGTCCATTTTTCTTGCTCTTCAGGTAACAATGACCAGCGCCACTGCCTCCAACAAACAAGATAGCCACATAATCTGTGTTATCCACACAGAATTGCGTACAGCTATGCAGGCTATCTGCATACATTGAGGTGAGGTCACCTCCATAGAAGTCTACTCCACATAACAAAGTAAATGTACGGGACCCTTCATAAGTGCAGCCGTCATCCTGAGGGCAGGTATAGTCGGTAGGACAGACCGTCTGAGATATAGGCTCAAACGTCGAACTGGATGTCCGCGAAGTGAGCGATACACCAATCACGTTAGGGCTACCTCTGTAGCAAACTTATCCTCGTCGACCTGACCATGGGGCCTCAACTTACTTTGCCTGAGCAGCAGCAAGGTTGCTTTCATGTAGCAATTTTCACCGACATAGCTGACCGCAACATATTTCTCGGTGGAGGAACAGGCCCTCAAATACCCTGCTGGAATCGATGTCTGAAGCTGCAAGCGACGTGTCTTGAGATGATATTCAAGTGGAAATTCACCTGCGCGAGCTGTAGACCCCCTCAGTAGAAGTCAGTTCCGCAGCTGAGTTCCAAGACAGCTCCGCCTGACGAGAGCGAGCACTTATCATTCTGAGGGTATTGCATTAGCGCAGGGCATGATATCGACGCCGCTCTCAGGGCAAGTGTCACGGCCCGGGGGAGCATAGGTGCTATTGTTGTGGCTCTAAGGAATGAAAAAGTAATGAACGACTTGAATACGACTGCAGTGTCTTCTGCAGAAAGCTGGTTGATCAAGGCTTGTAAAGTGTTTGCAGATCGAGGACTCCAACTGGTCTCAGTATCTCCAAAAATGGCCTTACCTACACCCTTACTCAAGTCAAAGAGGCTGATACTGCTTCAGGCAGAAGGCTTGTTCTTCCTGATTTTTTCGTGGAAAAGCATACCGTACCTCGACTGTGCAAGAGTCGCTGCGGAGCCCGACCACTTGGTGCGTATGGAATCTGCAGATCAAATGGCTTGCGTTTTCTAAGCGTGTGGCTTAAACGTATACCGATGCGTGATATTTACACTGCAAAGAAGAGCTTACCCTTCGGGCTCAGCTGTCGTTGCGAACAGAAGCTAAGCACCTCTTACTAACGCGAAGTGACGCATTTATTGGCACAGCTGTACCGAAGAGTCAGCATAGTTATTATTTGCTTCAATACCCAATGAAGATATTATACGGTGACTCCATAAAGTGAGTCCATGATATGAGGGCGTGATCGTCAGCAAGGTCGCAAGGTATGTATCAGGTATTCGACGTCGCCGGCCTTAAGTGAGGCTGCTCCACCAAGGACCCAGACCCTTTTGAGGGGCTACGGAGAAAAGGCCTGGTTGGCGACCAATGCTAATTTGCAGCCGAACCTCGCTCCTTCATGAAAATATGAACATGTTTACATGACGTTTGTGAAAATATTCTCAATAAAGGTGTTAGGTTCGGTTCAAGGCTAGGGAGTCTCAAGAACGCATGAAATATTATTCGCTTACAATTGGTACGCTGGGCGTACGGTACTGTCCTATCCCTCGCGAAAGAAGACCGACCCGCAGGTCTACGATTAGTCTTTCAGCAACGAATAGTGTTGCCGGTACCGTTGTTTGATTGTAACGGGTAGGAACGATCCGGAGTATTCCATTGCTGAATCACATATGGTGGGCTGGAGTGACTTCGGACCTCAAAGGCCGGCATACGAAGATCGCGGATAAAGCTGGCTTTTGTGTACCAGTATCTGAAATTGATGTTGTTTTTCATCAATGGCTACGAGCAGAATGAAGCAGCGTGTCCGTTTGTAAGATGTCCAACGGCACTACTATGGTACGATGCTGGGATGCCCCAGTCTAAGTGTCACGGTATGCGATTTGGCAGGCGGACAGACTGCTTTGCAGCAACAAGCTTGCCAGTCCAGCATAAGGGAGCAGCAATGGAATGCTGGAGACCAAAGAGGGAAAGCTGCGTATAGCCCGCACGGAGCAATAGCTATAATCTGGCGGTGAGCGAGAGGCAGCAATTCATGTATCGACATGCAGAAGGGTTGCGACATCATTCCTTGTGAACGTATTGGATCAATATCGATGGTAATTATCCAATGTCTTGGACAGCCTTGCCAAGTTAGTGATGTGTATTGGCGGTGGGGCGGTCTAGTTGACGACTCGACATTAGCTACTCGACCCAATGCCGAGTCACCACGTTCTACACCAACAGACTACGAACGATAGCTATACTCCGGATTGGGGTTTTCTAACAAAAAGGCGGTCGGCCCAGCCGCTTGCACATGTTCGCATGGGAGGCAGCGGGGTTCACTCACATACGCTTCCGTCATAATTATGCAGCCTGCCGTGCCAATCGCAAGGCATGCGAAGCGCCAATGTGGGTCTCGAAGTACTCAACGAGCGATGCGCGAACCACTCGTTTGGTCAGCTGCTCTTCGTGATGGGTTGTATCTTGGTAACGACGCGCGGGATGGATGTTCGTTGTCGAAAAAGCGGTCGGGCACACCGCAGAGCCGCATGACACGGGCGAGTTCGAAAGAGTTGCGCATTGCGACTGATTCGACGGGAAGTCTATAAAGAAACATGATGCCTCAGGCTTCGAGGTTGATAATGCGAACAGAAACACTGGAAAGAACGACTGCGATATCTACCCCACAATCCACTAACGCTAAGCCCTATCTCCGGGTGACCTTGTCGAGTCAGTCACATGACGGCTCAACGCCAGAGATCACGAAGTCGCGGCGGTAAGTCCAACCAACGTTACTGCCTCGCTGCACGCCAGGAATGCCTGGTCTGGCAAGGCTATGCGTAGCCACCTGTGAGGCACGCCCTGCACAACGTAAGGCTGACGCGCGCCATGATTAACTAGACGACCCCGCCAACGTCAACACGACCTGGACGACGATTGACCGGCACGGTCCTTTCCTCTCGCCAATGCACGACTGGGAGGAAGAACCCCCAATCCACTTCCAAGACCGCCTGGCGGGTGGCTTTGCTCCTGCGGCGCTTGAGAACCCTTATCCGCACACATCGAGCGCCTCATACTCCTACCCTCTGTCGATCTACAGCGGCTCGTCCATAGCGCCCATGCAGCCTCTCGCAATACTCCACCACTCCCGGGCTTCGACTGCTTCCAACCGGCCGCCCTCGCTTGTTTCATGCACCACGATTACCGGAAGCTTAGTGAGCACGAGCATCGTAGACCAGTGCGCTGGCTACCCGTTACTGGACGAGGGCGCGGATGGCGTGCTGCTGCTGCCAGACCTGGAAGTGAACTCACCGCAGTACGAGTGCGCATTCTGGTTTCTGAGTTGCGATTTCCTGTCGCGCGACGAGTCGGAATGGAAGACGCACTGCCTGAGCCACTTCCGGGGCAAAGCTCCGCCGCGCTCTGTCCAATGTCCCCTGTGCGATTGGTGCAGGTCATGTGATGATGACGGCTTGGTGGCGTGGAGCTGCAGAATGCAGCATCTCTCCGACGCGCACCTCATCTTCGGACAGACCCTGCGGACGTCGCGCCCGGACTTCTACCTCTTCGAATACCTGTGGCAACAACGCATTATAGGCGAGGCAGACCTGAAAGAGCTGAGGGGCGGAAACCACAATCTGAACCAAGCCCCCGCGAATTTTGTAGTGACGAACCACAGATCCCCCCGACGAGAGCGAGGCTCCGATCGACAGGGCGTACAGCACGTCTCCGCCCGACGAAGGCAAGCCTCGTAAGACTGGTTCTTACTTGGAACTAACACCGGCTGGCTTCGGTCTCTCGCGCGTTCATACCGCGCACGATACCCCAGTTGTGATTTGTAACCCGTTTGTGTGTTTTGCAACATGTCCGCCTGTCTGCGTGCACGTATACACAGCATTGCTTCTCTGTGTTCCTTTTCGCGTTCACCACTTGTAATTCGCAATGCCCATTTATTGCATGACCATCTTCGCGGGCATTTTCAGCCCAGACTGTTTTCTTATGACGAAGAGTTCATTCGTGTTCATTCTGAGTCGTTGCATGGCCGACGGAGGGCGGCGTTTACCCTGTGCAGACGCAGATAGCCACGCGTATCCGACGAGGCGAAACCGTCGCTGGGCGCCGGGAGCTGGGTGGGAGAATACGCATCAGCCGTGTGGCAGAGATGCACGGAGACGCCGTTATAGAAGAGGTGCTTGAGCGTGTCACTTAAGCGTGTGCAACGGGCCTATTCTCTCGATAAGCGTGCGAAATGGAGAAGTGCGTATCAGCTTAGAACGGTGTGACCACGCAGAACGGTGAGAGCACGAAGTTTGGCAGAAAAGCCTCGTCAATATGAACAGTGAGAGTTATGTACAAGAACAAAAGCGACAAACAGCGGGCCAACGCCGATGCGCACAAATACTCTAATTATGTAACCCACCTTATAAGCCCGCGCCAAACGCCACAATAACACCAGGAAGTAACCTCTCTCCAACAAAACCCCATCTACCACGACCCCTGCAGCGGCAGATCGCGACTCGAGAAGCCCACAGCAACGCCGAACTTGCCCTCAGACGGCAGCACCCAATTCCCCCTGCCCACATGCCAATAGCTCAGATCCCTTCTCGTGAGATTGAACTGCACCTCCTGCCGTGTGCCTCCAAGACCGCGCTCCCTTGCGCCGGCCTGGAGATGCAGCTTCTCGAAGCCGCGGAGCACTCTGACGGGGAAATCCACAGCCTCTCCCGTGTCGGGGTCCGTGTAGCCCTGCGGGAAGGAGAGGTACAGCTGCACCACGACCGCGCCGTCGCGGGGCCCCGTGTTGGCCACGCTGCACGACACGGTGAGGAGCGTCGTGTAGAGATCCGGGTTCCCGCCTGGGCCGCCTCCGGCGTCGCTGAGCGGGCTCTGCGGCACGGGGACGGACGCGTGGTACGAGGTTCCCGCTGTCGAGGAGAGGTAGGGGTAGATGTACTTTTCGATCTTGACGAAATTCTTTGGGAAGAGCGCGGACTCGGGAGAGGGGAGGTCGGTTGGGTAGGATGGTGGCGCGATGCCTGCGGGGCGGGGGGAGGCGAGGGGCGATTTGGCATGCGTGGAGTGCATGACGAGGTTGGAGAGGTTGAATATCGTGTAGGATAGTCCGTAGCCGAATTCGTAGCGCGGGGCGATGGATTGCTTGTCGAAGTGGCGGTAGTCGATGTACAGCCCCTCGCTGAAATTCTGCTGCGGCGCGAGACCGTCGGATGGGCTGGGGAGGTACTTTACTTTGCTACCGGGGCCGAAGTCTTCTTCTTTCTTAGCGATGGTGTATGGGAGGTGGCCGGAGGGATTCACGTCGCCGAAGAGCACGTCGACGATTGCGTTGCCAGATTCTTGACCGGGGAGGTGGGCGATCAGAACGGCCTTTACATTGGGGATGTCGATGAACTCCTCTAGGATGACGGGGCCGACGGTGTGGACTACGACAACGACGTCGCCGGACCCCTTGCCGCAGTCTTTTGCAACATCCTTGACGAGCTCGTTGCCGCCCTTTTGAATGGAAAGATCGTTCCTGTCGCCGCGGACGTCTGACCACTTGAGGTAGCCTTCGCCAGCGTCCGAGTTGACGAAGACAATGCACAGGTCTTGGTCCTCGACGATCTCTTTCTGCTTCGGCAGCTTATTCTCAAGCCAATCGGTGACATAGACGCTGTCCTTGTCGAATGCCTCACGGATAGCAGACATCGGCTCCACGAGGTAGGGGAAGTCGACAGCGCCAGAGCCCCAGCCTGAGGCCAGAGTGCCGTCGTTGCAGCTCTGATCGGGGCACTTGTTGATGCCATCATGAGGGAGGCGTGCGTCTTCGCCGAACACAGCGACGCGAAATTTGGTCTGCCTCTTCGACTTTCCGTCCTTGTGACCTTTGCGGCTCAGTGGCAGAACACTGCCCTCGTTCTTGACCAAGACAGTGCCCTCGGCAGCCACTTTGCGAACGATGTCCTTGTGATCGCCCTGAGCGTTGACAAACTTGTTGACCACACCCGTGGTTTTATCCGAGGGGCTGCCCTCATGCAGCTTGCCGACCTCGTCGTTGGTCCAGGAAGAGAAGTTTGGGCCTTCGCTAGACCACTTATCCTGCCCGACCTGGTACCAAGATGCCACGATACGGGTGACCATGTCGTTGACGCGGTCGATGGGCACGCTTCCATTCAGGACAGCTTGTGTGAGCTTCGCGCCCCACAGGCTGTCGCCCTTGGCCCAGCGGAGGCCATCGCCTGGCATTGTCATGTCGAGGCCAGCGAGAGCGCTTGCAACGCCAGATCGCTGAGCCAGCCAGTCGGACTGCACGAAGCCCTGGAAACCCAGCTCGTCCTTCAGCACGCCGTTGAGGAGCTTGCTGTTGGCGCAAGCGTACGACGAGTTGACTTGGTTGTACGAGCACATGACAGATGTGACGCCGGCCTTGACCGAGTCGGCAAACGGCCAGGCGTACATCTCGTGCAGAGTGCGGTCATCGATGTTGCTCGAGATGGCGTTTGGGATGCCCCTATCATGAAAATGAGCGTTGTCGCAGTAGTGTGAGCGGACTGCCACTTACCACTCCCAGGCCTGGCGGAAATGTTCCTGTTCATTGCCGATGTAGTGCTTCGCAGTCGCCATGACGCCCTCCTCTTGAATGCCCTTGATGGTCTGCGCAGCGGCGATACCCTGGAGCACAGGATCGCTGCCAAAGCCCTCCCAATTGCGGCCTCCAGCAGGCATCCGGCCAAGCGGACCCATGGCAGGCCCGAGCAAGACGTTGATGCCCTTGAGCCGTGCTTCCTTGCCGTGAGCCTTGCCGCGCTGGTACATGAGCTCCTTGTTCCAGGTGGCGCCCACGGTGACGCCGGCGGGGAACGCGGAGATGTTGTCTGCGAAGCGAATACCGAGCGGACCGTCCTACGGCGTGTTAGCACCCGGCAAGTCAACAAGTCAACAAGTCAATCGATGCATACCTGCAGACACAGCTGAGGGAACTTGAGCCTCGGCACAGCGCCGTTGTTGCCCACACACATGTCCATGCTCCAGCCAGTGCCCGTTGTGATGTTGACCTTCTCGACCAGCGTCATCTGCTTCACCAGCTCCGCGGCCTTTTTGTAGCTCTGCTCCCACAACGGGTCGGCGCCGCCCTTTGGACTTGGGTACCATGCCGGACTCAGTCCATCGAGGGGCACGCTCGCCTTGTACGCCCAGATGCCGCCCGCAGCCAGGAGAAGCACCGTCGCAGCGACAAACGTCAAGAGCCAGCAGCAGCACCGGCCGGCCGAGAGCCCCTTCCTCCGCGCGAACGAGTCTTTGCCCGAGGCTTTGCGCACTTTGAGGTCGCCGGCGCTCTTCTTGCGCTTCAGCTTGCGGTCGAAGGCGAGCGGGTCGTGCTCTTCGAGGTCCTCGAGCGTCGCGTTGGATTCCGAGGAGAAGCGGGTGGGCGTGGGCTCGGCGTCGTCATCGGTTGGGGCGTCGAGACGGGCGTACTTGCCGCGACGCGGCTGGTGCGACTCGTAGGGCGGCATTGCGTAGAGTGCGGGTGTTGGAGGAGTCGCGGTGGCGGCGGTCGGTGGCGGCGGTCGACCGTCGAGCTCAGTCTAATACTAGCGCATGGGGAGAATCGGGTCTGCGTTGGGCGGATGCGATTGCTGCACTCGCTTGCTTATGAAGCCAATGGCGCGTCTCACGAGGCGTGAAGGAGATGTGGAGCACCCCTGGTTCCTGGCCTGTCGATCTTGTGGGTTCGCGCTAGGCAACCCCTCCCGGAGTACCCGTAGCACCCACGATATTTCTGGCGATTGGCCTGCCAGCAGAGCACGATAGGCTTGCATCCTCACAGTCACAAGCACACTATCATCACCCAACGACCCGCTGGCGCACTGACGCGTTTGCAGTCTAGTCTCCATTTGGCTCAACGCTGGAATTACTATCGACACACACTTTCTTCTGGTCCGTCCAAACAGCCTACGCGCCAACCTGGTCCAAGATGCCCTGGAGGTTGATGCTCTTGGGGCGCTCGATGGGCAGACCCAGCGCACGGTCCCAGATGAGCTGTGCGAGCGGGCCGAGACCACGGCTCACACCGAACGTCGCCGTGTAGTAGAGTGTCTCCTTGAAGCCGTAGTGGTGGAAGAGCACGCCCGACGACGAGTCGACGTTGGGGAAGGGGTTCTTCGTCTGTCATGGGGTTAGAGACGTCTTTCGCATCATCGATGAGGGGGGTTTGAGTTCTTTGCATACCTTGCCGTGCTCGGTCAGCACACCAGGAGCCACCTCCGAGTTCTTCTTCACAAGCTGGTACACTGGGTCCGCTGCGACCTCGGGGCGCGCATCCGCAAAATCCATCAGCGCCTGGAAACGCGGGTCCGGCTTCCTGAGCACCGCGTGCCCGTATCCGGGGATCACACGGCCGGACTTCAGAACGCTCCAGAGGTACTTGTTCACGTCGCTCTCGGTGAACTTCTCGCCGACCGCCTTCTGCATGTCCAGGATGAACCGGAGCACTTCCTGCGCAGCGAGACCGTGGAGCGGACCAGCCAGACCCTGGAGACCCGCGCTGTAGCTGAGGAAGGGATCGCTGAGCGCGGAACCGACGAGGTGAGTGGCGTGCGCCGACACATTGCCGCCCTCGTGGTCGCCATGCAGTGCAAGGTACAGGCGCAGGAGGTCTTGGAAGCCCTCGTTCTCCTTGCCAGGCTTGCCCAGCATGGCTGCGAAGTTGTACGACCAGTCCTGGTCGAGGTCGACCTCGTTGGGCAGCGCGCCGCCGCCGCGGTACGCGTTCTGGTAGATTTTCGCGGCGATGGTGGGAAGCTTGGCGAGCAGGCTGATGGAGTCGTCAAAGGTGGGCTCCCAGTAGTCGGCCTTGTTGATGCCCTTCTCGTAGGCCTTGGCGAACTTGGACTCGTAGTTCAGCGCGGACACGGCGCACGCGAACTGGGTCATGGGGTGCAGGTCCTTGGGGAAGTCGTCGAGCATCTTTGCGACGAAAGCAGGGATCTGGGCTTTCTCTGCCAGCTCTCGCGACAGAGCGCGCGTCTGCGAGACGGAGGGGACTTCTCCGGTGAGCAGGAGCCAGAACATGGCCTCGGGCAGCATCTCAGTGCCAGATGTGCCCTTGGGAAGCTCCTTTTGGCAGTCCTTGATGGTCTTGCCGTGGAAGCGGATACCCTCGTTGGCATCGAGGACCGAGCCTTCCCAGACCATAGCCTTCAGGCCTCTGCAGCTGTGTTAGCGAAGGCTGTGGATGCATCGTCGAAAGCGCATACCGCATGCCGCCGAGCGCATTCTCGACCTTGACATCGCCGAGCTTCTTGTCGGCGTGGGCCTTGACCTTCTTCAGCAACTCGCGCTTTGCAGGCAGAACCCTCTCAAAGGTCTCCTTCAGCGTTGGCTCGGAGGACGAGGAGTAGCTGCATGCTTGCACTGCGTCGATCCTGTTAGCGCATTGTGGAGTCGTTTGTAGCAGTCAATTGCGCACCAAATGCAAGAGGTCGAGTAGCCGAGGGCTGCAGCAGCTCCTGTTAGCAAACACAGGCGCAATCGAGGTTGTGCAAGCTCACCTTTGCAGCTCGCAGCGCTCTCGCCGCAGTTCGTGCGCTCAGGGCCATAGCTTGGAGTTTCTGGGGGGGATAAGCCGGGGTAAGCTTTGCGGGGAACACAGCAGCTGTCTTGCTTCAAGGAACGGCAAGATCAGGGATTGTCAACTGTCGTGCGTGCAGAAACAATAATGCGGGCACAGGGCACGAAAGAATGGGCACGAAAGAAAGGGCAGACGGCAATGCTCGGCTACTCCCAAGCCCAGCGCGCAGCGTCGTCCGGTGCTGCGTGCGACGTCAACGTACCGAGGGGCACCGTCGTGTGCGGCTTGGCGGCGGAGGCTACCCTCGGCTTCTCGGTCTGGAGGCGAAGCGTCCCCAAGCAGTACGGTGAATAGGCCCTAGACACTGTAAGGCTCTAAACACTATAAGGCTCTGGACACTACTGCAAGGCTCTGCAAAACATGAGTTCCGCGCACGGAAAGCACGCCTAGGCTCAACAGCAAGAAGTGTGCTGGCGAATCTTGACACTCCATCCGAGTCATAGGACGATAGCTCCGCAATATCCGCAGCAGCTGTTGCTTACCACATCCGTCCCGAGAAAAGCGTCTACGCCTCACGCGTGAGCTCTGCTGGCTGGAGCTTCCTCTTCCACACCTCAATCGCAATGCTGCGCACAGTGGCCCGCTCCGTCGCGCGCCAGAGCCGTACGCTGAGACCTGCGAACCGCGCACCGCAGCTCCTCCGTCCGCTCTCCACCACGGCGTGTCGCATGTCGCGCTCGACGCTCAAGCCGGTCGACCCTCCCGTGTCGGCTGCGCTGCCCGGTGACTCGTTCCAGTTGCTCCCGGAGGCTGCAAAGGCAGGAGCGGCCGAGGATGCGCTCTTCGACGAGCAGGTGCAGGCCGTGAAGGACTGGTGGGCGTCGCCGCGCTACAATGGCATCAAGCGCCCCTACTCGGCCGAAGATGTCGTGAGCAAGCGTGGTGCGCTGCAGCAGTCGTATCCCAGCTCGCTGATGGCGCGCAAGCTGTTCAACCTGCTGGAGGAGCGCGCGGCCAAGGGCGAGCCCGTACATACAAGTGCGTTCAATCCAGCTTCTTCTGGTGGCCTAGTGACTGATACTCTCTTCTCGTAGTGGGCGCTATTGACCCTGTGCAAATGTCCCAGCAAGCCCAAAACCAGGAAGTGCTCTACGTCTCCGGCTGGGCATGTTCATCCGTCCTCACCAGCACCAATGAAGTCTCTGCCGACTTTGGCGACTACCCCTACAATACTGTACCGAACCAGGTGCAGCGTCTCTTCAAGGCACAGCAGCTCCATGACCGCAAGAACTGGGACAACAGGCGGAAGATGAGCCCGGAGCAGCGGGCGAAGACACCGTACCTGGACTACATGCGTCCCATCATTGCCGACGGTGATACGGGGTGAGCAGAGTGGGAACAACATCTGCGTACTGTGCTGACAAACAAACAGCCACGGTGGCCTTTCGGCCGTCATCAAGCTGGCCAAGCTCTTCGCCGAGAACGGGGCCGCCGGAGTGCACTTCGAGGACCAGCTCCACGGCGGCAAGAAGTGCGGACATCTGGCAGGAAAGGTCCTGGTGCCTGTTGGTGACCACATCAACCGCCTGGTCGCTGCACGATTCCAATGGGACACCATGGGCTGTGAAAACCTCGTCATTGCTCGCACCGACTCGGAGAGCGGCAAGCTGCTATCCAGTGCCGTCGATGTCCGCGATCACGAATTCATCAAGGGCGTCACAGAAGAGTCGGAACCTCTGGCAGAAACGCTGCAGAACATGGAGGCAGCCGGCGCGCCGGGCAAGGAGATCGATGCTTTCGAGGCAGCATGGGTGAAGAAGCACAAGCTCGTCACTTACGACGAAGCTGTTGTGCAACATCTCGAGAAGGATGGCGCATCGCAGTCCACCATCGACGCATACCTCAACGAGACCAAGCAGAATCCGAACCTGTCCCTCCTCAAGCGTCGCGAGCTCTCAGCGAAACACACCAAGAGTCCCGTCTATTTCAACTGGGATATTCCACGGACACGCGAGGGTTTCTACCACTACAAGGCCGGAGTGGCTGCTGCCACAAAGCGAGGCAAGGAGTTCGCGCCGTATGCTGATCTCTTGTGGGTGGAGACAGGAGACCCAAGTGTCGAGAAGGCTGCTGCTTTCGCTGGCGAGATTAGGGAACAGTTCCCCGGCAAGAAGTTTGTCTACAACTTGTCACCCAGCTTCAACTGGATGGGCCAGGGATTCAGCGAGGAGGCTCTGAAGAGCTTCGTGTGGGATCTGGCCAAGCACGGGTAAGTTGCACTTTCCTCTTCAGCTAACGGGAAAGCACTAACAAGGCACTAGCTTCGTCTTCCAGCTCATTTCCCTCGCCGGCATTCACTCGACAGCGACCATCACCTGCGAGCTATCGCGCGCCTTCAAGGATGAGGGCATGCTTGCATACGTCAAGCTTGTGCAGGCTCGCGAGAAGGAGCTCGGCTGCGACGTCCTGACACATCAGAAATGGAGCGGTGCCAGCTACATCGATGGCATCCTCGGCCACATCCAGAGCGGTAGCTCAGGCAGCAAGAGTATGGGAGACGGAAACACAGAGACAGGTATGTCGACATCTCAAGACGAGCTATGCCTCAAGCTAACTGTACGCAGGCTTCTAAGTACTCGACAAGCAATAGATGCAATTCAAATTCGGCACTAATCAAATCTGCAACCAACCTAACCTGTCACGATGCGTGTGCTGCAGACAGGACGTGCATGACAATCGCTAAACCAAGTCAGAAACGATCCAGCGAGCTATCCCTTCAGCCTCGTACCCCGCTATATGTTGTTCGTGTCGACACCATAGAAACTGTAATCATAACAGACATACTGCTGTTCGAGTATCAAGCGCTGTCGGCACGCGAGATGCGTCTGCTCGTGCCTGAAGCGGCAGACTTCAATTCTGGCTTCTCTCGGTCACCTAGAACGGCTGGTATCGACAACTCGAACCTCCACTTTACTATATTGTCGCATGCCTGGGCGTGTCACACTCACCCTGACACGTTCCCGATCTCATACAATGGCCGCCAGCTTTATGTGCATTATAACCTCTACACTGCACTGCCTTTCCTTGCTCGACGATACAACAGTACCAAAAGTCTGGCTACATCGTATTGGGTTGACGCTGTGTGTATCAATCAAGCGGATGACAGGAGAAAACCAAAAATCCGCTGGTGAACACGATATATCGGCGCGCTGACAAGATACTCGTTTGGCTCGCCGTAACGCTCGTGCCAGGAGCGCAAAAGTGCATACCACGCGAGATCAAGCGATTGCCTCTACTAATCAATGAGCCTGCGCGGTCCTGCCAGCCTAGCCCTGGAGCCAAAATCACGCCCGATGTCGTCGTCGGTCGCGAACTCGGCTACCCTGGACGCGAGGTGGGACGTCGTCGTTCGTCTTATACGCACTCCTCACTTCCGGAGGGTGTGCATGGTGCATGGTGCAAGAGACATCGTCAGCCAAAATATCACATTCCTTTATGTAGACCACGGATCGAATCGCACTTAATAGACAAGGCAGGTTCTGACAGTTCACACATCACACGATGGGCCGTGTACGACTAACGACTGAAACGCCAATGCGGATTCAAGCACAATACACCAGTCTACATACGAGGATGCACGTCAGCAAGCTCTGTGCAGCAGGGATATTATAAGTACAGCCAACACCCGCTTCAGGGCAATGGATCTGATGTTTCGAAAGCCACAGCACAGAGAAGCGAGGAAATATCCAAGATTCTGGTCTTTCAGGACCGAGTCAGCGACAGGGAGAAGAACATAAGAGCCGAGTTGGTGCAGTTTCGGAATCGAGCGGCGGACTGTGTGTGGATGGAGGATGAAGTAGATTGCACATCAACCTTTTGTCGTGGGCGCCGTTCACGTGCACTACTGGTCTCAGATGAGCCCGCGGTCGGTGGATGATCCATTCGCCCACGCAGCCTGATTGACGGTTGAGCGCCGTTTCCAGCGCGGTGCAGTGGCAGCACTATACTGGCCTTTGTGTCCGATATTTATACCATTGCCTGGCATATTTACATTGGGTTGTGGGGACGCTGCGCATAAAATGAGAGTCATCAAGGGTATACGCATTACGGGGCAATAGAGTCAAGGTTGGTTGCGAGAAATCAACGTCTCTTTTCAGGACGCTGCGTGACATTATCATATCTAGTTCTTCACATACAGATCAACGTACTCATCAACGTCCATGTTGTCGATGGTCTTAGCATCCTGTGCCAGAGCAACGAGCTTGTCAACGTGCTCAGCAGGGTAGTGAGGGCCAAGATGCCTCTTGTACTTGGCCAGAATCTCGGGCTTAGCCTCCTCGCGGCGCAGACGGTGACCAAGAGGAGCCTCAACAACCTCCTCCTCAAGAACCGTGCCGTCCTTGAGTGTGACGGTGAGCGCGTTGGAAATGGTGCGCTTCTCAGGGTCATGGTAGTCCTTGGTGAACTGGGGGTCCTCCACACAGCTGATTTTCTGACGCAGAGACTCTACGAGGGCGGACTGTGCGGCCTCGCTGTCATCGGGGTAGTCGGTGGCCTCCAGGCGGTTGAAAACGAACATAGTCGAGACCATGTACTGAACGCAGTGATCACGGTCGGCGAAGTTCTCCATGGGCTTGAACTGCTTGTCGATGATGCGGATGCATGCCTCGTGGGTGCGGTTGACGACGTGCTCGATGTCCTCGGCAGACTTGCCCATGGCCTTGAGCTTCTTGTTCAGGCGCTGAGCGGCCTCGACGGCGGTCTGGGAGTGGAACTCGGCTGCCTGGGGTTAGCTTGCGGTCTTTCGGACTCGGGTGGAATATGTGCTTACCAGGGTAGGAGACCTTGAAGAGGACATTCTCCATGACGTAGCTGCCGTATGGGCGCTGGAACTGGAAAGGCTTGCCGCCGAAGTTGACGTCGTAGAAACCCCAGGTAGGAGCGGACAGAACAGTGGGCAGACCCTGCTCACCCTTGAGCACCTTCAGGACGAGGTTGACAGCGGTCTGGCAAGCATCACCGGCAGCCCAAGACTTGCGGGACATGGTGTTGGGGCTGTGCCTGTATGTGCGCATGGACTGGCCATCGACGAAGGCCTGCGAAACAGCATCACGAGTCTGAGCCTCACTGAGACCCAGCATCTTTGAGACGACGGCAGTCGAGGCAAGCTTGACGAGGATAACATGGTCAAGACCGACCTTGTTGAACGAGTTCTCGAGGGCCATGCAGCCCTGGACCTCGTGTGCCCTGATCATAGCTTCCAAGACATCGCGAACCTTGAAGATCTTGCCGTTGCCGAGATTTCCACCGTTCTTGTTGGTACGGTTGACCCAGTCGGCGGTCGCGAGAATAGCGCCCAGGTTGTCTGAAGGGTGACCCCACTCAGCAGCGAGCCAGCAGTCGTTGAAGTCCAACCAGCGGATCATGGCACCGATGTTGAAGGCACCGTTGATGGGATCAAGCTGGTAGTTTGTGCCAGGAACCTTGGTGCCGTTGGGGACAACAGTGCCCTCGACGGTGGGACCAAGGATCTTCCTGCATTGCTCGAACTGCAGACCCTCAAGACCACAGCCGAGAGTGTCAACAAAGACCCATCGTGCTGTGTCGTACTAAAGGGCGTTCGAATTAGTTCAGTCTGCGATTGAGTGATCCATTGGCCGTACCGCGAGCTCAGAGTCGATCTTGACGTTGTGGATGTAGTTTGCGATGTCCTTGATCTCAGGGTCGTACTCGCGCTTGCCGCTGACGGGCGGTGCGGAGCTCTTGAGAGAAGTCATGGTGGAGAAAGAGCTTGCAGCTGCTGCGCGGGGAGCAATTGAAGCTGTGGGGGCAGCGCGGAGGGCAATTGGCCTAACAGCTCGGCTGAGGACTGTGGACCGTTGGCGAAGCGCGCGTGAAGCGCTGCACAAATTGCGACTGAAGGCCGACATGGTCAGTTTGGCTCTTGAGCTCAATGACCACCAATGCAGCGTAAGAAGGGAGTGTCGTACTAGGCGTGGTCTGAGAAGCTTTGGTTTCTGGGGAAATGAAGCAGAGGACTGGCGCTCGGCTCTCAGAGTTCGGGAGGAAGGATACCGGTACGCCGTGCCTTACCGAGGCTGCGGCCATGCATCACCCGCGGCACATATTGTGGGCGCTAGGTGAGGCTCAAGAAGTTGTGCAATTCCTTCTCAATCACATGCAAGGCACGATTTGAGACACATGTCTCTTAACAACCTACAACAATAACGATGTTGAGGCTCCATACCTCGCCTGAAGCCGCACTCTACGAATGCACAGACGCTTTGGGTTCGGTATAGCCGAGCCTCACGGTCCACTCGAGTAGCTATCTGACCATCTGATAGCAGTCTAGCCGAGAACAGCCGTTCTTCAGTCGCACCCATCGACTGATCGCCTTCTATTTCAGCATGCTTTCAATTACTGGCTATCTTGGTTCGCGTAGTCTGGTTTACAACGTCTTTTTGTTGGGTCCCACGGTCCCCCTCAGCTTCCCAAGCTTGAAGACATAGGTGAAGTACCAGTCGAAGATCTTCGTTGGCATCCACTTCCAGCCAAACCATACGATCCAGCTCATCTTGCCCTCCCAAATCTCTCGCTGCCGACCAAGCCAGCCATCTCCACGCAGCACCTGCCTTACACAGCTCCTAGCATACTGCTTGGTGTCCATGCCGAGCTGCTGGCTGTGTGTCAGTCTGCGCTCATATTCAGGCGCAAGCGGTTGCATGTAAGAGCCTGGCGGTAGCTGCCGATGTGTTCGTGCGATGTTCGACGTGACGCCACCAGTGATCACATTCACAACGCGTACGCCGAGGGGTGCAAGCTCGACGCGCAGAGTGTTCGTGTATGAGTGCAGGGCGGCCTTCGAAGCGTTGTATGGTGCACCCCAGACGTATGGCAGAATGCCTGCGACTGAGCCCGTTTGCACAATGGTACCCTTCGCCTCGATGAGGAGCGGCGTGAACTCCCTGCACATGTGCATCACAGCGAAGACGTTCGCCTCGAAAAGCTCGTGCAGCTCATCGGTGTCGTAGTCGAGTGCTGGCACCACGTAGTTCCGTCCAGCATTGTTGTAGAGGATATCGAGCTTGCCGTTCGTGATTTCGATGACGCGCTTGCGAAGCTCTCGTATCGAGTCGATGCTCGTGAGCTCCAGGGGAAGGAAAGTGATGTTCTCGTGCGGCGAAGAGTACTTCGAGGGGTCACGGACAGTGCCCAGCACCTGGAATCCCTTCTCAGCAAATTCCAGCGCGAGGAAGTGGCTATCACATGTCAGTCGCGAGAGGCGTGTTGCTGGCGGTCGACGTACCCAATCCCTCCTGGCGTACATCCTGTAATCAGCGCGAACTTCTGTCTCTGTTGCTGAGTCATTGCGATTGCTCTTGAGTGTAGACCAGCAGTTTCGTCTGCACAATCACTTTCGCCGCGTCAAGGAGCAACCGAGGCATGGCCATAGCTCCTGCCCCGCTCTGACGTCTCACCTGCGTTGGTAACCCTTCCGGACACTGCTGCCGACGATCCAATTGAAGTCTCCAAAGCTTCGAAAGCTATGCAGCTCTCTCTCTTCAGCCGACGTCTATTTCCCCCTCAGCTCTTGATCCAGCCCGCAATCCCGCACCTGGACAGCTCCCATCGTTAGTAGGACAGCACTTATCGATCAAGAGAACATTACAACATCGCAATGCCTCCGGCCGCATGGATACAAGAAAACATTCCGGTGCTGCTGCGGCCATCGCTGCTTCTTGTGACTGCAATCTATCGTACGTGTGTCAAGCACCGGCAACAATTCTTCAGATCTAAGAATCCACAGACTTCTTCATGACCGTATTTGAAGTCAGTTTCGTCGAACGCAGACCGCTATCGCTCTTCAACATCACCAAGCTTCGCCACAAGTCGTTCGCCCGCCTCTGGACCAAGAATGGAGAAGCAATGTCGATCGAGATGCCAGGTCCTCTGACAGAGCTCCTGTCTGCCTGCGAAGGTGTTGTCCTCGATATCGGCCCTGGATCTGGCGAGATACTATCTCGTTTTGACGCAACCCGTATCAAAGCCATGTATGGCGCGGAGCCGGCCGAGGTCCTCCACAAAGGCCTGTTAAGGAACGCGGAAGAGAAAGGTTTTGGAGAGAAGTACCACGCCCTGTTGTGCGGTGGTGAGCCTGAGAGCCTCATCCCGGCGCTTCACAAGAGTGGTATCTTGGACATCAGTGGCAGGGCCGGTCTGGCTTCGGATGGCGTGTTCGACGAGATCTGCTGTGTGCGGGTATTGTGCAGTGTACCTCACGCGCAGGAAACCATCAATGGCCTTTACAACCTGCTCAAGCCTGGCGGTCGCATGATTATATGCGAGCACGTCGTCAATCCTTGGAGGACCGAAGGCCGGATGCTTGCGCGTTTCATGCAGATCATCTACACGCTACTCGGCTGGCCATTCTTCATGGGTGACTGCGAACTACAGAGGCATACACCAGATTTCCTCAAGGCAGCTGGCGACTGGGACAAGTTCGATCTGAAGTACTACGGGCCAAAGGACGCGATTCCGTTCGTTGTGGGTGAGTTAGTGAAGAAAGGTGGGAGGTCTTACGCGGAGGTGGTCAAAGAATAAGCTTGTCATCAATCGCGACGACGCTGAAGAGTGGAGATTATGAGAGGTATTCAAGGCCTTGCAATTGAAGCCAGTTCGAAGTACAGACCGTGCACCTGATAATCGTTAGAATAATTTTAAATGTTATATGAATTTCCTAACAGCTGTTTTTCCTCACATACGACCATAGGACGTTGAAAACAAGGCTTCCCGTTCGCTCAGCCCTATTTAAGCAGCGTACCGGTGGATTAGTAGTTAGGTGGGTGACCACTAGCGAATACCCGCTGTTGTATGTTTTTGCCATCATTTGGCTCTTGCAACCAAACATCAGCTGTCTGCGCACGAAGCCTTCACTTCGTCAACAGCATCCTTTACTTTTTTCTTCTAGAAAGTAATACTGCTTGTGTTATAAGATTATTATTATTAATAATAAGCAAACCTCTCACATACGACCATAGGACGTTGAAAACAAGGCTTCCCGTTCGCTCAGCCCTATTTAAGCAACGTACCGGCGGATTAGTAGTTAGGTGGGTGACCACTAGCGAATACCCGCTGTTGTATGTTTTTGC